CAACATCAATCATTAGATTTTGCTTATTCAAGATATTATCAATTCATTGCCATAATGAGTTAAATATATTGTACTCTTGAATGTAATTTATAGATATCGTTGTTCATTTTGATATTAATGTATTATTTCTAAAGATTGTTAAATTTTGAATTTATTTAGGCAACACAAAATACACAACATCAAAAATCTGAAACAGTACTCTGTATACTGCATACATGAATAGCTCACCAATATTACACTGTTAGACTCAACATGATACTATTTATAACATAATAGTTCTTGTATGCAGTGGGGACTAAAAATGAAAATTCGGATTGCTGAGTCATTATTAAAATACTTTAAAAATTGCGTTTTAGACTGTTAAACATTTATTGCATCTATCAAAATAAAAGAAATAAATATGTATAAATAGATTTTCAAGAGAAAAAGTACATACTTAGTTGATACTACATTCAGTATCACAACAATTTAAAGTATCACTAATAAGAAAACAGCTTGAAAACATATACATAGGGCATATAATTTAGTTCTTTTTCTTCATCAACCTGTGATCATCCACTTCTGAACATAGGTCGCTTTTCCATATCTCCCTGTTTTGTGCTGCAATCAACATGCCGCTTCGGTAATATTGTTCACCCAACGTTTTTATGGACGTACATTTTGTTTAGTTTCTGGTCTCCACATTGCTATTTTATATGCTCACCTGTCACTAACCAGCCCATAGCCATTTCACCTTAGTCATTTCTTGTGTTATATCAGTAATCCTTGTTTGTCTCCTGATGCTTTCATTTCTTATCTAAGAAACGATTTATAATTAGGATAAAGTCCATTTCATTCTTAGTACGATTGTTTGGGCTGCGTCATGTCCATTTGCGTTGTATTGCCTTCTTAAAGAATGTTTTGAGACAGTACAGCTTTTCTCTGTTCAAGTAATTGAATAAAATTTTTCCTCTATCGTATTTCTCGCCTAGTCCGAAGTTTCCTATGTAATCAGAATCTCCTTGTTGTAGTTCTCTTATTTTGTCATTGGAATCTTCCGTAACCATTACAAAATGTGATCTTTCCATTTGATGAGCTGTGCCTAAGGCTTAGTAAAAATTTTTAATCTCTTCCTCATCTGAATTACTCGTTGATGTGTAGGCATGGATGATCTGCAAACTGTATCTTTGTAACTGTCCGGCCGAAGGGGATGCCGAATATCCGGTTATCCGACATACCCTATATTGCCACATTATTGGGATATTTGAATAAAAATGAAATTAATAAGAAAGCTGATAAGATATGTCAACTTATTTGGATCCAAGATACAAAATAAACTTTTTTGATGCTGATTTAACTCACGAATAACTCTAAAAAGAAGATACTTTAATTAATAATTGGCGATATTTCCACAAGGATCCTTCAAGAAATGAATTTTATAGCGATTTTTAAAAGTTATCGATGAAAATTTGCAACATTGAAAATTTTATAAAAACTTAAAATATAGTTTTCTGAAAAACTAAAAGTTATTTTTCAAAACGTGTTGGTTCATTGGAAAGAGGACACTTTTATTAACATTTTGGAAAATTTTCATACTCATATTTCAAGAACTGGATTTTATAGAAATTTTTAAAACTTAATCTGGGAAAAATGCAAAAAAAATTGTCGATAATTTCAAAAATTTATTTCTCAAGAACTGAGAATGATTTTTCAAAACGGCTTTTTGCATTAAAAAGAGGATACTTTAATTAATAATTGCTGATATTTCTACAGGGATCCTTCAAGAAATTAATTTTATAGCGAATTTTGAAAGTTATCCATGAAAATTGAACATTGAAAATTTTATCAAAACTTCAAATATTGTTTTCTCAAAATCGAAAAGTTATATTTCAAAAAGTGTTGGTTCATTGGAAAGAGGACACTTTTATTAACACTTTGGAAAATTTTCACACTCATATTCCAAGAACTAGATTTTATACGAACTTTTAAAACTTAATCGCCGAAAATTGCAAAACTCGAAAAAATTTTCGATTATTTCAAAAATTTTTTTCTCAAGAACTAAAAGTGATTTTTCAAAACGGCTTGTTACATTAAATAGAGGACACTTTAATTAATAATTAGTGATATTTCCACAAGAATCCTTCAAGAAATTAATTTTATAGCGAATTTTGAAAGTTATCGATGAAAATTACAACATTGAACTTTTTATCAAAACTTCAAATATTGTTTTCTCAAAAACGTATAGTTATTTTTCAAAACGTGTTGGTTTATTGGAAAGAGGATACTTTTCTTAACACTTTGGGAAATTTTCATACACCTATTCCAAGAACTGGATTTTATACGAATTTTTAAAACTTAATCGGCGAAAATTGCAAAACTTAAAAATTTTTTCTTTTGGTGCATCTATAGCTGTTTCATTATCTGAAACACTATCATCGCTATGTAGAGGTAATATGTTGTCATCTCCAACAATCCAGTCGTTTAGTTCAGTTTCGGTATGCTGATGATTGTTAGACGAAGTTTGTTGCAACATGTTGCTGCTTTCAGTAAATTGCTGCTGATTGTCTTCCGAAAGTAGCTTTTCCTTTATGGTAGTTAATAGAATATAATAATCTGAATCGTCTTCAGATGTTCTGGTTACAATTTCACCATTATCGCTCTTCAACTGCGCATTAGTAATAGCGCTTTTCCGTTAAGATTGTTCTCTTTTTGAAATGTTCTTATTTGTTTGACATAACATGTATGAAACCAATCAACCAATAGAGCGTATGTCATCCGTGCTTTCTTTGTTGAATAGTAGTCCAATGGAATATTAACATTTTTAAAAGCTCTGGAAATTTAAGTTGGCCATTAGCCAACATTTTGAGTTTATGAGTACCATCGCTATTGGCAAAAGAGAAAAAAGTTACTCTTTCTTTCTTCGCTCTTGATGCTGAGGTTTCTTTGACATGTACCAACGTATGATACAACTTTCAAAAAAGTGTTGATTCATCAGCATTGTATATCTGGCTAGGTAATAACTTAAGCTCGTTCATTTTGTCAGTATTTTTTTTTAAGGCTGAACTACTGCAGGATCGCTTGACTGCTTTCCCCACTAACTTTTAATCTGCGAATGCCATGGCTTTATATAAATCGGTTAAGCTTATTTGCAATAAACTTGTTATTAATGTTTGGCATAAATCTTTGTGACAAGAACCATTTATAAACTTCTTCTTCTATTAGGTAGTAATCTGAATTGCGCAGAGTTTTTTACATTTTGTTGTCGAAATACGATGTCCAATGTACCTAAGCGTAATTTAATTGTGATAATAACCAGAATCTGTTAATGAACAAATAAACTACATACTCTATTATTTTATCTCCATGATATTTTTAAGTATACCAGTATTATTTTCTCTAATACTTTTGAGAGTAATGAAAGATGTGAGATGGGCCTGTAGCTGGAGGGGTTGGAAGAGTTTTTTCCCAGTTTTCCCTCGCTTCACTTCGAATTGGAAGAGACCATACTTATTACGTTGAAGAAAACCCATCAACGAGTACACGAGCAATTATACATGCAATGGATGTTGCTCCCAGCACCGTCTGGAATTTTAGGCATGAACAACTATATCACTTCCAAAGGATACATTCAGTACTGCCAGCCGATTTTGCGCAATGAGTTCTGTACGTGGTTTCTGCACCGCTACATCAACAAACTCCTATTTTCAAGGCTCATTCTCTTCACAGATGAATGGCATTTTACTAGGGATTGTGTTCTCAATTCTCAAAATAGCCATGTCTGGGCAGACGAAATTCTTCATGGCACGCGTGTCCACGGATTCTAACACAGATTTGTTATAAATGTGTGAGCAGGTATTCTGGATGGTCATGTGATTGAACCGAAAATTTTTCCATCCAACCTAATAGATCCCACCTACTTGATTTTCCTATAACAAGTATTTGTCGTGTTGTTGGATGCTGTGTCATTGACCGTCCGTCAAGACATGACAGCGTTCTCCTCACTTTTCACTTCATGTTCGAGAACTCCTGGATCGACGATTCAGACAAAGATGGATAGGCCGATGATCCATTGGTCTCCATTGGATTTTTTCCTATGTTGTTATAAGAAGAGTTTGGGTTATGAGACTCCTGTACAGATATAAGATCTGGTGGTAAAAGTTGTGGTCGCTGCAGGACAGATTGCAGATACACCAGGTGTGATGGAGCGAGTTTACCAGAACATCATTCGTATGTACAATACGTGTAACGATGTTGGTGGTCGCCACATCGAATCACACTTGTAGTGGATCAGAATGCTAACCATCCTTTGAAAAGAATAGTTTTAGTGTAATTGTAAACAAGTGTTAAAAAATGATTCATATTATGTTGGTTATTAATGATTTGAATTGTTAATCAAGTTATGTACTGGTTAAAGGTGGGCGCGTAAAAAACATATTTTCAAATGGTTCACATGGTTGTAGGACTGGACATGGGTTCCAATTCAAAATATTATCTACTCAGAAGTTCTCCTCTACAAGTTCTAGAAAAAATTTATATTGAAGGGTAAATGCTAATAATGAACAATATATAAAATTGCTAATAGTATCAGATAACCAGTAAATCTGGAAATATTGCAAATATTATGTCTGACATCCCTGTATCCTAAAATTTTCTAAAAAAACTTCCAGAATTTCTTTCCACACTTTATTTTTCATGTATAAGTACACCGTGTTAATTAATTATCGTGCCCGACGTTATCATTGCAAGTATGCAACCAATATCACAGTATCGGTATTGCAATACGCGATTTGTATATTGGGTTGCATACTTGCAATGATTAAAAGAACACCGTATAAAAAATTAATAATCAAATATGACGTATAAATAATGTTTCCATCTAGCAAACAATAACTAAAGGACTAAAGGACACTACGTGAGGGTACACCTTTGTCAGTATCCTGATTAATCGTCAAAATTTGGATAGGTACTAACAAATGGTGTAATCTTAGTTGCATATCTGTTCAATTTAAAATTTAAATAAATTCTCGTTTAAGTATCTAATTTATTTAATTAAAATTACTTAAAACTACGACATAACTTACTATACATTTTAACTTAATCAGTATCACAACATTTATTACATTTTTATAACCAGGAAAACTAGATTCTTTTAATCAATTTGCTATAATAGGTATTACGAGTTTAAAATTGATTGTATTTCTTGAAAAGATTTTCCTTTAGTTTCCGGAACATAAAAGAACGTAAATATAAAAGCAATGATATCCATAGCTGCAAAAATCCAAAACGATCCTCCCATACCGATATTAAGACCGTAAGATATGTTATGGAAAAATTTGGTGACTAGAAATGAAACTAACCAGCAAAAACAAGCAGTAACCGAACTTGTTGAAGCTTTTAAATTACTTGGTAATATTTCTGCCATAACAGTCCAAGCTAATGGTCCAAATCCGGAGTTGTAAGTGAATAAATACACGACAAGGGCAAGGATTGGTAACCATGAAATTCCGGAGATATCAACATCGGTTTGTTCTTTAAGAAAAAAGTATAACCCGAGTGGAATTGTTGCAATTGTCATTCCAGCAGCTGAACATAAAAGTAACATTTTACGACCCCATTTTTCTACTAAAACGGGTACGACAAAACTTGAAATTAATTGTACAGCGCCAACAATCATTGGCGGAACTTCATCTGGAAGGTCAGTTTCTGCAGCCGAAAACACATCTTGTGCATAAAACAAAATGATATTAATACCAGATAATTGTTGGAAAAGCATTAGGGCGTTTGATATTAAGAAAGCTTTCGTGGTTCCTTTAGATTTAAAAACATCGAAAAATTTTCCAGCGTTTTCTTTATCTTTCCCAATAGTTTCTCGAATCATTTCATATTCTTTTTGCACGTCCGAAATACTCGAATTCCTTAAATATGCTAACGATTTTTCGGCTTCCTCGCGTTTATTCTTTTCTATTAAATAAAACGGTGAATCGTGAGTAAAAATAAAAAAGCTTATTGCAAAAGCTAAAGGTACGATAGCGCAAATTATACTAAACCAAGTAATCGAAATATACGGTCCAACAACATATGATAAAAGTAATCCAAAACAAATAAAATTATTCATTGAGGTTCCGATTAATCCCCTTACATCTACATCTGAAACTTCTACTAAGTAACCGGGTAAAACAGCAAAAACACCTCCAACAGCCAAACCAGCTATAAGACGAGCTGCGAATAGTACTTCAACCGTCGTAGCAAAAGCAGCCATTAAGTAACCAATTATGTAAGGAAATGCTGTTGATATTAAAGTAAATTTTCTTCCAATTTTTTGGGAAAGAAAACCGAATGGGAATGGGCCTACTGCTGCTCCTAAAGCCAATAGGGAACCAATCCATGATTCTTCTTCTGATGTTACCGGAAATGTTAAAGGATTTTCAGAATCGGTTGTTTTCAATTTTGGTATTACTGGTGATGACCAAGCGAGCATCATTCCCGTTGTTAAAGCGATTATGTTTACTGAAAAAAAAAACAAAAAAATTAATACGTTTAATTTTTTACACTTGTAATTTATAATGATTTGTTCATTTTAGTAGGTAGTCAAGTAGTTTTAGATAAGCAAAAATGGATGATAATAAAGTTTAAAAGGCGATTAAAATAGTGCACTGTCAATATTCGGTTAAAATAACAAAGCGCGTATATACATTTTTTTAATGTGATTGAAGTGAGATTGTAAAATATTTAAATTTTCCAATAATTAGTTAATTAATCTCAAGGATAATGCATAATAGTAGGTTATATAATATATAAATAAAGAAAACTGTTAAAACAATAATAATATAATAAATGGTAAAGTAATTCTTACAAAAATTGACTTACAAATGACGATGAAGGAAATTTTATTAACCCAATTGCATCATTCAGAAGAAATGACAAAGTGCCCCATATCACCAAACATTTTTTTATACATATACTGGGTGAGTTAATGATTATTTAATTATTACAGTTTTTTTTTAATTGTATTTTAATATATTATAATCTTACTGATTTAGGAATGACAGACAAACAAAAAAGAAATATTACATTCTGTCACTTTTTTAAGTACAATAATGACATTTTATTACACATTTTTCTTTAAATTCTAAATATCAGGAAAACTACTAAAGTTAGATATATAACATACTTATCATTATTTAAAGGTAACTTGATGGGAAATTCAACCAACACATAATATACAGAATGTTCCATTTAAAAAACTTATTTAAAAAGCCACTTGAAAAACATCAAAAGTAACTAAACTTTATGACCACGCTGTATAGCGTATCTAATATCTTTGGATACTATCATTTACCTACTGGTTTTGACTATTATCTGACATAGTTTCAAGGCAAAATTGGAAAAAATATCGTTTTTGAAAAGATGCTGCAATGGACACATTTTGGAAAAACAATTGAATATCTTAAGAACTATGAACGCTATGAGTTAGTAATATATACGGCTGTATAAACAAATTTAATGCTATTCATAATATGATAAAATATATAGGTGTTCCATTAAAAAAAATCTACATACTCTCCGTTATGCCTAAATGAAACACCCTGTATAAGTGAAAATAATTTTACATAATAGAAAGTGGTGAGTCAAACAACTTTTGTAGAAAACATTTTTTTCTTTCTCAAACGGTTTAGCAACTATCGTCCGCCGGGATACTAATAATTCACCCTGTATATCATTGTTTTACCAGCAGACAAACGGAATGACAACATGATTAAGGACAGGAATGATGACAGCGACAAGATGACGAGGCTTTTGGATGCAGCCATTTACAAGAAAATTAAGAAGATAAAATCTACAGAAATTCCAGCAGAACAACAGAAACCAAGAATTTACAAGTAAAACAAAAACATTTGTCAGAGATTGTACGCATTTTGTAAAATCAATCAAAAGTATGAAGTTAGATCCTTAGGATATCTCAAGATTTGTGGAACCTGCATTTACCGAAGTACGAGTGCCAAAGAAGATGCCGTGGATCGTCTTCACCAGAAATTCATCCTTTAGAGTTTACCAAAGTATTTTCCAGGGCTAATGGAGTATGGTTTATCATCAACAGATTTTAGTTGGAATGGAGGTTTCTACGAGCCATGGCAAAGGGCAGTCATGGGATCACCATTGTCACCGATAATAGCCAGTTATTACATGGAGATGTTTGAGGAAGAAGCGTTAAGAAATAGTTCGTAGAAATCGAAGTTATGGCTTGGTTATGTGGATGACACCTTTGTGATCTGGTTACATGAAGAAAATGTGTCCCCAGGAATTCCTTAGTCACCTAAACTTTCAACACCCCGTGATCAAATTTACCATGAAAAGGAAAACTGCAAAACAGTTACCTTTCCTGGATGTTTTGGTCACTAGGAATACAGATGGGGTATGGAACTGGGAGTATATCGGAAAAAAACACACACAAACAGATATCTACAGTCTTTAAAAATGTATTCGAGGTGTTTGAAGAAGAAGCATTAAGGAAGAGTCTGTAGACACCTTTGTGATCTGGTAGCATGGAAAAAACCATCTCCAGAAATTGGTAAACCATCTGAACTGGCAACTACGCTGCTAAACAGTTACCTTTCCTGGATGTTTTCATCACTAGGAAGATAGAATTAAACACATGAAAGAGACTCTACTTGAACCGAAAACTACACAACTAATTGAAAAACGATGGAAAACGAAGAAGTGTACAACAGAATACAAAACTATTAACCGCATTGTCAAAAAGAAAATACGAACAAACATAAGAGCGTACCAAACAATACAAATCCTAGAAACTATAGAATATAACAAGAATATGAAAATACTAAAATCAAATGTAGCCACAAGAAGAACCAAAGATAACGAAAATAAAGGATGAAAATGGCAATGTAACCTGAGAAAGAATACGAATTGTAAAAGAAATCTGCCATTCTGCCATACCAAAACCGGAAATTGCGACTAGAAAGGTTCTAAACGTTGGTTTTTAGGACCTTCCAGAAATATACAGGGTGATTTATTAGCTCATCATCCAACTTTGACATATGCTATCAGCTAATTCAATTACCAAAAAAAAATGTTAATGTACATATGTCCTATTTCAATTATTTACGAAATTATAACACTTTAAAGTTTTCTGCAGCGAATTTATTAATAATATTCATTTTTGTTTTCTTTTCATCTGGGTAATTCAATTAAACAAATTTTGCACTTAAAGGTGAAATGTGTTTATTATCACTCTACCGGTTTCGCTCCTTTCGGAGCATCTTCAGGAGTTCTTAAAGTTATTAATTTTACAACACTTTCTATTATTATATAATATTACATTTTAACTTACGTCAATTTTTTTGAACAACTAAACATGTATGTGATACTTTATTTAAAATATACCATTGACAGTTTCAACATAACCTAAAATATAATAAAAAGTGATGTATGATAACACATGTTTAGAGATTAACATTTTAATAGTGAATTAATTCAATAAAGTATCACATACATGTTTAGTTGTTCAAAAAAATTGACGTAAGTTAAAACGTAAAATTATATAATAATAGAAAGTGTTGTAAAATTAATAACTTTAGGAACTCCTGAGGATGCTCCGAAATTAGCGAAACCGGTAGAGTGATAATAAACACATTTCACCTTTAAGTGCAAAATTTGTTTAATTGAATTTATTAATAGTCAGTAAAATCAAACATTCAACAAAAACAAAGTTGTAATTGTAATATGTCAATACTAATAATACAAGAAGAAACTCAAAATGTACGCTTATTGCACTGAAGAGTATGCTGATATAATTTTCGTTTATGGTTTTTGCAATGGAAATGCTCGACAATCAGTACGAGAATATCAAGAAAGATTTCCACAGCGTCATTTGCCATATTATTCCGTTTTTAGCGATTCTTTCAAAAAACTTCGATAAACAGCTAATCCTGCTCCAGCAAAAGCTATTCGACCGCATGTTGTTAATGCAGAGGACGAAGAAGCTGTAATTAATGCTGTCATTGATAATCCTTCCATCAGCACTCGAAGAATAGCACACAACATACATGTAAGTCAATATTTTGCATGGCGCAGAATGTACAAGCTTTACAGCCAGGAGATAATCAGTAACGGTTAGCATTTTGTGAATGGTTATTGCAGCAACATGCCCAAAATAATGACTTCATTTTAAATTTTCTCTGGACAGATGAATCATGTTTTACACGAGATGATATAAATAATTACCATAATGAACATATCTGGGCATTACAAAATCCGCATGCGATTAGACCAAGGAAATTTCAACAACGTTTCAGCATCAACGTTTGGGATGGAATATTTAACAACAATTTACTAGGTATGTACTTGATGGACGTTGAACGCTGTAAATTACAGATTTTTGAACAATACACTTTTTGATTTATTTGAAGATATACCTCTTAATGTAATTCAAAATATGTGGTATCAGCACGATGGTGCCCCACCTCATCGCGGAAGAATAGTTGTTGAGTGGTTAAACCAATATTTTTCAAACAAGTGGATTGGTAATAATGGTCCATTTGCTTGGCCACCTAGATCTTCTAACCTTAATCAAACCCGCAACTTAGTTAGTTCTACTTTTAGTTCAGTAAAAGATACTATTAGAACTAACACCAGATATTCAGCGCTAGGCTGTTATATACAGGGTGTCACACAGAAAACGCCCCAAGCTGTAACTCTGTTATTTACATTTCCATTTTCATGACCCAGGTATCAAATCAAATGTTATTTTAAATACTATGATTCCTGCTACAAATAAATTTTTTCCAACGCCATCTACAATTTCAAACGATTATTAACTCTTGTTTTTCAAATTGCTGCGTATATTTTTCTTCGCGTCGTAAAAATCGCAGTGTAAATGACAGAGTTACAGCTTGGGACGTTTTTTGTGTGACACCCTGTATCTTTATTGAACTAAAACTAGAACTAAGATTAGACCTAGATCTAGATTGATCCGTCTTGAGAGACGCACGACAGTTCAAGTGATAGTGCTAGTTCTAGTTTTTTGTTATTTAGCGTTAGATTGTTGTATACAGGGTGATTCAAAAAACCGCTGACAGACTTCTAGAGCAGATAATACATGAAAAAATAAGATGAATAGTCTTAATATACAGTATGTCCACGGAAAAGGTGTTGAATTAGAAAAACCTTTTTATTTTTGATTTTATCGAAAAAAGTTAATCTTGATAAAAAAATTTGCTAGTTCTTAGAGTAAGATTGGGATAGAAATTTAATACATTTTATACACAATGTTTAGAAAATTCAAAAAACTTTAAATGTTAGAAGAGTAAAGTGTATTTATTTGAGAGATCAAAGTTTTGTGAGAGACCAATTGATAGATAATTGATCACCAAAATACTGCTTGTTTGACAAAATTAGCAATGGCGTAGATAATATTTTTAAAAAAGGGCTTTTTATTGCAGATAATGTTTAATTTTAAAGAATCTTTGACTAGGGATATCTCGTTAAGGAGGCATTTACGACCGTATGTATATTAAGACTTTTCATCTTAATTTTTTATGTATTACTTTTACAGCGTTTTTTTGAATCACGTTGTATATTTATTGAAGGTTATGGTGCAAATGGGTTAATTAAAGATTCTTGATATAGAAATGTATAATTAATTCTGAAAATATAACAAAAATATAAATTAATGTTTGTATCAAATTTATTTAAAAACTCATTAATTAATCTGGTGATAAATAATTTTAAGAATAAAAAAGTAGCACTTCATTCCTCTTTTAAGATTAGAGAGACATTGTAATTTCAATAAAAATATGTTTTGATTATTTCCAAAGATATAAAATGGCAAGCACATATTGTTTCATGTGTGTATTTCATGATCATTAAATATCAGAAAAATTAATCATAGGAATGTTGTAACTCTCTATACAATTGAGATGGAGATAACGATTTAAAAATAATTTCTTTTTGAAGCGTTAAAATGATTATAAAAATATGCAAATTATTAGTCTTCTTTCATAGCAAAAACGAGTTGGTTATGTATTACCTATTTAATTGAAATAGTTAATGAGGATCTTACGGTGTGTATTACCAAGAAAAAATACCCGTTTGTTTTTGATTTGAACTTATAACAATTATAAACTTCGACCTTCGTCATGGAGTTATAACCATTCGGAATTTTCTGAAGATCGTTAGAATTTGAATTATTGAAGTGTTTTTCTTTATAAACCATAAATTGTTGTTTAAATGTTATATTACGTAAAAAAATATATAAATGTGATTTTTACTTAAATTAAATTTTCTATCTCTAAAATTATTTTTTAAACTTACCTGCTCCAACAGTGAGAAATAAAAAAATCCTTTTATTATTCATAAACATTTTCATTTTCTTTCTAATCTTTACTCAACTAAAAATTTAAAATATCTAATTCACTTTTAATTTTAGTTTTGAATCAAGTGATCCTACCGCTATTAAGTTATAAACTGGACTCGTTTGTCCGATTTGAACAGCTACAACGCCACTACTACGACATTCGACAAGTGCTTTATTATCCACACCTCAACCTTATTTTAAATACCTACTTTACAAAACGTATTATAAAATCAACAACGCGCTTTTTTTAATTTTTTTTTACCCAATTGATTGTTGGTGCAAAAAAGTTAACACATTTTTATTCGCTAATTTTATGTTGCAATTTCTTTAAAAAAAACTAAATAAAACTCTTTCACAAAATTTATTGAAACCTTTATTTAATATACTAACACAACTACATGTGTATCGCAAATGCTCAATTATCTGTGAACGATTTGAAGTGGTTTGGTATTAACCGAGTATTTTAGCAAAAAATAGATCGATATCGATTAATTTTAATTTATAAGTGGGAGGTTAACGTTTTTTTTAGGTTTAATCAGTGAAGCGTATTGAATGAGTTAAATTTAACTTTTATTTTAAATTTTGGGATTTTAAAGAGAATTGGGAGTAAAATTTCTTAATTATTTAATTAAATTAACGAATATTAACTGAGATCAGTCATGTTACTGAACTAAATAATCATTAAATTTAGTTAACTAATATTTAGTGCTAATTCTGGCGTACCTCTGTTGGGATGATATCTTCCTACACGAGAGATTTGAGACCATCATCAACAATACAAAATATGTTAATGACAGAATAATGTACCAGATACCGTTTCTGCAAAAGACAAAATCTACAAACATAATAATCGTTTAAATTGCCAACATAGCAAACCCAAAGAGGAGATTTAGATGTTTTATCAAAACCTTTAAGCAGTACTTGACAAGATTCCCATAAACGATGAGGTGATTGTACTAAGAGATTTTAACGTTTGAATTGAAAATGTTATGTTTTGTTATGTTATGTTCAAAAAATAGAGTGCAATTAACGAATTAAGAATCAACAACGCATATCATCCTCGCTAACCACAAAACCACCAACAGAAGATACATCCAAACTTCTGGGTGATACCGAATAGAAAGAAAGTAAACTAATACCAGTATTCAAAAAAGAATTCAGGAAAGATGATGAGCCTTCTTCGACTAAGAAACTATTTACAAAGATTCTCGAAGAAGAACTTTCCACTCCTTTCATTTTTGAGGAGAAGTAAGGCTTCAGGATTAAGGGCTCAACAATGAATTTTGCACATTGAATATAACTTGTGTTTTATATGCGAAATACCGTACGTATGTTTTGTTGAATTTATAAAAACATTTGATCGATTAAGGCTTCCCGATGTGATAACACTGAGTACCCATACAAACCGGCATAAGATAGGGAAACAGTCGTACTTGCTCATGGGCGAAATTATAACTGGAAATAGTTTGCTATTCAGAGGATTCTGTACCAATTCGAGAAAAGAGCAATCAAATTCAACATGAATATCTCGGTGTCAAAAACAAAATCTTCAACAATAGCAAAAACACCACGCTGTTGCAAATTAGCAGTATACAACAAGCCTATAAAACAGGTTATGAGCTTTCAAAATATTTCCGTCAATATTACAAGCAGCAAGAACCTTCAAGAAGAAGTTGTGGCTTAAACAATTAAAAGAGCTTTGATATCAGTCTAAATGAGAGGTATAATATGGCTATACAAATAAAATCATCTGAGGCGCCAAACACCATACTCAACCTTCATTTTGAATATGTAACCATGCAAATTGTTACCACGTTAAAATGAAGCTTTCCTGTGATGCCTGCCGCCGCAACAAGTATATGTCCCAAGATAGCAAGGTCCGCATTTATAAGACCTATCTAACGCGACTGAGATAAGAACAGCAAATGCTACGACAAAAACAATCGTCAGAATAGCGGACATGATGACGGTAAGGTCATTAACAGGATATACCTTGCGGGATCATGAAAGAAGTGAGGATATAAGAAAGTTCAGATCGGTAAACATAGTGAAGGCCGAAGAAGAAGGTGATTCCGTCGACCTTGATGATGTAGATTTTGCGTGGAAATAGCTTTCCAGAGTTTTTTAAGCTGTAAAAGAAGTTCTCAACTTCTTTTAAAGTATATATCACGGGATTCAAGAAGAGTCATTGCTGTCAATGTGCTCAAATGTTTAAAAGAGTGCTTTCCTGGTCAATCCTTCAGATAGTTCAACATAGTGGTGGAACGGATAGTTGCCGAATATCCGTTACAGCACTATGGAACGGATAGTTGCCGAATATCCGTTACAGCACTATGGAACGGATAGTTGCCGAATATCCGTTACAGCACTATGTTGAACTATTTGAAGGATTGACCACGAAAGCACTCTTTTAAACATTTGAGCACATTGACAGCAATGACTCTTTCTGAATCCCGTGATATATACTTTAAAAGAAGTTGAAAACTTCTTTTACAGCTTAAAAAACTCTAGAAAGCTGTTTCCACGCAAAATTCTTTAAAATCCGGCCGGATACCGGATAGTTACCAAATATCCGTTCCACCACTATGTTGAACTATCTGAAGGATTGACCACGAAAGCACTCTTTTAAACATTTGACAAAAATGTAAAAAATTCGTAACATCGAAAATTTTATCAAAACTTCAAATATTGTTTTCTCAAAAACGAAAAGTTATTTTTCAAAACGGGTTGATTCATTGGAAAGGGGACACTTTTATTAACACTGTGAGAAATTTTCATACTCATATTCCAAGAACTGGATTTTATACGAATTTTTAAATCTTAATCGGCGAAAATTGCAAAATTCGAAAAAATTGACGATTACTTCAAAAATTTATTTCTCAAGAACTAAAAGTGATTTTTCAAAACGGCTTGTTGCATTAAAAAGAGGATACTTTAATTAATAATTGGTGATATTTCCACAACGATCCTTCAAGAAATTAATTTTATAGCGAATTTTGAAAATTATCGATGAAAATTGCAACATCGAAAATTTTATCAAAACTTCAAATATTGTTTTCTCAAAAACTAAAAGTTATTTTTCAAAACGGGTTGGTTCATTGGAAAGAGGACACTTTTATTAACACTTTGGGAAATTTTCATACTCATATTCCAAGAAATGGATTTTATACGAATTTTTAAAACTTAATCGGCGAAAATTGCAAAATTCGAAAAAATTGTCGATCATTTCAAAAATTTATTTCTCAAGAACTAAAAGTGATTTTTCAAAACGGCTTTTTGCATTAAAAAGAGGATACTTTAATTAATAATTGGTGATATTTCCACAAGGATCCTTCAAGAAATTAATTTTATAGCGAATTTTGAAAATTATCGATGAAAATTGCAACATCGAAAATTTTATCAAAACTTCAAATATTGTTTTCTCAAAAACTAAAAGTTATTTTTCAAAACGGGTTGGTTCATTGGAAAGAGGACACTTTTATTAACACTTTGGGAAATTTTCATACTCATATTCCAAGAAATGGATTTTATACGAATTTTTAAAACTTAATCGGCGAAAATTGCAAAATTCGAAAAAATTGTCGATCATTTCAAAAATTTATTTCTCAAGAACTAAAAGTGATTTTTCAAAACGGCTTTTTGCATTAAAAAGAGGATACTTTAATTAATAATTGGTGATATTTCCACAACAATCCTTCAAGAAATTAATTTTATAGCGAATTTTGAAACTTATCGATGAAAATTGCAACATCGAAAATTTTATCAAAACTTCAAATATTGTTTTCTCAAAAACGAGAAGTTATTTTTCAAAACGGGTTGATTCATTGGAAAGGTGACACTTTTATTAACACTTTGGGAAATTTTCAAACTCATATTCCAAGAAATGGATTTTATATGAATTTTTAAATTTTAATCGGCGAAAATTGCAAAATTCGAAAGAAAAAAAATCTGCAAAAATAGTGACAAACTTCAAAAAGAAAAACTTCACCATTAATGTAAATGTTGCGATTTGATATATAGAACTGAACTTAAGGGATATATGCAAGTCAGGGAGTTCGTATATGCAGTAATGTTTATCATTTTTAGATTTAGCAAGAAAGATAATATTACTTTGCAAGGTATACGAAGCGAAAATTACCTACACATCAGAGAAACATAGGCCATTTTATGACAACCTTATAACGCAATCCAAAACTAATAGAAATCAGAGTATATCGCAAGAAGTATAATGTTTTGATGTTATTTCAACGTTCTTTCAGTAAGAAGTTTCTCAAATAATTTACATTTCATGGATTTGTTAACTTTATCAGGATTGATTTCAAAATTCTATGATTTTGTAGCTAATGCGTTCAAGATGAATTTGAAATATTGAAATACTTGTTCCATGATACAAAACCAAAGTGTGTCAGCAAATTTTTCTGGGTTCAATAACAATAATAAATGTAAAAATTTTTATTAAAACAATTTGCTTTATTATTTAAAAAAATTTGATTCATTTTGATAATTCAAATTTTATTCTATAAAATTTATAAAATAGTAACAATATCACAGCTCCCAAAAAACTTCTTTAATTTCATACAAACTAATTTAATTAATTTTTATACATCGAAGAAACCCAATTTAAATACCTAATTAATAACGTAATTTTTTTGTTTCACTTAGCTTTTCCTTCCAATAAAGCTTGAACTTCATTTAAGCTCTTTCCAGAAGTTTCCGGAAGTAATTTATAAACAAAGGTGGCCGCTATAATACAAAATCCTCCAAACATATAAAAACTAATTCCAATCCCAACTAAATCACTAACGTTTTTGAAATATCTCGTTATAACGAATGCTAAAATCCAACATCCGGATGCTGTAACCGTTGAAGCTGCTGATTTGACATTCGGTGGGAATAACTCTCCCATTACGGCCCACGGTAATGGTCCAAAACCCATACAATAAGTAGCGTTGTATAAAATTAAGCAAAGAACTGGTAACCAAAATATAGAATCCGTTGATAATTTCGTTTCTATTCTTTGAAAATAATAACCCAACGCAAATTGTGATAAAGCCATCCCAATTCCGGAAAATATCAATAAAAATCTTTTTCCTTTTCGATCAACGAGTAAAGGTGTGATTCCACTGAAAGAAACTTGAACTAATCCAACTAAAATCGTTGAAATATCCGAAGGAATTGAGCTCCCCGTTGCATCAAAAATAGTTTCCGTATAAAATAAAATAACGTTAATTCCAGAAAGTTGTTGAAAAGCTACCAAACCCACCGAAAGAATTAATGCTTTTCTTAACACGTTAGTTTTAAAAATGTCCATAAAAGTTGCATTCGAAGCTTTTGATTCCGCAATATTCCCAATCATAACCTCTAATTCTTTTGTGACGTTCTTTTTTGATCGTAACTTCATTAAGGCGGTTTCAGCTTCGTTATTTTTATTAACGGAAATTAAAAAATATGGCGAATCTGGTGAGAAAACTATAAAAACCACAAAAAATATCGACGGTATTATAACGCAAACCATGCTGAACACCGAAATTGTCGTGTATGGACCAATTGAAAACGAGAAAAGAATTCCTAACGTAATAAATAATTGCATCAGTGATCCTAAAGCTCCTCTTACTGAATCTTCAGCTATTTCACCCATATACATTGGAAGAACTGTGAAAAGTCCACCAGATCCAACCCCGCAAAGAAATCTTCCTATATAAAATTCATAAACAGATGAGGCTAAACCAAAAAGAATAAACGCAACTAGAAATGGAGCCGTTGATATTAAAATTGTTTTCTTTCTTCCGAGTTTATCGGCTAGATATCCGGCTAAAAATGGACCTAATGATGCACCGACTGGTAATAAACTTCCAATCCATGATGATTGATCTGTTGTAAGTGGCTCTGGGAGGACTGTAAAGTTTCCACTGAGTTGTGGTAATACTGGTGATGTCCAACCTAATGCTATTCCGCAGGTGAATGATGCTAAATTTGCTAAAAATAAAAAAAAATATAATTAGTTTTTAAAATTAAATGATTTAAATAAATTTAAATTATTAAATGATAGAAATACAAAAAACATACAAATTGAAACAACAACAAAATTGATGTTGTTTGATATTAATGATAACATAGAATTTTTCGAAAAATTTCTAATATATTATAATATTTTGTTTGAAATGAATCAAAAATATGTTTGGAAATAAAATGTTTTTTAACATTTTTTATTTATTGAACCTCCCGACCGATTTTGATGAACAATATCTCATTTAAAAGGTTAATCCTGGGACAACACGAAAGTGGAAATGCCCATTAAAATGCTAAAATATTGGGAAGGTGCACGAAAATAACACAAAACTGACGTCTTTTTGGGTGGTCATAACTCGTAAACGATGTACTCCATTATCAAGATCTATACGTCATTCAATTCGCCATAGTTTCCTCTATCGATATCACAAAATGACCGATCGCAATTTTTTTCCATACAGCTTTCAGAACGGCACCACGATCAGTTTATTGTTTATACACGTATGGAGACTGGAAAATCTCCGAAAACCCGCAATAAGATAGTTTAAAAATTAGTTTAGATTAAAGCCGCTATCACTAAAGACTTGAAGATATTGTAAAGAATAAAATTCATCACAACTTTTATACTAAAACTTTTTTCCAAATATGTTCCGAATCCCATGTTCTACCAACAACCAGATGTAAAACCACGATTTCGTAAAATTTTCACCTTTTCGAATTTTTCTCGATATTTATGTATCTGAGAAGAAAAGTGTAAAAGAGCAATATTGTTAAGAATAAAATTTGGTACAACTTTTCGAATAAAACTTTTTTTCTAAAAGTATCTGACCCCGTGATCTACCAACAACTATATATAAAACCACGATTTTATCTAATTTTCTCCTATTCGATTTTTTCTCGATATTTATGTATCTGAGAGCAAAGGTGTATATGAACAATATTGTTACGAATAAATTTTGCTACAACTTTTATATTAAATCTTTTTTTCTAGAACGTTCTGAATTCCATGATCTCCCAACAACTACATGTAAAACTACGATTATCGTCTAATTTTCGCCCTATCGAGTTTTTCTCCGTATTTATGCATTTGAGAGCAAAAGTGTATATGAACAATATTGTTAAGAATGAAATTTGCTATAACTTTTATACCAAAAATTTTTTTCTAGAACGTTCCGAATCCCATGTTCTCCCAACAACAACATGTCAAACCACAATTTCGTCTAATTTTCACCCTATCGAGCTTTTCTCTGTATTTATGCATTTGAGAGCAAAAGTGTATATGAACAATATTGTTAAGAATGAAATTTGTTACAACTTTTATACTAAAACTTTTTTTCTAGAACATTCCGAATTCCATGCTCTTCCAACAACAACATGTAAAACCACGATTTCGACTAATTTTCACCTTATCGAGTTTTCTTCTGTATTTATGCATTTGAGAGCAAAAGTGTATATGAACAATATTGTTAAGAATGAAATTTGTTACAACTTTTATACTAAAACTTTTTTTCTAGAACATTCCGAATTCCATGCTCTTCCAACAACAACATGTAAAACCACGATTTCGACTAATTTTCACCTTATCGAGTTTTCTTCTGTATTTATGCATTTGAGAGCAAAAGTGTATATGAACAATATTGTTAAGAATGAAATTTGTTACAACTTTTATACTAAAACTTTTTTTCTAGAACATTCCGAATTCCATGCTCTTCCAACAACAACATGTAAAACCACGATTTCGACTAATTTTCACCTTATCGAGTTTTCTTCTGTATTTATGCATTTGAGAGCAAAAGTGTATATGAACAATATTGTTAAGAATGAAATTTGTTACAACTTTTATACTAAAACTTTTTTTCTAGAACATTCAAAATCCCATGCTCTCCGAACAACAACATGTAAAACCACGATTTTGTTTAATTTTCACCCTATCGAGTTTTTCTCCGTATTTATGCATTTGAGAGCAAAAGTGTATATGAAGAAAATTGTTAATAATAAAATTTGCTACAACTTTTATACTAAAATTTTTTTTCTAAAACGTTCCGAATTCTATATACCACAAACAACAATATGTAAAACAACGATTTCGTCAAATTTTCACCCTATTGAGTTTTTCTCTGTATTTATGCATTTGAGAGCAAAAGTGTATATGAACAATATTGTTAACAATAAAATTTGCTACAACTTTTATATTAAAACTTTTTTTCAGAACGTTTCGAATCCCATGCTTAACCAACAACAACATGTAAAACCATAATTATCGTCTAGTTTTCGCCCTATCGAGTTTTTCTCCGTATTTATGCATTTGAGAGCAAAAGTGTATATGAAGGAAATTGTTAATAATAAAATTTGCTACAACTTTTATACTAAATTTTTTTTTCTAAAACGTTCCGGATTCCATATACTACAAACAACAATATGTAACACCACAATTTCGTCAAATTTTCACCCTATTGAGTTTTTCTCTGTATTTATGCATTTGAGAGCAAAAGTGTATATAAACAATATTGTTAAGAATGAAATTTGCTACAACTTTTATACTAAAACTTTTTTTCTAGAACGTTCCGAATCCCATGCTCTCCCAACAACAACATGTAAAACAACGATTTCGTCTAATTTTCACCCTATCGAGATTTTCTCTGTATTTATGCATTTGAGAGCAAAACTGTATATGAACAATATTGTTAAGAATAAAATTTGCTACAGCTTTTATACTAAAACTTTTTTTCTAGAACTTCCGAATCCCATGCTCTCCCAACAACAACATGTAAAACCACGATTTCCTCTAATTTTCACCCTATCGAGTTTTTCTCCGTATTTATGCGTTTGAGAGCAAAAGTGTATATGAAGAAAATTGTTAATAATAAAATTTGCTACAACTTTTATACTAAAATTTTTTTTCTAAAACGTTCCGAATTCCATATACTACAAACAACAATATGTAACACCACTATTTCGTCAAATTTTCACCCTATTCAGTTTTTCTCCGTATTTATGCATTTGAGAGCAAAAGTGTATATGAACAATATTGTTAACAATAAAATTTGCTACAACTTTTATATTAAAACTTTTTTTCAGAACGTTTCGAATCCCATGCTTAACCAACAACAACATGTAAAACCATAATTATCGTCTAGTTTTCGCCCTATCGAGTTTTTCTCCGTATTTATGCATTTGAGAGCAAAAGTGTATATGAAGAAAATTGTTAATAATAAAATTTGCTACAACTTTTATACTAAATTTTTTTTTCTAAAACGTTCCGAATTCCATATGCTACAAACAACAATATGTAACACCACGATTCCGTCAAATTTTCATCCTATTGAGTTTTTCTCTGTATTTATGCATTTGAGAGGAAAAGTGTATATGAACAATATTGTTAACAATAAAATTTGCTACAACTTTTATACTAAAACTATCTCTCTAGAACATTCCGAATCCCATGTTCTCTCAACAATAACATGTAAAACCAGGATTTCGTCTAATTTTCACCCTATCGAGTTTTTCTCTGTATTTATGCATTTGAAAGCAAAAGGGTATATGAACAATATTATTAACAATAAATTTGCTACAACTTTTATACTAAAACTTTTTTTTTAGAACGTTCCGAATCGCATGCTCGCCCAACAACAATATGTAAAACCATGATTTCGTCTAATTTTCACCTTATCGAGTTTTTCTCTGTATTTATGCAATTGAGAGCAAAAGTGTATATGGACAATATTGTTAAAAATAAAATTTGCTACAACTTTCATACTAAAACTTTTTTTCTAGCACGTTCAGAATTCCAAGCTCTCCCAACAACATGTAAAACCACGATTTCGTCTAATTTTCATCTTATCGAGTTTTCCTCTCTATTTATGCATTTGAGAGCAAAAGTGTATATGAACAATATTGTTAAGAATAAAATTTGCTACAGCTTTCATACTAAAACTTTTTTCCTAGAACGTTCCAAATCCCATGCTCGCCTAAGAACAACATGTAAAACCGCGATTTCGTCTAATTTTCACGCTATCGCGTTTTTCTCTGTATTTATGCAATTGAGAGCAAAAGTGTATATGGACAATATTGTTAAAAATAAAATTTGCTACAACTTTCATACTAAAACTTTTTTTCTAGAACGTTCCTATGTTAATCCACGATTTTATCTAATTGCACCTTTTCGAATTTTTCTTGATATTTATGCATCTGGAAGCAAAAGTGTAAAAGAGCAGTATTGTTAAGAATAAAATTTGCTACAACTTTCATAGTAAAATTTTTTTTCTAAAACGTACTCTACCAATAACAAAATGTAAAACAACGATTTCATCTAAATTTCACCTTTTTGGAAGTAGTTTTGGTATTTATGCGTTTGAGAGTAAACGTGTAAAGGAGCGATATTATTAAGAATAAAATTTGCTATAACTTTTATACTGAATCTTTTTTTCTAAAACCTTCTGATCCCGTGCTCTACCAACAACAATGTCTAAAACCACGATTTCATCGTAATTTTACCTTTTCGAATTTTTCTCGATATTTACGCATCTGAGAGCAAAAGTATAAAAGACCAATATTGTTAAGAATAAAATTTGCTACAGCTTTTATACTAAAACTTTTTTTCTAGAACGTTCCGAATCCGTTGAACATTCAAAGCGTCAAAACTACGTCAAAAGTATTGCTAACATTTGGTTTCATTCAAATAAAACAAATATAACTTTACATGGTTATTTTGGGCCTTTTTATTTTTTGTGAAATAGCTCTTATACTCGCAGAAAATATCTAATAAACCGGTGCCCGGAGACCATATGTCAAAACCCGGAGTTTCTGGGTCAAACCCAGAGAGGTGGCATCCCTAGTTCCGAATCCCACTCCACCAACAATATGTAAAACCACGATTTCATCGTAATTTCACCTTTTCGAATTTTTCTGTCTTTATGCATTTGAGAGCAAAATTATAAAAGAGGAGTATTGTTAAAAATAAAATTTGCTCCAACTTTTTTTCCTAAAATCTGAGAACAATAAACATCTTTTTAAAATGTTTCGAATCCGGTGCTTGCATTAACTAGATTAATGTTTACTTATTATGGGCAAGTCGAACACAATGTTGTTCTGAGGGCTGTAAAAGGTTAACGAGAAATGATACAGATCGGGTAAACTATAACGAATCGAATGATGTATAGATCTTGATAATCATCGTTATGACCACCTAAAAAAGATTTGTGTCATTTTCGTGTACCTTCGCAATATTTTGGCGTTTTAACGGAATTCGAAAGGGTCAATGATTAAACTTTCGAAAGAAATACGATTCATCGAAATCGGTTGAGAGATCTTCTTGGTATAAATAAAATACCATACATGTAAAATCCTATTTAATTCGGGGCTGATTTCGCATACATACAAAAGACCATGTTAGAAGAAACATTTTTTACAAGAATCCCACATTTTCTCGTTTAAATTCCATTAGACATGCGGTCAGTAGGCTATAGAAGACTAGTGCGAGGTCTTTAGGCGGTTTCAAGAACGAGTATAAGGAGAGATATGTTTTATAGAACACAGACGGTTAATTATCGGTGAGTAAAAGAAAAGTTAACTTGAACACGCAATCTTGATGCAGGAAAGTACAGTTTCTAGTTAATAAAAGCACTTATTTTTTTTACCTGACTTTAATATTTAAGAACTTTTATAAGTTATGAATTAAAATTGTTAAATCAGATTTGAAGATTATTATTTAAGATTAACGTGGCCTAAACTGGTAACAGAAAAGTGTTCACTTCCTTATTAACGATTTAAGTTGTGGAATAAAAATAACTGCGAACAATTGTAGTTTGTGGAAATATCTGTTCTTATAATAGAATGATGTGTATAAAGTTAAATAAATTTTCTTGCAAAGAAAAAAATCTAAATATTCTTAAAATTATTCTTACACATTTATTTTAACTTACCTATACAAGCTGTTAGATACAAAAATGTTTTGCTGTTGCTGCTATCACTTCCACAAGTTTCTTCAGCACCCATCGTGTCACTGACGGATTTCTTGGCGACATCCTCTCCTATATCATCCTCTTCTTGCGTGTTATCAACAGTGGTTTGAACGGGGGTATATTGGTTATTAACACTCATGACTTATTAAAAAAATTAATTTATCGTTTTAATGAAAAACTTTAAACATCCATTCCACACCAAAACCAATCTAATACAAACCGATTTGGATGCGTAAATATGATTTTTATCAGTATATTACATTTCGCAATTTGAAGAGAGATAAATTTCCGAGAGTTCAGTTCGTTATTTTTGTTCAAAACGAATTGTTACTGTGAATTAAATATACTATTAAATTATTTTTTTGTAGGTTTCAATGGTTCGTTTTTGACTTTACAAAGTGTAGTAGATATGAAATCAACTGAACGAGATTATCTCCCAACATATTTTTATCTATTTTTTAGTTATCAGGTACATTCGTAAATATTACTCACTGTATATGTAATTAATAAAATAGTTGTTCTTAAATATTGTTTTTAATAAATAAAAAATAAGGAAGTGAAAAAATCTGCATTTATTATAAGAATGAAGGTGAGTACATAAATTTTCTTTGTTGTTTGTAATAATAAGGAAGGAAGGAAGAGATTTATAATGAATTGTTAGTACAAATCCAACATACTAATCGTGACCTATTTAATTTTAAACAGACTTCTATCGTAAAGTGTAGAGACATTTTATTTGATGTAAATCAGTCACCTGTCGTCGTCGTCGTCGTTGCCTTCACTGTTTCAATAGAAGGTCAATTCTTACTGTCATTAAATTGTTTTTTTAATTTTTTTAAACTCAGTTCAAACTCATTTATCAAAAAAATCGTAACCCATACAAATATCAATATTTATTTATCACAAATAATTGCTATAAATATAATATCTTAAGAATTATAATATAAAAGAAATAAACTTGTTTTATTAACGTTGATAAGAAACACATCAAGACATTTTTGTATTTTACATGACCCTACTTAATTGATTGCTATTAACCATGAAATAAAATCCCTTCTTAATCTTGTATTAAAGTATAATTAAAATCCTGAGAAGATGTGATCATTCAAATCAGGATTAAATTCACATTTGGTAAGGAAAGATAAACTACTAATAATCAACACAAGAGGATAAAATTGGAAACTCTAAATAGCAGGGAAATAAGACAAATGTACGAAGATATCTTTACAAGGAAACTGGAAAGACTAGAGGAGGAATAAGAAACAGACGAACAAGAATTATGGACTTTGGAGAAACCATGTAAACGATTTAAGGAAATAATTTTGGAAGTGGCGGAGGTAACATGCTGCATAATGATGATAAGGGAGCCAAAAAAGAAAGGTCAAAGAAAAGAAAGTAGGCTAGAAAAACTATGTACTAACAGAACACAGGGGAACACAATAAACTACATTGAGAAACGAAATAAAGCAAAAAGGATAATAAAGAAAGAAAACTACAACGATAAGCAGAAAAATTCTGGAGTACGATAAAAAGACTCGTTTTTCGTCCCCGAAGAAGTAGAAATATCAAAAATAAAAGAAAAAGTTTTGAAACAACAACACAAGGAATCCTAGAAGCCTGGAGAGAAGATTATGCAAAACAGTGGAGGAAAACATGGAAGAAGAACAGGAGGAACACGAAGACACAAAGGAATAGCTGACACATGAATCTATAATGGAAAAGAAAATAAAGGAAGCACTTAAAAAAGCAAAAAACGACAGGTCGCCAGGAAAACCCAGAATAAAATTTGAAAGGCTCAAAAAAGAGGAACAACAGTTACCACTTGACTAACAAAATTTTACAACCAAACATGGAACGCACAGAACATATCTGAAAACTGGAAGAATAATATTACAGTACCCATATACAAAAAAAGGAAATATCACAGAGTGCGAAAATTATAGAGCAATTTTCCTCTTCTCATACTTACTAAAAAATGTATACCAAACTAATAGAAAAGCGTATAAGAGAGGAACTGGAGGCGAAATTACAAAAAGGACAAGCGGCATTAAGTTACACTGAATGTTGACAAAGAACTCTTCCTAGCGTTCTTGGACCTGACGGTGCCTTTTGAGATAATAAAAGTAATTAAAAGCCTGTGCAGCAAGGCGAAAGGAAAGGTAAGATTAAACGGACAAGTATCCCAAGAATTCCACATAGATAAAGGAGTAAAACAAGGCGATAGCCTGAATCGCCTTTTATTTATAATCTACATAAACTAGGTTAGCATTTAATGCCAACACAAAAGAAGGAAAAACTTAGGAACCTAAACCTAAACAAAATAACAATTATAACAAATATTACAACATAGAAGAAATAAGAATGATAAGTACTAGTAGTACTTATCGGATATTAAAAACCTATTACTTACAATTAGTACTTCACCATTTACAGGAATTAGTATCTCTTTTAGGTGTTGGACACTGCAGATAATAATCAAGTTCAACTCCACTAGGACTTTTTCCATTGAATACAACTTTATTTATATCAGGTTTGTTACTAGCAACCTCATTGTAACAATCCCAATATGATATATAAAATCCCTTGTTGCAGTTTCGTCTAGTTTTTTTCTCTTCGCTTGTAATACATCATCACATTCATTACTAACAAAACTGTCACTGTTATCACTTTCGATTATTAATTAAAGTATTCTCTTTTTAATGCAAAAAGCCGTTTTGAAAAATCACTTTCAGTTCTTGAGAANATATTAAAAACCCATTACTTAGTACTCCACCATTCACAGGAATTAGTATCTCTTTAGGTGTTGGACACTGCAGATAATAATCAAGTTCAACTCCACTAGGACTTTTTTCATTGAATACAACTTTATTTATATCAGGTTTGTTATTAGCAACCTCATTGTAACAATTCCAATACGATATCTCTTATAAAATCTCTTGTTGCAGTTTCGTCTAGTTTTTTTCTCTTGACTTGTAATACATCATCACATTCATTACTAACAAAACTGTCGCTGTTATCACTTTCGATTATTAATTAAAGTATCCTCTTTTTAATGCAAAAAGCCGTTTTGAAAAATCACTTTCAATTCTTGAGAAATAAATTTTTGAAATGATCGACAATTTTTTCAAATTTTGCAATTTTCGCCGATTAAGTTTTAAAAATTCGTATAAAATCCATTTCTTGGAATATGAGTATGAAAATTTCCCAAAGTGTTAATAAAAGTGTCCTCTTTCCAATGAACCAACCCGTTTTGAAAAATAACTTTTAGTTTTTGAGAAAACAATATTTGAAGTTTTGATAAAATTTTCGATGTTGCAATTTTCATCGATTATTTTCAAAATTCGCTACAAAATTCATTTCTTCACGGATCCTTGTGGAGATATCACCTATTATTAATTAAAGTATTCTCTTTATAATGCAACAAGCCGTTTTGAAAAATCGCTTTTAGTTTTTGAGAAAAAAATTTTTGAAATGATCGACAATTTTTTCGAATTTTACAATTTTCGCCGATTAAGTTTTAATAATTCGTATAAAATCCATTTCTTGGAAAATTAGTATGAAAATTTGCGAAAATGTTAATAAAAGTGTTCTCTTTCCAATGAACCAACACGTTTTGAAAAATAACCTTTCGTTTTTGAGAAAGCAATACTTGAAGTTTTGATAAAATTTTCGATGTTGCAATTTTCATCGATTTTCAAAATTCGCTATAAAATTCATTACTAAAAAAAAGAAATTCCACCGTTTTCAACATGCACATTAACCCTTTGTGTCTCGACGGTAGTTGTAAACACTCATTGGAAGTAACACTAACTAAACTCATTTTGCACTGTAGTCGTCTATTTGGCTCATTTAGAACTGTCGGTACTTTCTACTATACAAGAAAGAATCAGCATAAAAAGCTACAATCCGTATTGTAGGGTTTTTAGGTATTTAGGTTTTTAGGTATATTTAAACTTATTCGTCCAGATGTGAAGTTAGAAGTTTAGTGAAAAGTTGTGTTGTTGAATTTTGTTGTTCAAAAAGGTATCTCTTTGATAAATGGTTATTAGGTGTGATTATTACAGATCATTTTAAAAAGAAAGCATTAAGATTTAATTTAAAATAAGTCTTATTCTTTAATTTCAATAAATACGGCTTCCAGGAATTTTTAAATTAGCATCTTTTTTGACACTTTTAGGTTATACGAAAATGTAAGTTTTGTTTCAACATTTTTTTTTCAATATTTTTTCAATCCAACCCAACGATTATTATATATCGATTTAAACAGAAAGCTTTAAGCTTCAATTTAAAATTAGCTTTATTTCTTAATTTCAATAAACACGGCTTCCAGGAATTTTTGAATTAGCACCTTTTTTGATACTTAGATTATGCGAAAATGTTAGTTTTTGCTCAATATGTTTTTTCTCAATATTCTATCAGATTTTCGTCGTTCTGTAGCTACAGGTCTGATAAATAAATATTCAAATTTACTGCGACCACGAAAATGTCGTAGCGCAAATTCAAAAGAAAGAGGAAGTTGTGAAAATTGTTCTGCCAAAGCAACTTATATTATGCAAAAATTGATTCCAAAGGCCTTTACTGAGTGTATTTTGATAGCGTTTTAATTCTGTCACAAAGTTTCAAAATGTTTGACTTCTTGGGATACAAAGGATTAAGTTAGATGAGAAATCTCTTTATTTCGTAATTTTAAGAAGAAAAATTTCTTCTTTAAGCCATGTAATTATCTCATAGACATCTCTCTAGCGAAATGTTTAACTTTATATAATATTGTGTAATGTGTTCATGCTGTTATCAAAATTTGCCGCCACATCCGATTATTTTTGACGATTTCAACATGGTTTTTACTAATTACAAAATTAATTTTTCTTTATCTCAATTTCGTATTTGAGATGAAAAATGTTACGAAAAGTATCTTATCTGAATTATTAAACATCCTAAAATTAGACTAAAATTACAAATTTAATTGAAAACCGAAGCGATTCATTAACTTTTTCCAATTAAAACGATAACAGCTTCCCTAATGGATATTGCAATAACTTAAATGATCTGATAAAATTTAATAGATCATAATCCATTTTTTACAAATTCAACACTGAAATAAAACAAATTATTAAATTACATTTTTTTTATTAAAAATAAATACTTATAATGTTATAAGATAACAAAAAAAACATCATTATACTTTTTTCTTTCTATCTATTTAAAATTTCTTGTATCTCCTTAAGACTTTTTCCCTTCGTTTCAGGAATAACGAGTTGTACAAAAATTGTTCCAATATTCATTATAGCACAAAACAAATAAAAAGTAACATGAGCTCCCAATTGCACGTTTAAAATGGGAAAAGTTAAAGTAACCGCAAACGCGCATAACCAATTGGTCATTACAGCTAAACCGGTAGCTAAAGCTTTAATTTCCGGTGCGAATAATTCGCTCATAATCATCCAAGGAACGGGTCCGAAACCCATGGAAAAAAAGATAATGTAAAATACGATGCTGGCTAATGGTAAGATGCCGAGTCCCGCGAATGTGACCTTCGAATGTGTCAAATGAAAGTATAATCCCAAGGACATCAAACAAACTGCCATGCCCACGGAGGACAATTTCAAATAAAATTTGCGATTGGCCCGCTCGATTATCATAACTGATACGTAAGCGCTGATAAGTTGTACAATTCCAACGATTATCGATGATAAATCGGGTGATATCGCATCTGAGGCGCTACCAAAAATAGCGCCAGTGTAAAAAATAACAGCGTTTATCCCGCTAAACTGTTGAAAGAACATAATTCCAACCCCGGATAAAACGGCTTTTCTATTCGCCTTCGAAGTAAATAAATCCCTTAAATTGGAAGTTTTTTCTTGGGATTCCTTAATATAAGAATTTATTTCTAATAACTCTCTTTCGGCGTTTTTATATTGCTCGCCTCGGAAATATTTCAAAACTTCTTCGGCTCTTCCCATTAACCCTTGTTTTACTAAATAGACTGGCGTTTCGGGCATAAAATAAAAACAAGCGGCAAAAATAAACGGAAACGAAGCTAAAACGAACGACATCCAAAACCAATTTAGAAACGCTCCAAGTAAATAACTGCTTAAAATTCCGGCACAAATAAACATTTGGAAAAATGATCCTAAAGATCCTCTTATTGAAGCTTGGGAAATTTCACCAATATACATCGGAGCGCAAACACACATTGCTCCGGCTGCTATTCCAGCGAAGAAACGAGCGACGTATAACATAAAAGGTCCGTTGTTGAGTAAGATTAACACCCAGTTGATTAAAAATGGAATTACTAATCCTAAAATGGTTTTGGTACGTCCATATTTTTCAGCTAAGTATCCTGCTGGAAGAGCTGCCACTAAAGCACCAAATGGTACCATTGATCCTACAATTCCACTTTGAGCTTCGGTTAAAATGTTTTGTTCTTCTAATTGTGGTATTACTGGCGATGTCCATGCTAAAACTGATCCTGTACATACTGCGCCAAGGGATACTAAAAAAATAAAAAAATATATTTATAATAAAAGATAAATAATAATAAGACATTTTGGGGAATAAAAATCTTGAATACATTATTTTTAAGAATTAAAAAAACGATTTAGGTATAACTATTAAATTATATGATACTAAACTAAATACTAAATACTTTGTTCTTTTAGAAGAAATATATTAAGCTGTCTTACAATTCTGTAGTGTTTAAGTATATAAAGCTTAAAACTTTCATTTGTACTCATAATAAATTGTAGTTACAACTTTGCAAGAACCAAGATTTTCTCTAGTACTACATTATCTGAATCTATTTTAGATTAAACCCTTATCAAGGTAATTTAATAACATATCATCGAAAACGTGTAATTAATTGGAAATGCATCAAAAGTACAAATCAATAAAGAATATGCTCACAACACAATTCTGTTTCAGTACTCTTTGAATCCTTTTTATTGGAAATTTTATTATTGCGTACATCACATCATATAAAACCTGACGTATTAGATTATATATAAGACTTAACTCCGATCTGTACACAAGCTCTAATATATGCAGACCATATTGTACTAAAGACAAAATAACATTGCTATAATTCAAAATAAAAGGTTAAGAACCGTCGTTGTTATGAGCCTGATGCATTAGCAACCTCCATAGGGACCTGGAAATAGAAATCGTAGACCAAACTATCATAAATGTTGCAAAAAGTGATGGGGATTGGCTATATCGTCATGTAAACATCGAAGCCATCCAGGTGCTTGACAATACTGAAGTAGAAAGACGATTGAAGAGAAAAGAAAACATTTCAACTTCCGCAATTGCTGTTAGTGTTGTTAAAAAGCAGGTCTTGCGAGTATACATAAAAAGGGTAGTGTACTTCAAATAGTAAAACCTAAAAAATGTTTATGATTCTTATGAATATGTGTTACAAATAACACTAGAGAAGTGCCATACGGTGATTTTCTTGAAATTTGGCACACAAGGTGTGTATAGAGGGTATAGAGGTGTATTAAGGGTAAAAGTCATCCTTTCCGATTTTGAAGATAAGTGAGATTATTTTAAGAATTATTTTTACGATTATACGGTTATTTTCAACAAAATTAGGCAAATTAACATCCGATCTTGCCATTAATTGGTTCAAACACGTTTTTTACCAAATACCCGGAAAAACTCTGTTTTTTTGTTAGATTCTTGAACTGGTCAGACTGAAAAAAAATTGACAATATTGATAAATTTCGCTAGTGTTGACTCTGTGTTCATCGTGTAAATGTTGAATTTAGGTATGAATGTTTTATAAAAAACTACACAATTTGAAACGATGAAAGTGATATATTAATTTATTTCTGTGCTACGATCGTTTCGACCAATATGTTGGTCTTTATCAGGCACTTCTAAAACAGATGTACAAAGTTTGTTAGTTATGATGCATTTTATAACGGCGATCGGGCGTAAATGACAATATACGTGTCGAATATTTTTCCATACACTAGTTGTGTGTCAAATTTCAAGAAAATCGCCGTATGGCACTTCCCTTGTATGGTACTTGTTAGATGTGGTGTAGATTTACTAAAGCTGATAGTAAATTATGTTAGTTTTAAATTGCTCATTGATCGTGCTTGACCAGAATGTAATAATGTGAAATAAATAAATAAAAAAATATTAACTGTTACAGATGTTAGAACTATTGACAGCAAATTTGTTAGTCTTTGGCGTATATCTTAGATGGTCAAATGAATTGAAATTATAGTCAAAATATTTAGCTGCTGACATAAACATTTGTTGCTACATAAGCAATGATACATTAAAGTAATCTTAGTCGACACTTAGGTGACTAGGAAGAAGTATTGGTCACTTAGGAGTGAATAAGTATTAAAATAGTAGTGTCTTATATTAAAAAACATTTTTTTGTAAAACGTTCGGTATACCGATTTTCTCCATTAACCACTTGTGAAACTTCGAATTCTTCTAATTTTCATATTTTCGACTATTTCGCTACATTGATGTATCTGAGAGTAATAGTATTACACAGGAATATATTAAGGGTAAAATTTGCTGCAACTTTTTTTTCTAAAACATTTTCTGTATCATGTTCGGTATACTGATTTTCTTCATTAACCACTTGTGAAACTACGAATTCTTCTAATTTTCATATTTTGGACTATTTCTCTACATTGATGCATCTGAGAGCAACAGTACTACACAGGAATATGTTAAGGGTAAAATTTGCTACAACTTTTGTTCTAAAACATTTTCTGTATCATATTCGGTATACCGATTTTCTTCATTAACCACTTGTGAAACTACGAATTCTTCTAATCTTCATATTTTCGACTATTTCTCTACATTATGCGTTTGAGAGCAATAGTATTACACAGGAATATGTTAATGGTAAAATTTGCTGCAACTTTTGTTCTAAAACATATTCTGTATCATATTCGGTATACCGATTTTCTTCATTAACCACTTGTGAAACTACGAATTCTTCTAATTTTCATATTTTCTAATATTTCTCTACATTGCTGCATCTGAAAGCAACAGTATTACACAGGAATATGTTAAAGGTAAAATTTGCTGCAACTTTTCTTCTAAAACATTTTCTGTATCATGTTCGGTATACTGATTTTCTTCATTAACCACTTGTGAAACTACGAATTCTTCTAATCTTCATATTTTCGACTATTTCTCTACATTGATGCATTTGAGAGCAACAGTATTACACAGGAATATGTTAAGGGTAACATTTGCTGCAATTTTTATTCTAAAATATTTTCTGTATCATGTTCGGCATACCGATTTTCTTCATTAACTAGTTGTGAAACTTCGAATTCTTCTAATTTTCATATTTTCGAATATTTCGCTACATTGATGTATCTGAGAGCAACAGTATTACACAGGAATATGTTAAGGGTAAAATTTGCTGCAACTTTTGTTCTAAAACATTTTCTGTATCATGTTCGGTATACCGATTTTCTTCATTAACCACTTGTGAAACTACGAATTCTTCTAATTTTCATATTTTGGAATATTTCTCTACATTGATGTATCTGAGAGCAACAGTATTACACAGGAATATGTTAAGGGTAAAATTTGCTGCAACTTTTGTTCTAAAACATTTTCTGTATCATGTTCGGTATACCGATTTTCTTCATTAACCACTTGTGAAACTACGAATTCTTCTAATTTTCATATTTTGGAATATTTCTCTACATTGATGTATCTGAGAGCAACAGTATTACACAGGAATATGTTAAGGGTAAAATTTGCTGCAAATTTTGTTCTAAAACATTTTCTGTATCATGTTCGGTATACCGATTTTCTTCATTAACCACCTGTGACACTACGAATTCTTCTAATTTTCATATTTTCTAATATTTCTCTACATTGCTGCATCTGAGAGCAACAGTATTACACAGGAATATGTTAAGGGTAAAATTTGCTGCAACTTTTGTTCTAAAACATTTTCTGTATCATGTTCGGTACACCGATTTTCTTCATTAACCACTTGTGAAACTTGGAATTCTTCTAATTTTCATATTTTCGACTATTTCTCTACATTGATGCATCTGAGAGCAAAAGTGTTACACAGCAATGCGTAATGGTAAAATTTGATACAACTTTTGTTTTATAAGTTTTTCTGCTATTGTGTAGAAATGGAAAATCAAAATGTCTCAAAGTAAACAATGTAAAATCTTACGTTTTCCCTTATGTAGCTGAGTTATAAAGGGTAAAATCACTAATTATTATAAACCAGAATCAGCGTATTGATAGCAATACGAACAATATCACTAGAAACCAAAAACAAATAACGAATTTCAACACTAAAAAATTCAGTAAATATCAGTTTATAGTTTAATTATGATGTTGTATAAATCAATCGAGTGATAAAATTTGGTTCATATAATACACTAAATTGCTTAACCATTTAATCTGATTCCAATTCAGATTTATCTTTCGAATGACAAAAAAGTTGCGTATTTCTGAATTAGCAACTTTAACGGAACTGCTTTATTTAAAATATGTATTGGTTTTAAATCCAATGATAATTAATCTTTATAGTTTTACAAATGCAACATTAGCTTAACTACAACTGTACATAAATACCAACATAAATCGTTAAAATTAATCTTATGTTTCAGATCTAATCTATTGGCTTAAAATTCTCTGATGCAACAGTAGATACCATAAATTAAATAGTATTAGTCAAAGTCCAAAATTTCAATACTAAAAAAAATTAAGTGGAGGAAAATCTTTTTATTGGTGTCGTAAAGAGAAACAATAAAGTCTAAACAAATTGTGATCTGAATTTTTTAAATTTCTTTAATATATTCTAAATTAAGTCATTTTTGAATCTTAATTAAACTGTTTAAATTTATCAATATTAATAGAACCAAAAAGGTCAATATTATGTAGATATACTGTTAAGACATAGTTGAGACAATAAATATTGTATATGTTGATTAAAAATACAAATATTATTAATTTTAAAGTAAAGTACTGTTTTATGTCGAAAACGATTTTATTTTTGATGTGAACAAACACGATTTATTATTTTTTTTAATTCTCTTAATAATGAGTTCTATGCCAAATGTAATACTATAACTATTATTAACAATTTTATTATTTTAACAACAAAATCTAATATTTTTAAACCTAAACTATTTGTTTCAAATTTTTTCTGTTTAAAGTAAATATTAACATTTAATTGGTTCAAAGTTCAAAATATTCAATACAATAAAATACAAGAAGAATTTTTCTTGTATTTTATTTATTTAATAATAAAAAATACTTACCACAAATAGCTGCAATATATTGTTTGACCTTTTTGGTCTCAACTAGCATAGGATCTTCAACATCCATGATCACTCCCGATTCAGATCGATTTTAGCAAGCAACTGATTTCCGAACAATTGATTTTTATCAGCAAATTACTTATCTTAGTCTTTATACTTTAAATGGAGTACTATTGATTTAAACAAAATTACTATTGACACGATTTCTAACGTTCATTTTAAAATAAACAAAATTCTAAAAGAAGGACAAACAAGTTACAAATAAAATTGAATTAAAAATGAATGCTTTAATTTTAAATTGATTTTATTTTTGATTTATTAAAAAATAGTTATACAGCGTTTTAAATCGCCTTATACATATTAATATATGTACAAAAAAAATTATAATAAAAAATGACTAGCTCATCTCAATACTTATCAAGTTCAAAAAAAAATTAGTATCTTTGGTTATTAATTTGTCTTCAACACATAACACATCAATTTCTCTCTGATGATTCGATTAGGACACATCAAATTCGTCGTTGTATTAAAATTTCTTTAAATCTTAAAATGCATCTAATTTTTTATTTCATCTATAAAACAATGGTCATGTATTCATCCCATTGGTTCCATGAACTCTCATATGCCTATTTAAATTTCCACTTTGAGAGAATCTCAATAGGCACAATTTGCACTCGTACGGTTTCTCCCCACTGTGAATTCGTAAATGTTTAGTTAATGTACTACTATCGGAAAATGCCTTACGACATTGTCGACACCTGTATGGTCTCTCCCCCGAATGCGTTCTCATGTGCGTGGTCACCGATGAGGATTGCGAAAATCTTCTATCGCAAACTGGACACCTAAATGGTTTTTCACCACTATGTGTTCGTACGTGTGCCGTTAAATTAGCCGCTTGAGAGAAACTTTTATTACAATCTATACAACGGTATGGTTTTTCACCGGAATGTGTTCGTAAATGTGTTTTTAATGTACTTGGTCTAGCGTAACTTTTACCTGGAACAAAACATTAGATTATATGATATTATATACATAACAATGTGGAACATTGGAGTTATTTTGGATGTGAGTTTTTGATTTACATAAATAATTTCTAAAATTTGTTTATTATATTAATTATATACGTTATCGTTTGGCAACAACACCTGTGAAATCATTGGAGAATGATGGATAATGTTTGATAGCGCTTAAATGAGACTCGATTTGGCAATTATCTTAAGTTGCCAAAGTTCAGCTGATATAGTATTCCTGGGCAAGAAAATTCATATGTAGGAGAATTCACAATGGAAAAAATAGAGAAACCATTAAATAATTCTTTGAGGCTTTATGAAAAAATTGAGAACACAATCTACTTATTGAGCTGGAAAGATGCCACCTTTTCTGCAAGTCATGGTTGGATTCAAAGATTCAAACAAAGTCATTCTTTACATAATATAAAATTGTACTCACTGGAGAACAGGTTTCTCCAACATGGACTGTAGCCATTGGACTTATAATAATCTTATCGTCATCATGTATAAAACATGCTGACGACCACCCTGCCTTTCAGCATGCGGCTTTCTTCTGCTTCTTCACCATAATTAAACACAAACCCTGTCGCTAACCAGTCACAATCATCGATATCGCTGTTATCCATAATCCCATTCAACTCTATTTTACCTTCTTTTTCTCTATTCCTCTTCACCTGTTCTCCACTCTCCTCCCATTCAGACACATCCGCAAGATATGCTGCATTGTACTGTAGAGTACTGGCTCTTGATGGAACACCGTACCAATTACACTTCATGTCGTTTAGATTTCAAATTCCATTGGCATAAAAAAATGAGTTATTGCACCTATGACAAGTATACGAAAGATTCAATCAGCGGCTCCCGCTCGAAAAGTGTATTGAGTTCCACCATGCTTAGAATATAGGATACAACTCAAAAAGATATTGCACCAGTTCACATCAAAGAAATGATACGAACACAGCCACTCACAATAAAAAATCAACTAAAACCTTATGAACTGCTTACGATCGTAAACTGATCATTACACGACCAGCCTTTTCTGTTATAGACGAACCCAAGCGAAAAATAACTGGTGTTTTAGTAAATGTGAGCACAGTTCAGATTATTGAAGTTAAGAGTTTGATGATTCCCTTAATCAGTTTCAATTTTAAATTAAAGATTGTCGGTTAACCTTGCGAATGGATATCAGAGCTATGTTATGGCACCAAACTGCATGGACTTATAGAAGTTTAAATTACGACAGAAATAAATAAAAATAAATTTTTATCTCGCGATTCAGCCGATCAGTTCATGTCAAAAAAGGAGCGCCAAATCCCAAAAGAACGAGTTAACGAGAAAATTCGTATGCTTAAGACATTATTCATAACTGGGTTGACATTCAAGAAAAATGGAGTAACACAATTCTACAACAATATAGAATTTATACTTATAGGCTTTCCATGTTAACATGCAAGGTCTTCGTAACAAAGTTAATGAATTCGAAGCTTATTTATGTGATAACGTGTATAATTTTGATTTTTCATGTATAAGCGAGCACTGGCTTTGTGGGGATGAATTGAGTAATATCGGAAGAATTGTAATGTGTAAAAACGACCTTAAATGCAGTACTTTGGAGTGAGTTAATGAATTATCTGTGGAATTGCATTGTGAATTAACTGCATCCCGTTGTGAATCATATGATGTTGTAACTGTCTGCTTGTATAGATCTCCATCTAGAGACTTTGATTTATTTTGCACAATAATTTCTGAAGCTTTGTATAAATTAAATAATTTGCGGCGATTTCAACGTCACATTTGGCACGTCTGATGGTACTGCAGTGAGGTTGTGTGACCTCTTCAGTTCCTACGGCTTTATAAGCACCATAAACGAGGCAACTAGGTTGAACAACTGCTTGGACAACAGATTCATTAACTTTTCTCTAAATCTTTTTGAAACAAGAATCTATGGCACTTACTTATCGGATCGATGTGCCCAAGGCATTATTGTGCCTATCCATACTGTAAACCGTGTAAGCTATACTTCTAGAGTAACCCGACCAATTACTAGTATTGGTAATGTGATTTTTTTTGATACTTTTGTCAATTATGACTGGGAGTTCTTGGATGATGGTTTATTGGGTGGTAATGAAAAATTTAAGCTTTTTCATGACATTTTTCTCAAGTGTTTCACTGCTAGCTATCCTGAACGTAAATGTATAGTTAGAACTATAGTTAGAAATGCATAAAACTGAAAACTTGTTAGCCCTAAAGAATAAAATACGATCGGACTACAGAAAAGCTTTAACAATTTCTAAAAAACATTCTGCTAGTCAATTTAGTCAGAAATCAAATAATAAGACAAAGGCCAGCTGGGAAATGATAAATGCCAACATCAATCGACAAGGAAATCCATAATTGATTTTGATCCTGAAGTATTAAATAAATACTTTATTGAGCTACTTGTAAACATATTAAACTCATTGCCAGCTATGGCTGATACGCCTCAAAGCATGTGTTATGTAACTCGACATACGATTACCCTGACGGACGTATCACCCATCGAAGTACGACAACTGCTTAAAGATTTAAAGAATAGCCACACTAAAGATATATTTCATCTAATTTTATCAAGAAAAACATCAGCCTATACGTGTCGGCCTTAACTAAATTAGTAAATTCTACGTCTCATGACGCCACATATTACTCATGATTTTATCATGTATCAAACACATATTAGATTATACTATTTCACCTTCTAGTATAGTTGCGATTTATGCAAAAAAGATACTTGTTTTATAGAGTTCCATTTTAATTTTTTAAGCAAGACTTAAAAATTACTTGTTTCCTACTTACCACAAATATTACAAACGTTTGGTTTTTGAGGATCATCTTCAGGAACTATACTATGTCTTCTTCTGGGCGATTGAAAAGCTGTTGGTTTGTGATGCGTTGTTGTGAACATTTGAGGTTCTTGTTGAGGTCTGAAATCGGCCGTGAAGGAATAAGTACCTCCATACGAAGGACTTAGTAATCCTTGGGATTGGTATGAAACCGGGGAAGAAACTTGAGGGTTTGCGCTCCATTGTACCTATAAAAAAAAGGAACTTTTTGATCCATTAAAATAACTACCCCTTTACTAATTCATTCAGTCAAAATGGACTACAAACAAGAAAAATAATATTTGATGACAATATCTAAACAAATAATTTTCACTTACCTGTGGACAAGTCATATCAACACTTGGATAACTTGAGTTAGGATGATAACCCATAGTCATATTCATTGAAACATTAACAGACATACTAGGAAACATAGCGGTTTGATGCGTTAATCCTTGATCGGTGTTCTGTGTTGAATATCCATTAGGCGATAATAAATACTGAGAAGTGTACAATCCGTGTTGATCGAGTTTATCACTGGGTAATTGTTGACCGGGATGGACAACAGCGTGTTTTAACGATAAAAGTACGTCCGCCATATCGGCGGGTTGTTGCCTGGGATTTAAATTCGGCTGATTAATTTGACAAGGATCGTTTCTACAACAAAAATTATCCCATCTTATTTATGTATGTTTTCATTTACGCATTTTCACAAATTTTCACTTGACACTCACTTGTATGTGGAATTTTGTCCGTTTGAACAGGGTGAAAATGGAAATAACGACGGTAAAGGTTCCAAATCGAGGGGTAAAGAAAATGATCCCATATCCTCGGTCCAGCAGGACGAAAGTTCGTCCTGGCAGGACTGGGCCGAACAGGAACTTTGGCACTGGGGCACGGAAGAGGTCCAGTTGCACTCCACCTGGAGCCCGAACTGGGGGTTGTTGGGGACGTAGTTCGCTTCCATCTCAATAAAAAGGTAGGAGGTCCTTACGGCCAAGTCCCGGACTAGTTCTGGACCAAAATTTGTACCGCGCACCTGCGGGAACCAATCGGAATTCTACCGGGATCCTCCCATTTTACCGGAATCTCCTGAAAATTTATCCCATAGGAAGGGTGGGTAAAATCGATTGTTGTGGTAGGGATTAATTAATTTTCGTTATTCATATGGGTTCTTAAAATTAATTAATTCAACAAGTAAAAGGATATCAAAATATAAATTTAGTGAACAACACTATATAGTACATTTTATTTTTGAACCTAACCCATTTACAAATTCCTCAAAATATCAAACAATAACAATTAAAAATAAAAAATTCGAGTCAAGTCCGTCTTTATAATTTTATTCATCACAAATTTTATAAAATTATCTTTTTGTTTTTAAGGATAGAATTAATTTGTAGAAGAAAATTTCTACAAGATCTTGGTAACTATTGCAGAATTCGGAAAAGTTAACAATAACTCTAGTTAAGTTAAGTCTAATCGATATTTTAGTAATGTATAACTTATATAATTTTCTGAAGTACAACCATCAGTAAGTTATAATAACTGTTAAATGATAAATAACTGTTAAACAATCAATACACGCATTATGACCGCATCACCATGTATACCAGGAAATCTTAACGATAAAAAATTATAATAAGACGATAAAAATGAAACTTTGAAGTTGATATTTTCAAAAAAAATCTGTAAGCAATGTTACTTGACAACCTAAGAAAGTTAAGTGTAGGCTACTTTACCTAATTAATATTATTTATCTTTATAGAGCCATGAAACGTTGGTTAATTCAACAATTATAACAAACGAGGAATCAACATATCACCAGAAGTCACCATAAAAACGAAGACTATATTTTGAATGCAAGGACAACACTCTTTCTGTCAAACAGAAGCTCCATCACTACAGTTCGAATAGAAATAATTGTCCTTTGATTTTACAGAGGCTTTGTTCTCGAAAATTTCTGAAATTCTATCGCAGTGTTATTTGCAACCAGATACTAGTAAATAATTTTATGAAACCAGCTAAGTTAAGGAATCATGTTGAAACGAATCATCCAGAGTTTCAACAAAAAGCCATGGATTTTTAAGAAGAAGAGAACAGTTAAAAAATATTCAAAGAAGCGTGTCCTGCATTGCCATACCAGGATTTAACAAATCAAACAAACTCATAGCTTACAATAGTAGACTACATGCTATTGCTAAAAAAGTCATCTTACCAGCGATAAAAAATATGGTGTAATCAATGCCTAGCGATAAAGGTATCAAAGAAATTATACAAATTCCACTGTCAGATAACGCAATTTATAGGTGAATTGAAAGCATGGCAGGTAACATTAAAGAGCAATTAATAGAAAGAGTTCGTGTATCTCCTTGATTTGCCATACACTTGGATGAAACAACAGATGTAACTAATCAAGCAGTTTTATTTAAATATAACTATTTTGAAGATTTGTTTTTTATGGATTATTTATTGCAAATTTGAAATTCTTAAATTTATTACCTATTTTTACTTTTTCGTAAACACCAAGCATGTAAAGACAAAATATAATCGTGCTACTCAAAAATATTGTGACAATATATAATACAGTGCTTCTGTAGTCAACATATTGAGTGATAATGAAACGCGTGAAAAATACTATAAAGAAAAATGCTGTTCCTCCAAGCCAGCGGACAGTCCCTTTCCTGTATCTGGCCGTTATATCGAGGTCTTACTGTACTACCATTTTATGATATCATAAAATTTAATACAAAACCAAATATGTACTAAGAAACGTTACAAATTTCGTGCGAGAAAAATGTTATGTATACTAACAGTTCTGCAAAAGAAAAACTCTTTGTAAATAATTTATCTACATTATTTTTACAACTGGGTGGTGGATCTCCAATATTGTGGTCGTGTATCATTTAAAATCGTGTGTGTAATATTTGTAAGGCTTTCTAAAAAATAAAACGCATTTAAGCTTTCATTTGCTTGCAATTCTTAAACGTGTTCCTAGACTTAGTGATCGCAACAAAAATGGTTACAATCTGAATCATTTAATCTTCGCATTGCTAATATAGATGCAGTTACAACGGTTACAAGAATGAATCATGGATGAATAGATGCTCAAACATTCACAAAGTGGTTCCAAAGTTCTTTTTTGCCACACACTATACCTTAACTCTACCTATGTCTTCCTATGTTGATAGGAAATAATCTCTCATCACATTTCGCAGACACTGTCTTGGAAGGGTGCAACGACAAAGCCGACTAACCTCACTCAACCTTTGGATGTTAGATTTTTCTGTTTGTTCAATTTTGATCAATTTCGCTCCAAAAGATCAATTTCACCCCATGATATATAAAATTCTATAATATCTATACTGTTTGGAAAAAAGAAGAATGGATGAAATTGAACAAAATGTGAAATCAAGAGCTTGTCGTATATGCATTAAAAATTCAATGATAGGGTTATTTTATGAAATAAAAATTATATTTCAAAATTTAGCACTATTACTTTCTAGGAAAAATTGATTAATATTTCATGTCGGAATTCCACATTTAAAATTTGAAAAAAATTATATCTTGTTTTATCAATTCCATTCAAAATGATGGTATTCTTAAAACCGTCAAAACGTTTTTTTCAACGTGTTCAAAAAGTTCAAGATAGCAACGTAGACTAACAGAACGCTTACATAAAAAACTTACATGACAACAGGAATACTAGAATTTGCAGGATATTGAGAACAACCCTACCACGAGTATTGAGAGTAAATTTTTGAGCATTCCACGAAATTCACCACCAATCTCTACTTTATTAGAGATTATAGAGATTTATAGAGATTATATGAGATAACAATCCTCATATGTGATGCTTCTGCTAACGTATAGTTACATTCTTAGAGAATATTCAACACGGTAAATTACCGTGCCCATGCTACATTATGAGTAGGCATAAAAAATTTTGAATTGTAATATGTTTTGTAATAAATTGATAAATGAACTACTACTTTCATTACTCTTTATTAACTGCATTAAACATAAAAGCTCACGGTATACAATATTATCCGAAGTATTACAATTAAGGCCAGATCCGCTAAAATATATTAACATTAACATATACTACAAAGCCTCAGCTTAATTAGGCTCATGTATTGCTCGAAGCATTATAATTAATGCCGTATTGATGCAATTATAGACAACACATACTATAATTTCCGTAAGCTACCTCGACATAGTATAAAACAAAGTTGTATAATTGCGTGGTGTTATATAATATACAGGGTGGGTTATTAGTATCCCGGCGGTCGATAGTTACTAAACCGTTTGAAAAACAAAAAAATATTTTATACAAAAGTTGTTTGACTCATGACTTTCTATTACGTAAAATTATTTTCACTTATACAGGTTGTTCCATTTAAGCGTAACGGAGAGTACATAAATTTATTTAAATGGAACATCCTGTACATTTTATCATATTATGAATACGACTAAATTTGTTTATACAACCGTATATGTTAATATTTCACAGCGTTCATAGTTCTTGAGATATTAAATTGTTCTTCCAAAATGTGCCCATTACAGGATTTTTTTTGAGAACGATGTAAAAATGATATTTTTTTCGATTTTGTCTTGAAATATGTCAGACAATAGTCAAAGCCAGTAGGAAGATTCAAAGATATTAGATACAATATACAGCATGTTTAAAAAGCTCAGTTACTTTCGATGTTTTTCAAATGGCTTTTTCTTAAGTTATTTACATGGAACATACAGGATATGTTGTGTGCTAGTTGAATTGCTCATCAAGTTCCCTTTAATTAGTGATAAGTATGTCATATGTCATTATTGTACTTAAAAAACTAACAGAATGTAAATATATTGTCCTTTTTTGTCACTTTTTCTTGTTTTTTCTTTTTTGTTTGTGTGTCATTTGTAAATCAGTAATATTATATACTGATATATAAAATACAATTAAAAAAAAACTTTAATAAATTAAAAAATAATCAAAACATGATAACAATACAAGAAATACAATTAAATGGCAGAACAATAAATCCCTTTTTTAATTACTAAATTATTTGAATGAAACGCAGCAACAAACTATAAACAATTACTAAACGTTGCTAAACAAGTAGGTATTAATTTAATTAATACTTAGAAGTTGTTCAAAATGCCGCCCATTTTCTCTTCTACAAGCATTAATGCGTTGTATAAAAGATCTTGAGGTATCTCTTAACATGTGCATCTTATTTTCTCTAAAGTCGTAAATTATATGGCAGAACAATTAAATCACCAAGTCGCATTAAAATCTGGTATATTGGAGCAAAATTATTTTACATTACAAAATATTAATCAAATAATAAAAGAAAGAACAAAAAAACTGATAAAAATACACAGAATATAATATTAAGTACAATAACGCATATTTTATTACACATTATTCTTTAAATTCTAAATATCAGGAAAACTACTAAAGTTAGATATATGATATACTTATCATTAATTAAAGGTAACTTGATGGGCAATTCAACCAGCACACAATATACAGGAGTTCCATTTAAAACTTATGAAAAGCCATTTGAAAAACATCAAAAGTAACTAAGCTTTATGAACACGCTGTATAGTGTATGTAATATCTTTGGTTACTGTCATTTATCTAATGGCTTTGACTATTATTTGACATAGTTTCAAGGCAAAACTGGAAAAATTTCGCTTTAGAATAAAAAATAGAATATCTTAGGAACTATGAACGCTATGAGTTAATAACATATACGGTTGTATAAACAAATTTAATGCTATTCATGATATGATAAAATGTATAGGGTGTTCTATTTATAAAAATCTACATACTCTCCGTTACGATTAAATGGAACATCCTGTATAAATGAAAATAATTTTACGTAATAAAAAGTCAAGTTCTTTCTCAAACAGTATTGGCTAAATTAACACTTATATTCTTAGATTATTATAAATTTCATGCTCTTAGGGTCGGTTGTACCAACTCCCGATAAATTTATCCGATAGATAAATTGGCGCACTTAGGTCCATTACTACCATCTTTTAGTTAAATTTATCTTATAGATAAACCCATCTACTAGCCAATCAGAGCGCGTAAAATAGCCGTAACCGTGGTAATAATCCCTTAGATAGCTTAACCAGAAGATGGTAGTAACGAGCCTTAGCCAATGAGAGCGCTTAAAACCGCTGTATCCATGGTAATTATCCGTTAGATAGTTTATCAGGAGGTGGTACAACCGGCCCTTAGTATATGAATTTAGCCAAGAAGGTTTATTTGATACTTGTTATGGTCATTATGTTTTCCAGATATTGTGTATTAGATGTACAATAGATTTCAAATTTGATTAGCACAAATATTTGATGTGTCTTGATTGTACAACCTCGGCCGCAAGCAATTGATCTATTTTTCTGCGTCCTGGAAGATTTATATCGTATAAGGTTGAAAGAGTGTAGTTAGGTAATTTGTAAACACATGTTGTCATCACTTCTTACTCAATGACCATTTTGAATTTTGAGCGGATTTGGTTAATAGATTTATTTAGTTCAGAAATGAAGTAGTTAGTATCAGAAGTATTTGTTATGTTTTGCAAAAAAAAACATCATAGTGACAATTTGTTTTCTTCCTAATCTGTTTAGTTATATGTTTTGGGTAGGTACATTGTCCACCTATGTTTTTAGGTGCCGGAACTTTTGAGAGAGATGTGTCGAATGAACTTTCCAAAATATCGTTAAGTATTTGCCAAGTGGTGCGTCTATTTGTTAGAGAAGGTCTTAAGATCCTATAGATGCCTCTGTATTTATAGTGACAAAAACGGTGAGTAATCCGATGGTAAGTCAAAAGCCACTTATAACTTATCGATTATGTATTATTATAACTTAATCGATAACGTCGAGAATTGAAGTATCAGCAGGCCAACACGTAGGATCCTGAAGCAAGCGTGTAAGAGTTATTTTACAGATTTAAGTAACTTTCTACCTCTCGCTATAAATGTCCAAGATCCCCATTGATGTTGTTGGAGCATTATAGTCTCCAACCGCAATTAATCTGTGGCATAATTTGTAAAAAGAATGAATTAAATTCCTTTTTAGAGATGCTAAAAAAGGTATTTGCCGTGGTGTTTAATATTATTTTTTATAATTTTTTATAATTTTTTTTACCTATTGCTTGAGGGGTGATGCGTGGCATAAAACGATTAGTTTGGTATTGTAAAGAAGCATATTCCAAATAACTCAGGAAAATAAGGACTTATTTTGTAGTAAGTAGAATCCGAAGGCTGGAGAATAAGATTTCGAAAATAGTGAGATTTAAAGCATTTCCAAGACTTTTCCAAGAACTACAACAGTTACCAGACAAACATCCTAAAAATTTAATGTAGAAGCTCAAATGAAATCATTAAAATTAAGTATATAAAAGAATAACAAAACTTTGTTTAATAAATTTAATAATTGTTAACGATTTACTTTATCATATTATTGTCAATAACCAAGTATATTTTTAAATCTATGTCAAGAACGTTTTCTTTTTTATCGTAACACCAAGTAAATCAACAAACATTTGCACTTCTTTGATTGAATTCCCAACAATATTGATAAAAAGAGAAAACATTAAAATTGTATATCGTATTAAGTTGAACAAGTAGATCAAGATTACGAACCACTTATAATCATGATACAACGATATGATAACAATATTTAATTACCAAATAATAACACAATTGATCACCAAGCGATAACGAGTTATCATAACAAAAAAAAATCTTACCTTGACTCAATTCACCTTTCAAATGGATTTTAAATGAAATTACTTCCAAAAGAAATCATCACTATTAAAATATTAACAACATCACAATCAACACATTTTTTTATTTTGATTTGTCACATTAACAGAACATATTTTTCATTTCAGTTTTCACTAATAAAAGCTGGTTTTATTAAAGCTTCTTATGTAAATCTTATATTTTAGCCTGTTTTCTTCTAATTTTTTAAAGATTTAAATTGTGTTAAGTTTCTTTTCAATCCAATTTGTTGGTAAGTTCTTCTTTCTCTGCTTTCATTCACATTAGTCGTCGCTCTTGGCGATTCCTAACTGGCTCATAGCGGATGACCGGCGATTCGCACAACAACCCCATCATCTTGTAGCTCATGTGATGTTCACAATGGACAGACAGACACGGTCTATTAACGTACTCACTAGTTACGGCTGCGGACAACATACAACCCAACCCTCCGCCCCCTTTTAGTTGGGGGTGTCATCTTTCCAACACATACACCGCGGCCACGATGGATACTACTTAATTACGCATCAATGATCCCCAATACAAAACTAAAGGAGAGAAAGTTAAAACGGCGGTCTAATTATGACCTGATACACGTTTTTTCTGCGAAATTGAAGAATATTACATTATTTATTAGTAAAAAAATGATTTAAAGTATTTGATTTATCAAAAATGTTGGTATCTCTACGACTAATAATAAAATGTATTGTTTTGATAATATATTTATTTAAAAAAAGAATAAATATATCATAAAATAATTAGCATATAACTCGCATACGATCGATGTTGGATGTTGTTTTGAAAGAGGCGTGGTTAAAAAGCCCCTTTAAGCTCGTCCAAAGCCATAGCAACCAATCGCCGTAGTCCGAAAGCTCTCACCCCAAAAGCGAAAAGCTCCCCCACTCCAAGGCCGAAGTAGGAATATCCGACGACAAGAACAAGAAAAAAAAGCTCTCGTCGTCCACCGGATAATTGAAACAAAATATGACCGAGGCAAGGCGAACGCGATCATTTCCCATCAGCTCTGGTGCACTTCCTATCGACGATCGCGTGAACAAGACGGCGGCAGGACAAGAGAAAGGGAACGAACACAACTCGGCTCGTTTTCATCAAATACCTCAACAAGTATCGGATTACTTTTTATTTATTATAAGTAGACACGGTTTACTTTCTCTATATTATTGATGAAATATGTTACAAATTGATCAACTTTAAATACTTTCCAAAAACTCTTCATTTATTATTATTTAATTTTCAGTCTAATTTATGATTGACGATGAAATGAAAAGTGTAAAATACTTTCTAGGTGGTAAATCTAAAAACACCAATATTACAAATTGATCAACTTTATATACTTTCCAAAAACTCTTCATTTATTATTATTTAATTTTCAGTCTAATTTATGATTGACGATGAAATGAAAAGTGTAAAATACCTTCTGGGTGGTAAATCTAAAAAGGGCACGTTTAAATTATTTCGAGCCAGATTCACACGGTTGATCCTCACGCCAAATGAATACCAACCAATATATTTAATAGGTGATATCAAAATGCGATGGGGACTTACGCCCGAGTTGGTAGAATGGCTGGGACAGGTTACGGAGGTTCATAATCCAATGTTATACTGTAACGACGACGACGTGGTATTTGGTCAGGTGGTTAGCGGGTGGTCGAGTCTGGTGGTGCTGTAAACGGTGAGGCAACATCGTGGAAAGAGGGTATATCGATGACTCCTCCGTCGCCACGGGATGTGACGTAACCCGATCTTTTGGGGCCCTTTCGCACCGGACCACCGTCGATTCTTCAAGACATCGAACCTGTCGTTGACCTCTCGCGTATTAGTTCATGGTGCTGTATGAGCACCCACACTGTCAAATTGAATTAAAATTAAGAATTTTCTTTTTTCTGAAAAAAATAAAAAAGCAGTACATACATACATAATTATATTAATTATAACACATATGTTACATAATATGTAATACGTATACGTACATGATCAAACATTCATTCCATTAATTCAAAAAAGGGCTGTGCTAAACTTTGTCGCTTTCATCAACTTACGATGTGGTGCCGTTACAACACCTTTCTCGTAAGTCGAAACCATACATAATATTCTTCAATAATATTGCCAAACACACAGGCGGTGATTCTTTAGCAAACTTACGTTGACTCACCTGGAAAATGAAACTTAGAAAATAACTTTTCCTTATAATAGGGTACGTTACGAGACTATTTATACTTTATTTCCATGTTATACAGGGTGTCCCACGACGTGACTGCCATAGTTTGGGAGTGTGTTGATTTCAAGACAAAAATGTCTAATGAACATACACCCAAAACGCTATCGCTAGCCGAGCTAGCTACAAGCAGACCATTTAAAAAGAAACAGCTTTATTGAATTAATTGCTCAAAATGTCCATGCACCCAGTTGCTGTATACATAGTCTAGCTCTTCTTAGAATTGAAGTGGTAGCTCTGCTAACAGTCTCAGGATCAGCACGAATAGTTTCTGTGACATCCATAATTCTAGCTACTAGTAAGTTTAGTTTATGCAGAAAATATTGAAAACAGAGAACAGTTTTCAATATTTTCTGCATAAACTAAACTTTACAGTCTTCCCCATAAAAAGTAATCTAAGAAATTAAAGTGTGGTGACCTTGCTGGCCAAGGAACTGCTTAACCTCTTCCAATCCACCGGTTTGTATAATTTTGATTAAGAAATTCTGTTACTTGTCCATAATGGCCATAACATGATTTTACTAATTTTCTTTTTTATTATTTTGCAAATGTGGATCGTTAGGTTATATCGCAATACTCGCTGCTCCGCAATAACTACTTTCTATTAACTTCAACTGTGGATAAAAATGACATGTAATGTTAACACTTATTCTACATATCAATTTCCAAAAATATTTGATTAATATTGAGAAACGATTGTAAACATATTAAAAGTTGTACCCTTATGAAATTTTACTATAATTTTATACTGTTTATGTTGTTTATATAATACTGTAATAGCTTCTTGAATGCTGAATTTATTTATCTTTTTCTCAACACTGTTCATAAACAAATTTTATTTGCAATGTTAAACTTTAATTTAAGCTACAAAAAAAGTACCACAAGATCCCAGGATGAAATTTGTTTTTTTATGTAGTTTGCGCATATTTGCACATTTTCAATAAAATGGCTAATATACAGGGTGGTGTCTACGGATATTCGACAGTGAATACTGAAAGTTAGTTTTGAAACTATCAATCGTTTACAATCTTTCAGAATAACTATTTTTTATGAATTAATATTAGTACATACTAACTCTATTATTAGATTTAGAACTAGAAGCTTTCGGGCTTAACCGTGCGTTTTTAAAAAAGAGTCACAATTGAGATATCATGTTGTAACCTTCTTCCCAAACAAATCCGAAGTATTTTTTAGTTAAAAAATACCTATCCAACACACAGTAATAAAAATAAAAATCAATGACACGTTAAAATGTCAAACCAGATGGCTATTTCTTGGCTATTGTTCAAGGAAGCACAACTTTGAAGCTTGTTTTTCTTTGTTGAGATTCATGTTCAAAATAGATGTGGTTGATCCTCCAGTGTTGTAGGATACAAAATCAATCAATATCTCATCGTTCGTTTATTACTTGTTTATTAAATACGTTTTTGAGCCCTACTTACCTTTTATTCTGTTCAAGTCTTTCTGTTAACGACTTTAATTGTTCGTAAAAGCCTTTAGCTTCTTTAAATGGGATTCCGGTCTCTGGTGTGTAGACTGATATTATTTGTCGCGAATGTTTTCCCATTTTTAAGTTAGTCTCTGAACCTTTCATCGAGCGGGCTTCCTACTCTGGACGCTTCTCTTTCACCCTTTGGTTTTCTCAGCATATAATCGTTGTACAGTATTCTAACTTTTCCCTTTCTTGCGTCTCAGTTATTACACAAATGTCTGTCTTGTGATGCTGTAATTCAATAATAATTTTCTGACCTTACTTTCCAACATCTCAGTCTCAACTTGTTCTCGTGTCGTTTCTTTCTCATCTTCTTTTTCTTCGAATGTTTCGTCATCATTTGATCACTCCTATTCCTAAGTTCTGTGAGCTAATATACGTCAAGTATCATACATCTTATCCCTTAAATTGTTTGTTATGCGATTGCAGTTGTTAAGCAGACCAGATTTCAGCATAGTTGATGTACTTTCACTTACACAATCATACATTAGAACCATACTGTCCATGTATTCATTCAGGCGGTGTTACAAAAATGTCGCAAATGAACTTAGTTAAACGACTGAAATCACAAAAAGTTTTTACGAGGCAATCGTACATATTGAGACGATAACTAAAACTGAAATGGTTTCAGGTAAAGAAACATTGAACGATGGTGTACCACTTATTTCTCGTGCAAGCTTTAGTAGACCTCACCGTGGGCTTTAAGAAGAGATTTCTTTGGTCATCAAACCGACTTTGAGAAGAGTTAGTCGTCGAAGATCAACATAGCTATCGAGATCATTTAAGAATGTATGAAGAATATTTTGAACAACTCCTGGAAGATGTTGTTCCTTCGACTCAAAAAAAGGAACTCAAATATAAGAGAAGCTTTAGCAGCTCGACTGAAGCTATAAACAGTTCTTCAATTTTTAGCCACTATCGACAGCTATTTATCTCTACCTCCCTTATATAATAGGGTACTAAGGTATTCAATATTAGGATTTTATTGACAGTTTTGTAATAAAACCCTTTATTATTATATCACCTTTATTTAAAAATTAAATCAGAAATTGTCAAAATCATTAATAATGTTTCAAGTTTCGTGCAAAATATTGATATTATCTATGACAACATTCCAACATCACTAGGGAAGGGACACAACTCCAAGATACTATTAAAGATACTATTCGTTCTCTCATCAATATACTTTGAAAATCTTGAATTTGTAATGCAAAATTCGTGGCAGCGGTAACTGCCGTAATTGATTTGCTATATATTTCCCAAATATTTCAAACTCGTTTGACATTTGTTCGACGCCAATCGTTTGGCAAAAGTAAAAACTCTTTACTATTGACATTGAAGTAGATTGAAAGTGGATTGAAGAAGACTTTTTGATTTCATCGATACGTACCCAGAAGGCAGCATTAGATGAATTGCTAATAACATAAATAAAGCTTACAGCGTGGAATAAATCGCAAAAGAACAGCAGCTCTATTCATACCACATTCAACGCATTCAAGGTCTAAAATAAATAAACGTACTGAAAACCGAATGTTTTCAAATAAGATTTTATTCAATTTGCATAATAGCTGCTGCTACTGCTGGAATTTCAGAACATGAATTTCTGCCACATCGATTAAATAGAGAAAGTTATCTTGAAAATCACTTAAATAATCTGGATGAAATTTCTTATGAAATAAATTGAGCGCAATTATTTAAACAATAATTTTCCAAATCGGTGGACTGGTCGAAGAAGTAATCAAGTAGAACTGAATGAAAGCATGCGACGAAAACTAGAAACATTTTAATTTTTTAATTTTATTTCTAAGATATTTTACAGATTTTTTCAGAAATCATTTATTTCGACTTTCGAACAGAAACATCCAAAACAAAAAGAATGCTAGAAACTACTGAAATGAAAATAGTGCGTAGAATAGTTTAGAAAACATTGATCGACAGAGAAAGAAGTGAGAACATCAGACAAGCTTGCAGGATAAGGAGGAACATAACATAACATCAATGATGGGTATTGGACAGAAAAAATAAATAGAATGAGCACATTGATCGAATGACAGAAGAACGAATTATGAAAATAACCATCAAGACGAAGAAGCCTTGGAAGACCTAGAAAAAGATGGAGTGACATACCTTCAAAACATGCAAAAAAAGTTGCAAAAACATGAAGAAACAGGCAGTTATGCCTAAATACAGAAGGAAGAAGAAGTATTTACTTGTTTCATCGTAGTTAATTCGATTTATTATTATTACAATTTATTTTGTTTTTCAAAACTTTCTTGTTTTTCGTAAAATATCATAGAGGCAAAACAATATTAGAATATTTCCATATATCTGACTAAATATTTTTTAATATATTTCTCACCTTTATAAAGAAATCTAATCAAAAAGTTGAGAAAAGCACTTATTAATTTAACGTTGAAGAGTGGAAGTACAAATAGACTCAAAAATGTTCTAAGGTTTCTGAGAAAATAAAATAAATTCGTAATCATTTTTGAAAGAGCATATCATAAGACCATAAAATAAAACCCTTAAAATTCACTAAGATATCATCTCCTGAAATTTAGTAATGTTATTCAAATACATTTTGTATAAACAAAACATTTAAAATATCAAGATTATTGAATTAGAAGATTAGAATTATATTTTCATTATAAAGATGGATTTAGAGATCCATCTCAATTATTATATAGGATTAAGAATTATTGATTTTAAAATGGATATTTTGCGATAACATGTTATTTATTGTTGAATTTGTTATAGACCTTGGCTAAGCGGGTCATAACATCTAATATCTCGAAGAATTGCGAAAATTTCAAAATGACTATTCTTACCATTTAATACAAGATCTCCAATAATGATTTGTTCTAAATACCTCCTATACATTGTTTTGCTACTTCTTCCAAACAATTACTGTATTCTTGATCCACAACACGACGGACCGAATGTCTATTTTATCCTGAAATAATTTCAAATCCTCCTGAATATGAATGTAAAAACATGTTGTATCTTGCCGTGAACACAATATTCAATCTATTTATTCTTTTTGATATCGTTCCATATATTAATGGCGCGATATGAATATGCATTTAGAATTTTTAATTATTGAAGTATTTAATTACTATATTTTTTCATATTTAATGAAAAAGGTGTTAAGATGGATAATGTTAATCCAACCATACTGAAAATCCTCTTCAAAAAGCTTTTTGGATTATGTGAGATTAAAGATATACAATTTTGAAAATGCAACCGGAACTTGTGCAGGTCACGTGTCTGTGGCGGACACAGCGGTATCTATTACTATTCGAGCAAAAAAGGGGCGGCGATAACCATCACGATAACCTTTATGATTAAAACAGATTATCTAGTACTCAAATTGAATATGTGGGAAATCCAAACAATCGATTCAAAATCCTTAAATTTTCACTACAAAATAAAATTGTTGAGAATAACTCAAAATTAACACTGAAACAATTTTACGTAAACATCTCCAACTAAAGCCATACTCCTCAATTTCAGCTGACCAATCTGAACAAACAAATTTTGTTATTTAAACAAGACTTGAAGGGTAACCGAAACCCCCTTAAGGCTCATTAGCTCTAGGAAAAATAACCCCACTAATAATCAGAGTAACAAAAACTCATCAAACTCGGGTTGTTACACCTGTATTTACATAAGGGCTTGGGGTGTAATCTACCGAAGAGTGTTTTTATCTCACTTGTGGCATCATTGGCTTCGCGCCCTCTACTCTGTACTGAAAGGGAGCACAGATTAATTTGTTCAGAGCTTTTTCTAGACTTAATTTTCGGGTTCCGTCGTTTAGGTCGTCGTGGGGACGGACGTCGATACTCTCCGCGGCCTTAATTTAATAAAAGGAGCAGGAGAAGGAAGCCGGAAAAGTTTTGCGCGTATCCGCGCGTCCGGGAAACCGTAGAAATTCTGAGAATCGATAATTAACCGGCTTTTGTGAACAACCAATACGACAACAGCGACGACATCCATAACATTTGTACAAACAGATTCTCAATTGAATCTTAAAATAATATAGAACGTATTAATAGTTTTATTAAATATTAAAATTAACATTAAAAGGATAACCTTTACTTACTTTTTGTACTTTTTCTAATCTAAACAGTACAAAAATCATTTTACTTAAGCAATAAAATTGTCTTATTTTTCACATAGATATATAAAAAGAGTTTTTTTAACTTTTTGGGGCAATTTTAAAAATATTTTTTGACAGTGACAGTTTTCTCTTGACTTATTTAAATGTCAAATTAAATTTTATCACGAGCCCCATCTATCGAAAATATTCTAAACTAAAAGAAGGATCGGTGCTTCTGGCTTAATTAATATTAATATTACATTTTAATTAATATATTAAGGTAATTACTCCTCATTTAATCCACTTTTTTGTGTGATAATTAACAGTTTCCTTTTTAAAATTTATTCATTATGGAATTAAAATTTTATAGCCAACGCCATCTTCCGTAATTATTTTCAATTACGCGGTAAGAGGAACGCAATAATGACGTTGAGGTTATGTGTACTTTTATAAAGTTAAAGTAATTATAAATGGCTGAAGAGGATGAAATAGATATATTAGGTGATTGCAGTTTGGATAGTTTTATGTCCAACAATGACTCTATGTAAGTAAATTCAAATCTAAAGAAAAAATAATTAATAGTTTAACTTTCTTAAAGATTCAACAATGCAACTAATAACTCGGATGAATTACTTAAATGCGATGATCTTTTGGTGTCGCAAAATACGGAGTTATTAAAGTGCGATTACACAATTCATCCTCAATGGTTACTGGATAAACCAAGCACAAACCCAGCTTGTTGGTATAATAATAGTGAGTCTTCGAATTTGATGAATACCAGCTTGGAAGATGTTGATTTACCTGTAAAATCCGATGCACAACAAATTGTTATTGAAAATTCAGTTATTGATAAAAGTGGATGGACGGAAAAAGAGAAGGATTTATTAAAGAGGGGGATTGAAATTTTTGGAAAAAGCCATGTGAGGTTATCTCAGTTTATTGGTTCAAAAAGTCCTGGGGAAGTCAAAAGTTATTTGAAACGTTTTTATTTGGAATCAACTGGATTAAAGGATGAGATTATATTAGAATGTCTTGAAGAAAGCATTATAGACAATGGAAATGATATGGAAATTGTAGAAAATAAAGAAGTTTTAACAGAAAATGAGGTAAAACAAATTTTTAGTTTGAACCAAACTTTTATTTTGAATCTTTTAGATTCCTGCTAGTATAGAGGAAGTTATTGCAGCTGTAAGTACAGCAAATCCTACCGTTAAAATCACAAAACCTAAAAAAAAATACTCGAAATTAAATATAAATTATAAAGATATTCCCAGTGGACATTCACTATTAAAAAAAAATTACATTATTCCTAACAATAATAGTCTGAAAGAAAAAAATAAAACAAAATCAGATCGAAGTAAAAAAGAAAAAAATGATAAAAAGGTTAAATTCAAATTCAAGACAAAAGTAATAGTACCTAAAAATGTTGCTGTTGGGGTAAAAAGAATTAGGACTAGTAGGAAATCTACCAGATCTGATACAGAAAATAGTTTAACATCTGAGGCTTCTATAAGTGATATAGAAATTGTTACTGGAAATGGATTATCAGTACCTGTCTGTAATGGAGAGGAAGTTGTAAGTTAATTTGTAGTGTCCGACTTAAACTCAATTTTGAACCGAAATTCGGTCGCAGTTGTAGTTTTGGCCGAAACTTTTCTTTAAAAGTATGCAACCAATATCACAGTATTGGTATTGCAATACGCAAATCGAGTATACTGTGATATTGGTTGCATACTTGCAATGATGATATTGGGTAGGATAATTAATTAACACAGTGTATATACTGTGTTTAGAATGCTTACAGTGCTTCGCAAAAGTAACAAATAAATTCGTTAAATCAATTAAAAACGGTTTATAGAAAAATCGCTGAGATAGGTCTAAGGATTTAAATTTTTTCCGCCATTTTTAAACTTGTTATGACGTCATCGCTATTTTTTTTCAAATAGCAATTCCCAATTTTTATTATGGAATATGATAGAGGATGTTTTTCTGAATTTTGTACAGCCAAAATTAACATTAGTTACATAAGTAAATTTTCGAGAAAAATTGCCTTAAAGTTTCATGATTTTCCATTTATTTGAGGTAGAAAAATAGCAGTTGCCATGCGTTACCATGGCAACCAGTTGTTTCAGATATTATATTAAGACAATGAGTAATTTTATATCTGAAATGGTGGTACTTAGTTGAGTGGTAATAGACATATTCTTGAAAATGTTAAAAATCGTCAAATACTGTCAGAAATGTTCGCAATTCAATAGTGGTTTTTTTAATAATGTATTCCTTATGAACCATGCTACTATACCGGGTGTTTAAAAATTGTGTTCGGATATTTTACCCATTTATAGTTCTCATCAAGATAAATATAGAAATCAGGTGGAATAGCACCTATTTAATGCTGCAGTGACTTGTAGAGCAAAAAAGAGCAATAAATCTAGATTTTGTAGTTCGTAGATATTGACTGGCACATCTTCTAACAAAGTTAAGAGGAAATAAGGACTCTTAATAACGCGTTTTTTTGCAGAAAAACACACAATAATATTTTTTAGGAAAAGAAAAATGGCAAGTATTATACCATTTTCAAATCTTGACTAAACAGGCCATCTTTTAAAATAACTTGCCAAAAGTGTTGTACTACTCCTTTTTTTAGAAATTGTGTGTCAAACTTAATCAAACTAAATTCTTTCAACCTTAACACAATCAAACTAATATTTTTTTTTTTGCAAAACTAAAGATTTTTGTTGTTTGATTTGTGACTTCTATAGTAGCATTATGAACATTTCTGATCATAGTACCTAAATATATAGTGTACAGGAACGATTTTTAATCTTAAAAAATATGTCTATTATCACTTAGCTAAGAGACATGGAATTTTTTTCTTATTTTTACCAGAACAGGTATGGGTTAGCCTCTCACCTACTGCCCGCTTGACGTCGAGTTTCGGCACAGCCTGTATACAGGTGTCCCATATTTTCCGCATCAGAGCATTATACGCTTGTAGGATACATTATTCTGAAGCGATTTTTCTAATAAAATTTTGCCGAAATGTTTATAATAACCGCACGGGAACTGTTTAAAGTCGCCCCAATAGCGATACACTTCAATAGCGGAAAAAGTTTATTTCTCTTTCCGCCGATGGCTGCCACTTACGGTCTACCGGATGTAGACCATAACTTCGTTATTTTAAATGGAATGCTATAGTTTTTATTCCACCTTTTAATTGTATGTAAAGAAATATGTTGACTTTCATAAAAGTTATTGATACCTAGCGTCTTTCGTTTTCGAGTTATTTTGGTTTTAAGCTTTTTTTGGCAAATTTCACCATGCTCTTTAAAATCCCATATCTTAGCCAACGTTCATTCAAAAAAGCTCTAAGTTGGCATGATTACTCTTGAGATGCTGTCAAATATCTGTCATTTGTTGTATCAGAGTTTCTTATACAGAATATATTTTTTATCCAAATCTAATTTTTGTTATTAATTTTTTGTTTTCATTGTTTCATTTATTCGATCTTCTGTTTGTAATTTTTGGTAAATAAAAACTAGTAAACTAAAAGACTATCAATCATAGTTAATAGTACAAATAATAATAGAAAAAAATTAAACGAAAAACTGTCAAAATGTCATGGCCTTCTAATAAAATACAAACTGGTTCCGGGATTTCCGGCATGTTTTCATGATATCCCAATATGAGAGAAACTACAATAAATAGGTATGGGAATGTTTATTGATAATTTGTAGAGAATTAAATTCCCATTTCAAAATTTTCGACTTTCTCGCCATTGAATATGGAGAAACGGTAATTCAATTTTTGACCACCTGTATAAGATACTTTGATACAACAAATGAAAATCTATTTGACAAGAGTAATCGTGACAATATAGAGCTTTTTTGAATGAACGTTGGTTGGGATGTAGGGTTTTAAAGAGCATAGCTGTATAATATACAGGTATTCGGGAATTGCATCTATATATTGAAAAAGGTGATTGTACATCAAAAATCGTGACGAAAACTTCATATAAAGTCCGGTCGAAAATGCTTCGTAAGGGCGTTACAGCCCTTTAAAGATGGCACTCAAAAAGTAAGGTTTAGAATGCCGAAATTTGGTGTACAGGGATATTTTTACGTGACAAATATGATAACTAAAAGAAAAAAAATAATTTATGTTATTTGTTATTTACGTTTAAGGTACCACATTTATTTATATATTAGTTTTCTACTAATATAAAAAATATGTACTCCAGCAAAAAAAAATATTGATTCAATATTCATAATTAAACAACCTTATGTTGTATGCTAAAAATAGCAATTTTTCTGCATTTTTGCCATGTAGATTACATCGCCGATCTGCATATTCGGCCTGCTGCACTGAATAACTCTTCGCTAAGAACTGGTAGGCGGCGAAGAAAAATATTTTAATGCACTTTTTCGCAAGATAGGGTACGGGCTGGAATCCCAATATGAGTATATATCAGCATTCCGCTGAAGTCTTGGTTCAAAAAGATAGCATTTAAGGGTTTTCTCCAGTATATCTTCTGGTGATAGCACTGTATTTTTACAATATTCTGTTTCGATTTTTGCATCGTGAATGTCATGAGCAGGTGTTTTGTCATGAGTTTCCCATAAACTGCCTTCCTTTTCTTTTAACTTTTTCCTTTATGTGGTTCAAAAAGTTTCTCATTTCGGTCATGGCAATATCTACATCTGCAGAAATCAGGTACATATTTGAATTCAAATCTTGGGTCGAGTAACGTAGATGTTACAAGAAAAGAATTTCCTTTCGCATAATCAAATCGTTTATTTAAAAATTCATATAGTTTTCTTTTTTACTTCAGTAATGTCTTCATTTTCGTTTTCGTCTTGAAGTTGTAGTTTATTGTTTAGTACAGTGCTTTAATTTATAAGGCACTATCAGAGGATATGTCCAGTGTAGCCTCATAAAAATATTTGAGTACATTTATTAAATTTTCAGTATGTTTCCAGTCAGTGCAGGAGAGTGTAGGTGTACCTCCATGCTCAACAGCATAGAGATTTATTGCTCTTTGCTCTACAAGTCGCTACAGCATTAAGTGAGTGCTATTCCATCTGATTTCTATGTCTTGTAGCAAACAATGTTGCACTAAACACAGTTATACTAAAATTTTGTTCCGCTCATTTTCAAACAAAATATCTTTTATGACTAATTGTAGAGTATGAGCCACACAGCCTAGGGATTGATATTGCGTTCTCATAGCACATACCATATTGGCTGCATTATCACGTACAATTAGGAACAGATTCTTGCTAATATTTCAGTCGTTCACCATTTAAGTTACTTTTTGTTCAATATAAGCGCCGGTATGGTCCTGATTTAATACTGTTGCACCCAATATCACTTTCAATCTTTGTGAACCTATAATAAAATGTCCTGTAAAGCTTAATAAAGAGTAGGTTTTACTTGGATTTGACCATATATCTCTAGTGCACATTTATCAACCAAATTCATGTCCTTGATCTTTACTTTGTCATACGTGTTTGGTTGAACGACGTTCTAAAATATTTTTCACTTTTTAAATTATATTTGTGAATAGCGCCTCATCTTCCACCAACTAATATGGCATATCAACCAATATATTCGCTATTTTAGGCCGAAACTGGCTGAAACCGAAATTTCGGTCGAATACTATTAATTTGTTCTCGAAAATAATTAATAATAATTTTAGATTAAAATTAAAAAAGAAGGGAATGAATCCGATTCGGATATTGAAATAGACGTGGAAGATAGCGAAGAGGATGAAAAGAAAGAAGAAATAGGGCAAGTTAAAAAGAAAGAAAAAGAATTAAGTTTTCCCATAGAGAGACAAGAACCAAAAAAAGATGTCGAATTTGATGCAAACAAAGAAGAAAATATTAAAAAAAGAATTCCTGATTTAAGTACTCTAAATGAAGATGATGTTAATACATTAATGAAAATGGAATTTCCTTCATCCGAATTTTTGATTGATGAATCAACAATTACTAATTTAGAGAGATTTATTCATTTTGAATTTTTTGAAGGAAGATCAACAAAAACACCTTCAAGATATCTTAAAGTACTAAAAAAATAAATGTTACTTTTTAATTTATAACAATACTTTTTGATTTAGATTAGAAACCACATATTAAACGTTTGGAAAACATCAAAACCTTGTTATGTTACAAAAACTTCAATTAGGCAAGGTTTAAAACAATGTGGAGATGTGAATTGTATAAGTAGGGTTCATCAGTTTTTGGAACAAATTGGAGCTATTAATTTTAAATGCCGTAAGAATTAAAAAAAAATTAAAAATAAATAAATTGATGGTTTATTTTTGTAGCTCAAACAAGTTATGTTAGACCGTTATATGAGATGGTTTTAACTGCTGTGAATCTTCCAAAAGATACAAATCGGGAAGTTGAAAATAATTTTGTTGTGCCCCAAAAATTAGATAATTATTATCGAAATAGGAATAAAAAGAAATTTGTTAATGTAAGTTTTAATTTCTTTCTGTCATAATTTTTATTGATTTCTATTTAGGATGGTGAAGGTGGATATACTTTACAACATGATGATAAAGGAGAAGTAATAAACACAACTGTCGTCAATGAAGATCCTATCCAAAAGAAACACTACATTAAAAAACCTATTATTCGCTTAATTTATTGTCGACCATTTACGGAAAACAATCCGGTAACTTCCAAATTAAAATTCACACAAAACAATTCTAACATTTTTTTAAATCCATTTAGCAAGAATACCAAGTAACAATAACATTATCCAACTTAATTTTAATGGACTTACATTCCCATTCATCGCTTTCGGAAATAATGGGATTAGTTGGAGGTCGTTGGAACCCTACCAAAAAAACTTTAAAAATTCTTCGTTACGAACCATGCAAAAATTTAGCACCTTCTTCATCCACCCATTGTGATATGTGTCCAGTTTCCCAAGCGAAAGCCGCCGAGAATATCCATCGCGATCACATGGATGTGTTAGGCTGGTTCCATTCGCATCCCACTTTCGCCCCAGAGCCATCTCAACAGGATATTGATACCCAATTTTCCATACAGCAATGTTTTGGTGAAGATAAACCATGCGTTGGTGTTATTATGTCGCCTTTTAGTTCTCATGGAGCTCTTATAGCATCACCGTTTCGATGCATGATTGTTGGAAAGAAAGAAAATTTTGATGATCAATTCGTCCCTTACAAATTAAAAGTGGATATTGATTATGAAAGGTTGGATGTTGAGGAGATGTTGAATTATGCTTGGGCGGTGTTTAATTCGGATTCTTTTGGAAATGGATCGAGTCGGGTGGATTTTTTAAAACCTTATTTTCATGATACTTCAATTACTTATTTGGATAAGGTAAGAGAATATTTATTTAAGTGTTTATGTACCTATAGAAAATACATGACTTTCTTTTGCGCATCAACAGTGTTAAAACAAATTTTGTGTTTTAAAAAACTAAAATGTCTAAATAGACTTGTTATCTCTTTAAGAAATATGTTATGTTATACCAGTGAATGAATTTGATTGTTGTTAGAACATTTAATTAAACGTTATGAATCAGTTAAGTCTTTCGTTGGAACAGTATTTTTCAACTATGTTTGCTTCTGGCTATCAATTAACATTTAAAATTGTGGTTGGAGCAAACCTAATACATATTTTAATCACTAAATTAGTTAGTAAGGTATCTGTGTCCTATGATCATGCTGTGACTCTACTACAGATGAGAGAGTTGTATGCCAAGGTCATGCGAGCGCAGGAAGGCGCGGGAAAGATCATGTCGATAGAATGGGCGAATTGGGCAAAAGAAGCAAAAACCCACATCAAAGAAACTTCCTGACAGACAGAAAGAAATGGAGCCCAGAGCGATCCCAACCCAAAGTTGTCTCTGACAACAGCATTTGCATTCTCACGTAGATAGGAATACGCTGTTGGAGAAGTGAATCATTTTACAGTCGCTAGAACAGTATGCAACCATTGGTACACGGAGATTGCCGAGATGTGTCGAGAACGATTTGCCAAAGTTGTAGCCAACCTTCTATGAAGACATAGCTATTCTTGATTTAAGGTTCGTCGTAATGATTAACATAAAAAAACCTCAAGAACGATGTTTTTAGAAGAAAGAATTTTTTATTGGTTATTTTGGTGCAACTAATTTGCCGAAACATTTCAATTCCTCACAGCGTCAAGTGAAGAAGTCTTCGTTTCTCTCGTCTGTGCACTGAATCCCTCTACATGCTTAATATGATTGATCTTCGTCAAAAACCTCTTTAACGGAAGTGAAATGTCTTTACGAAACTAGTTGCATCGAATAACTAATAACAATTCTTTTCATCGTTCTTGAGGTTTTAATTTTATGTTCTTTGAAGAATGCACCTTAAGGAGAAAAATCTGCGCAGATATATTCAAATCGGCGTATGCTTTCATTCACACTTTATAATTAGTTTAGTTATTTATTATCAGTCTTTTAGGCTATATGCGATTTTTCTTTGCCTTTGTCACCCTACTGTCCTCCGCCAAGCGTTTTGTCCGTTATCTTTTAATGTATGTCTTGGTTAGATACTGGTTTGTGATCAAGGCATTAATATCATCTGTTATTATGTTGTGCTCTCCTCTCATTTTTTTTTTCATCTTTAGACATATACGTATACATTTCAAAACGCTCCACAAATCCAGCCCTTAAAAATCTTTTGTTTGTGTACACCACAAACCTTGTGCGATTTCTTTTTCTTCTTTCCCAGCATTTAGTCATCCACTTCTGAACACATGTCTCGTTTAGCTTCTTCCCAGCTTTTTTTTTAATATCATCAACCCATCTCCTGGGTGGTCTTCTTATGCTGCTGTTTTTACAGCATAAGCAGACTGGACCACTAGGAAAAGTTGCAAAACATTATCTAGTTTAATTTGGTGTTAAAAATAAGTAACTAATTAGTATGTATTTACTAAGTGTTACAATTGTGCTATGCATAAGATAGAAAAAAAAGTATACTTGCTGATATATTTTATGCACTTCCCATCGTTTAAGTCAAGCTTCTACTGCTGTCCTTCCACGTACATATAGGCTATTTTTTGTATATCAGTGTCCAGGCCCCATTCACTGTATTCCTCTATGACCTCCTTATTACTTGGTCATCAGCTAAACATAGTGCATTTACCTTTTCTTTTCCACTATGTTAGTTCTTGCTCTAGATATATTTTGAACAAGGATGTGGATAGGCAGCATCCCTGTTGAGTCCTTTAGTGATGTAAAAGCTACGTGATTCGACACTATATGCAAAACCTAAGAAGGATTACCATCAATTTAGCTCATAATTGAATATTATACTAGATTTTTCAATACACTATGCACGGATTTTGCATATATTGCCCTGCTACACCACTAGTCACTAGTTATCACAGCCACATTTTTCGATAAGATTTGCTAAAAACAAGCTTATTTATGCAATATATTTGACAAGCCGAATCTGCAAAGTTTGAAACTTTTGAAGCAGGTTGCAGCGTTTAAAAACTACGGCTGTGCATAACAAAATCTGTAAACCTGGCGATTTGTTGGCCTTTATTAATAAATAAACGTAAAAGCCTTTCTGGTAACTGTCCAGATTGCAAAATAATTTGAGCCAATATTCTTTAGCTTCGTATTCAAGTTTGCAATAATTTTTAATACGTCAGCATATTTCAAAATGTTTTTAAACGATATTGTTTAATTTTATCTGAAATGCTGTTACCAATAATGATAAAATTAAACTAACAACGCGAAATCGTTAAAAATAACGCTGGGAAAGGTTCTTGCTTAATTATTCTGATCATAACTCGAAAATAACGTGATATGATGCAAATTTTATTACATAAAGTGTTTTATTATTAGATACATGAGTATTCATTTCTTATAATTAACAATAATTATTGATTTAAAAATTTATCATTTTTAATTAATTTTCATTAGCAACACGGTTCTTCTCAATTTACTGAAACTGTTTATAATAATTTAATTAGCATCAATTTGTTGAAAAATAAGATAAGAGTGATAATTTTAATTTATTAATTGTATCGTTTCTATGGCGTTTAAGACTTATTAATATTAATGTTTCTTTTTAGTTCATTTCTAGTATCAAAATGCATTTGGCCAAATGTACCAACATTAATAAGATGACCTGTGATGCTGTACAGCAAGGCTTATCAAACATATTGTGTAATAGGGTGTAATATCTCCCAAGAACACAAAAAGAAGAAATAATTATCACTCTGTTTTGAATTTATACATAAATATTTTTATAATTTATTACGTTTATTGATAAGGTTAATTTTCAAATTTATGAAATAAGAGTATAATTTAAGGGTGAAAGAAAGACTTGATTAAATAAAATATATTTTATTTATTTAAATTGATTTATCAATTTATTAATCAATATTAATTGGTGTGTGTTTTGTATTTATTTTTTGAGTGTTTCAATTAAAAAAATAAAATGTATATATAAAATATTTATAAGAAATTAATCTCGATCGCTTTATACCAGAAAGAAATAATTAAAATGTAAAAAAATAAATCATAAATACAAATTAAATAGCTTCTAAAGCATTCTTTAAATCTCCAATCAGATCTTCAGGATCCTCCAAACCCACTGATATCCTAATAAAATTATCGGTAATTCCCAATTCTTTACGTACGTCAGCAGGAATTGAAGCATGCGTCATAATCGCCCTGAAAAAAATGCCATACAATTATTTACCCCAAACAATTTTTAACATTAATAACTTACGGTAATTCCGCCAAGCTTTCATATCCACCCAAACTTTCAGCAAGCGTAAATACCTTAATACTTTTAAGGAAAGTTTCAGAAGCTTTTAAATCGCCGTCAATATAAAAACTGAAGACGCCTGAATGACCAGAAGTTTGTCTTTTAGCCAATTCATGTTGTGGATGCGACGGTAAAGCTGGATGAATAACTTTTAATACTTTCGGGTGCGTGCTTAAAAAGTTGGCTACTGCAACTGCGTTAGAACGATGCTTTTGCATGCGTAGAGATAAAGTTTTTAAACTTCTCGTTACCATCGAACAATCAAATGGACCAGGAATTATTCCCATTGCTTTAAAAGAAATTAATAAATTAGAAAAAGTAGAAATTAGATAAATTTAGTTTATCTAAATATTGTTTATAGTTTTATCTATTTAAATAAAATTAATGTCGTTGACCTTAGATGAATGGAATATGTTTATAGTTCGTCGGGCGGCTAAAGTACAATTGTACCTTCACATATTTTACATGTATATTTAAAATTAAATAAGTTATTTTTAGTTTAAAGCATATTTTAAACTTAAAACAAACAAATTGTAAATAAGACGTTACTTTTTAAAAGGACGAAGCTTCTGTTGCCAAAGCTACCCCATGATGAAGTAGGTAAAATAGAAGATTAAGATTAAACTCATTTAGACCTATTGCTCTTTATTTAACTGCTGATTTCACTAAATCGTTTATGTTTTATAAGAGGTGTTTTTAGTAAAATACAGATAGTTTCAGTAATATTCATTTTATGGAATGTTAGAAATCTGCTGAAGTTCCAGACATCGTGTTTTGACAATCCTATAATACAACATGTAATGCAATAATTTAGTAACTTCATTCGAAACCTTATTTAGTAATTTTTTCTTTTCCTACTGTTGAAATATTTACCTACTCATTCAATTTTGGTGATTTTCTGAATAAAAGCGAAATATTGAAAATTCAGATTCTGATCATGAAGACGATGTTACATTTTGATGATGAGATGTATTTTCCATTAGCATAAATGTCTACCATAGAAGAATAAGATAGTACAGCAATTGGTAATAGAGGAAGAAGCTGAATACGGTTCTGACGAGACTGTTGAAGATAAATATCTAGGTGTTGCTGATATTTTGATAGCGAAAGACGGAACAGAGTGGCATACTAATCCACCATCACATCAAGTAATCAAACAATATCTTGTAATATTTTACGGGAAAAAGGAGGTTCTCCAGTCAGTAAATCGTATACAGCTAAACAGATTATCAAGTTAATAAAGTCTCCAGAGATATCTGACATTATATTGCGACAACAAATCGGAAGGCTAATAGAGTTTGTGAAGCTTACTTAATTTGATCCAAAGGATTCCTAATATTTTTAAGAAATTGATTTTGACGGTTTTTTAGGCGCATTGATTTGCAGAGGCAATAAGCAGAATTTAGATGATATGTGGAAAATTGCCTCTAATACGGGCAGCTATATCACGCACGTGACTGATTTGAAATGATGTTAAGGTTGATCAGATTTGATAATGAAAAAAGGAAACAGAAATATATGAACAATGCTGAACAAAATTACAACAACTATTTCCACATAGAGGTCGTACTAAATTTACACAGTATGTACCTTTCAAAAGCAGCAAAATATGGGATAAAAGCTGTCTAGACTTGAGATGTATCAAGTGGCTATTTGTTACGAGACTAACTTTACATTGGCAAATCATCAGGTGGTCCTCGACAGGTTAATGTTGGTGAAGGAACAGACTTACTCAGTAAGTTCTTATAAGAGGTTGGAAAAAAATGTGACAACTGATAAATTCTTCACAAATTTCGAATTAGGAAAGGACTTGAATGCATACTCCTTCTATATGGCACTGACTGGTACAGTAATAAAAAAATTTACTAAGCAATAGGATGGAGCTAAAGAAAGACCATCTTACTAGACTAGTTTTGCTTATACATATTCGGGATACAACAGTACATTGGTACGTGCCAAAAAAGAATAAGGTGTTCTGCTTCTATCATAGATGCAGTTAAACCTGAGATAATCAAGTACTATAAAAAAACTAAAGGTATGGATTGGGTGAGTATACTGTCATAAGAAGGATGTTGCGCTGACCTCTAGAATTCTTTTATAATATAATCGACATAGCAGATTAGCATCTTACATTATTTATAAAGAACACAATTTTGAGAACCAAAGACCAACGCAGAAAATTTCTGAAAGAGCTCGCTAACCAACTATTTTGCCTGCAATTGAAGTTCGTAGTAGCAATCCACTTATGATCAGAAATCATTTTCTTCGAGTTACAATTGAAATGGTGTTTGGACGAGGAACTGCGGTAGCATCAGTAGGATTTAAAGCACCTTTGGGCATTCGTGGTGCTTCCCCTAACATTGGTAGTTGTTAGATTTGCCGAGATATGAAATATAAACAGCGTAAAATTAGAAAATCTTGTATAATTTGCGCGAATCCTGTATAGCATGAACATTCACGACCAATAATTTTAGATTTTATCATTACTTGTTGAAGTTGTCCCATCGTTTGCTAAATTACTCATAACAACATATTCGCAAGTTGATTTCTAAAGCCAAGGCAAAGCTTTTCAATTAGTTTCATAATTTATCTTGTTCTTGATACAAATTAATCTGGAGTTAATGCCAGTCACATTCAATAAGTGGTAAAATATAATCATTGGCCATCTTCATATAGATCGTGTTGTGTTAGAAATAGTACACAATTTATCAATTTACCCCTGATTTTCTCGTATTGTAAAATTCTATTATTTCCGGTTTTTTTCGATTCTGTTGAATATCTATGATAACTTGACACAAGTACGACGGTTCTATCGTTTTTTGGTACATACGATACTAATGTCTTTTTTTTACTATATCCAGAAATACCATCATATTGGTTTCGATTTTTTGGTAAAACGAAAGCGGAGGGAATTTCTCGTTTGTTAATAAGATAATTTTTTTAAACTGGTGAACAAGTTATCGGCAGTAATATTTCTACCAGTTCCAAAAATATGGTTCTGACAATATAGTACTTCACAAAGAAATTATAGGTCATTCCCGAATATTATTACCCCTAGAATAAGGCATACACTAAAATAAACAACCTATTTGCGAATCAATAAATGATTCGTTTTTCTTCATTTTTATTTATTTATATTTTCTTTGTAAATAATTTGTATGTAGAGTATACTAGTACTTTTAGTTAGAAATCAAACTTATCAATCAAAATACTACATACATACTTGTATCATTTACCCAGTATATTGTTTCTACGTCCTCTGATTAATTTAAAAGATTACATTATATTTATTGTGTTTAATACTTTCAAGTCGTTAAAACTTGACTAAGATATAGAAAAAAATGCATTCTACAATTTATAAAATTGTTACGACAATAATTTTTCAATTGGTAGTTTGTTTAACAATTAATTTTTAATTGTAATTTTATATAAGAAATTAGGATACACCACTGTCGATAGGACCAAGGTCAATTTTGTTTCCAAACAAATGGTTTTGCACCATTTGAGCCTTTGTAATTTGAATACTTTTTTATTTATTTTAGTTGTAAGGATTATTTTATTTTACCTTGTTAATTATATTTATATTTCTTTTTTCTTTCTGTTCAAATAATTTTGTATCTTGTTTTTTGTTATCATTATTTCTGACTTAAAAACATAACGTAAAAGTGGTACCATGTCCACCCGAGAAGGGTTATATCAAATATCAAAAAATTACAAGACCGTAAAGTTATCAAATTACTTTGTGAACGTGTTCGATTTTATCTCTTTCTATTAGGTCTACTTAAGTTATTCTTAGGATATTTGGCAAAACATAAAATGCACGCGTTGCAAATATTATGATGGATATATCAATACGAATGTTTTAACTTTTGCACTTTATGCACCATGTCATAATATTTATAACTCATAATCATAAATATTTTTTTTACATTTACTATTTTAAGTCTAATTAAAATATTCAAGATTATCCCATAAAGTTAAGATAAAAATCAATACTTGATCCACATACCATTAAAATGTCAACAGCTTACTTTTTTAATTTGTTTATTGATTCTATTTGTTAACATCTTTAAGTTGAGTGTTTTTATTATTTTATAACCTTAATAAGAGTTTACTTATTGAGTTATTCGATCGTTTTGTAGATAATGATAAACTCATATTATCTTTTAAACTCGGTTATTTTATTTTATTTTTATTATTTTATCGATGAACACGCAAAAAAGAATTCAAACTATTTATATATAAATAATAAGATGATTTTTTAACCCATTTCTTTTATAAATAGATCGAGACGTCCTCACGTGAATCTTTTTATTAACCTTTGTGTTTGAAATTATCAACACAATGCCATTGTCATTAAGTGTCACCTCTATGATTGTATTTAATTCTATCATTTTATTACTTAATTCTCTTCAATATCTTTTTATAGACGTGGGTAAAGAAAAAACGTAAACATCAAAAAAAAGTCGCCAAAAAAAAATGTTTGAGAGATAATAAATAAGGTTTGGGTTTTCAAAACAATTTTTTGCGAACCACCAAAAGTTTCCACATCATTCATTTAAATTTTAAATTATCTTCAAGGATTTAAATAGATAATTTACAACTTAACAAGGCCTCCTTAATTAAAATGATTAATTTTATAGTAAACATAAGAAAGTTTAAATAGGCTTAGTAACAAGTAACTCCAATATCATTTTTTTTGCATTGTTTTTATCACGTGTAATTTTAAATATTCCGCAATCTATTTATATGTTAAAATATACATATTCTCAAGGTTATGACGTGTTTTAAACTGTTTTTTTTATGATAAAGAACTTTGCGAAGTCTATAGGATGTTAGTGTTTATTTTTATCTTATTTTAAATACCCAAAAAAAAATTGTGTAAATATTGATATTGAAATAAAATTAAAAAAAAGCACTCACCGTTTTGTAAAAATCTTAACTGTTGCGCTAATTCGGTGTTATTAGTAACGATAGCCCCCATAATAACATCAGAATGTCCGTTCATGTACTTTGTAAGAGAATAAGTTGAAAGATCGGCGCCAAGATCAAGGGGACGTTGTAAATATGGCGTTAAGAAAGTATTATCAATAGCGAAAAGTATTTTATTATTTTTGGCAATTTCAGCTACTCCAGAAATGTCGGTGATTTTTAATAGAGGATTAGTGGGACTTTCTATGAAGATCATCTGTAATTATCATAAATAATTTAATTGGAGAAACTTGTTTTTAAATTTAATATATTTAATATAAAAAATATATACCTTTGTGTTTGCTTTAATAGCATTTTTAATATTATCCAGATTAGTTGTATCGACGCATGTTGACTCAATTCCGAATTTCCGTCCGACCTTATCAAGCAAACGGAAATTGCCACCGTACATATCATCACAGCAGATTATATGATCGCCATTCGACAAAACGCTCATTAAGGCGGTTAAAGAACCTAAACCGGAAGCGAAGCAAACGGCATGTTTTGCTTTTTCTAATGCAGCGAGGGATTGTTCCAATACATCTCTTGACGGATTTCCACTTCTTCCATATTCATATTTCTATGTTTTAAAAATTAATTAAATAAAAGTATGTTGACAATAAAAAGTGTTAATTACTTTGAAATTGGCTGGACCAAACTGTTTAAAAGTAGTTGATAGAACGATTGGTGGTACTACACACATTGAATCCCATTGGTCTGGGTCTTGACCTGCGTGAATTGCGGTGGTTGAGAATCCTTTTGGGTCTGGGAGGTATCCTGAGTTATCTGCCATTTTATCTACTATAACAATAAAGACAATAAAGTTAATATTGTGTTATTCATATCACTCGTATGACTTTAATTATCAGCGATTTAATAAAAAATTCCAAAATTTGATATTAGTCAGTACTTAGTCACAAATATGTATCAGAAAAAAATAAAGTAGTTTCTATGAATCAGATTTTTTTTGTTTCTAAATACTAATTTTTTTGTAGTTCAATAAAACATGAACGTGTATATGATTCAGAAATGATTATCATTTTATGGTTACTAATTATTACTGGAAACCGACTCAAATTTACTTAAATAATAAATGTTGAATTCCTAATACAGGAAAACTAGAAAAACAAAAAAAGATAAGTCTAAAGATAATAACTGAAAATAAGTAATATAATTAAAGCAGATAAATGTGACCAAAAGCTACTAGTCAAGCGTCCACTTAAAGAAACACGATGATCCTACATTGAACGTTTGTAGAAACACATTGGTAAAGCATTACCAGGACCTATAAGCGATACTACAACAAATGTGCAGGGAGAAGCCATAAAAATAAACAAAGACTTGCCAAGACAGGCAGCCATAAAATTGAAAAATAGGAGATCATATGGTCCAGAAGGAATAGTGGCAAAGATGTTGAAAAATGAAGCAGAAAAATTATTTGAAATAATAACACAATTATTTAATCAATGCTTGAACGGAAAAGAAGTTCCAAACAAATGGAAAGGGAATAAGAAGATCTGTTCACATTATAGAGGAATCTCAATGACCAATGTGCTCAGCAGGCTGTAATATAGAATACTTAGAGATCTGATAGAGAGAAAGATTGAGGATGAAGAAGAACAATGAAGAATCATCCAGTGATAACATATTTTGTATGAAACAAATGATTGAAAAAAGTAGCGCCACAAACCAAGAAACCCATATATAATTCGTAGATCTAACCAAAACGTATGACAATATACCAATAACAGAATTATGAGAAGTACTGTAGCATTGAAATATAATACTATAATAAGGGCCTTACAAAACTTATACTTCCAACTCAACTTCTAATACGAGAACAAATATGACCATGTACAAGGAATGGTAGAGGAGATTTCCGAAAAAACCAACGGACTGGATACCGCAGCAAAAAAGAGTGAGAAAAAGACTCAAGAAGAGCTAGGGTGAGGGAGTTAGAAGAGTCACTATCTCAACTCTAATTTGTAATCAAGCATTACAAAACCGTTTTATTAACCACTTTGCTATCACCGAGGATTTCTTCGTAAAATCTAAGGCCTTTTTTTTCAAATTGTTACTATTTATAGCTACATGCACTGATCTATCCCTTTTTTGAAATCTTCCAAATCTGTAAAAGTTCTGCTTGACGCAATCTTTCAAGTTTTCCGTATTCTTTTGGTAATTCGATCAAAATCTCTTATCAATTAAGTTTCTCAGCAGTGATATTTTATTGCAATATAATGTAGACAAGTTCCGATTAAATATGACATAAAATATTCGGCAAAAGTTTCTGAACACAGACGAATTTCGGAAGATTTCAATAGATGGCTCAACAGTTGGCAGTTACAATGTTGGATGCCTTATTTTTTAAAAAATCGAGCTAATCACGCCACTTACACTGATTCCGCACCAACAATGACTCACTGGCATCGGCTTTCATTTCTGTGCTTCTAGAAATTTGAAGTTGTTCTGATACCACCAGCATTCCCTTGTACTTTATTATCAATTTTAATCAAAACTTTCTCAATCAAGCAAGTATTTTCTTATCCGAAAACATTTGTCCAATTAAGATACGGAAGGATAAACTATAAAATCAGCCGCAACCTTGTTTTTGATACGATGTAACCAAAATATGATGGCAACAATGATTGTTGATTTGTTCCATTCACACAACCACGAACTATTTAATTCAACTGAACATAATCAAGTAACATATATGTTGCAACAAATTTCTGCAATTCAAGACGAAGAGAAGCAAAAAGTCCTGTTTTTTGGAGTATATAAGTGTTATTCTCTTGTCTAGTAGGTGTTATGGGGCGATCGGTTGTGAAATTATGATTTTTTTAAATTTATGTTTGACTGGAAAGTATTGAAAAGTATACCAAAATAAGAGGATTTTAATGATTTATGGGTTGAAATGATAAATCGTTCGTCTAACTTTCTCGGTTTAAAATTTTCTATGTAGTTATTCCATTTACCTATTTCAAGGATACCATAAATAGTATGATATATTGCAATGAATGTTTAAGACATCTATCTTGTTTCTTAATAATGCATAGCCTATACTAGGAAATTGAGCTTCAGCTTTTATACCATCATATAGAAGGTCTTTTGCAGGTGTCTATTTACTTCTTTCTAATGTTTTTGTAAGAGGCACAAAGCACGTATTCATTATTTTGTCCTATACAATGGCTTTCGCGAAAAAAAAACATTTGATAACAATGTATTCAGAGTTAGACCAATACTTTCGGCGCTAATATCAATATATAATATCATCCAGTTCAAGTTGCAGTACTTTAGGAGGATGGTATTCTGCAGGTGTTTGCTCTTAGGAGTCCATATTTGACGATCCTTTTTAGTTTTGAGGTTCACACCCATTTTCTTGTACAGGTCCATCTCACAATGTCATGGATATCATGCTTTTGTGATCTCCTCACTTCTTTTATGCTCCCACAAGGTGTATCCTGTTAATGGACTTCCCGTCATCATCTTTCGTGTTGAGTTATAACATCTTCTTGGAGGTTCCTGCTGCTCGTAAAATTAACGCCATGATATTTCAATTCATCGCCTGTTCTATAGGCTTATTGTATACCGTCAATTTACTTCTTTCTAATGTTTTTGTAAGAGACACAAAGCACATGTTCGCTATTTTGTTGTATATAATGGCTTTCGCGACAAAAAAAAAACATTTGATAACAATGGATTCAGAGATACAGCAATACTTTCGGCGCTAACATCATCCAGTTCAAGTTGTAGTACTTTAGGAGGATGGTATTCTTTTATAATTTGGTGATATCTTCGAATACTAACAAGTTCACGTTCAAGTTGACAAAAACCCTTCAAAAAGCGGGGTCTCAAGTTCGGCCAAATAATAAATAGACCTATATCAAGTTAAAGATGATTAAGTTAAAATGATTAAGACAAAAATGAGACCTACACCAAAACAACACGATATAATAAAATTTTTGTATATCTCATACTCCTTATGAGATGTATTTAAAAAAACGTACTTTTCAAAAATGGTTAATTATGAAACATCGATTAGCAACTAAAATATCATGATTAATATTTCAACATCTATAATAAAACTATAGCTTAATTAATATTGCGTCATTTTTATCATGATTAACATATCGGCGAACATGAAAAAAAAAATGTAATAGAAATAACTCAGATAACAAAGTTCTAGTACTTGAAATTATCTTACTGGTCATTTTGTAGTATGCAAGCACACGTTTTGATTTGAAATAAGATTAAAAAAAAGAATTACATTTTTATTTTTAAAAAATTTTCCAAGGAATAACCAGTTATCAACATAAATTTGAATATCATTTCGTTTCTGAATAATCAGACCTGTTAAATTTTAAGAATTTGCTTTATCAATGTAATTATTATTGTTCATTTTACATATTGGAAAAATATTTTTTGGAGAAATCAATGTTTTTATCAAAAACTGGTTATTTCATTAATATTTTCATGCATTTCATTAAAATTTAAATTTGACATTATCTTATAAAGATTTAACTTAAAGTTCGTAGTAGATAAAAATAGCAGCTTTTTTGAAGGCTAAGAAAAATCTTTTTTTAGCAATTTCAGACACGTGGATCCTTAACGATCCATTTTTCTATCTAATAATTGCCTCCAATATGTTCCACATTCTTCTAATAATCCAAAGAATTCAAACAATCAAAATTCCTTTCTAACATAAAATTTTTTAATCTTCCTTAACAACAAATTTAATAAATTTATACCTTAATTAAGTGTACAATTTTATTACAAAGATATACTTACCGGTACTGTATCGACGTGTAAGGTAATTTAAGGATGAAATGCTGATGTAATACTTCTTAGGTGTTAACAAGGCCGCGTTCAAACTTGAAAAGTATCGAAAATGAGTTAAAGTCGCCAAAGAAGCTTTAGTTAATTTATTACTTAGTTGATTAATTAACATTAATTTAATGTCTTAAATTTATAATCGTAGAAAAGATACGTACCAAATGGAAACTAAAACGCGACTGATTCCACTGCGGAGCGCGTACCTCCTTTAAATACCTCCGCCTTGGCCGCGAATTTACGTATAAAGTTTCTGACGAAATACGTTCGAAATGATAAACTCATATAACTAAGAAATCGCTTTACTTTTTATCAATCATAAAAGCAATCTAACGTGAATAATCAATAAATCGGAATAAACAGAAGTGGTTCAAATCGATAATGTTTCGATTGACCGGTATATTTCCTACATTCTAATTATTAAATAACAATCTAATTTGATGTTATCTCTCATCGTTTAATACGAAATTACATCATAATTAAATAATTTTAAAATTTACAATTAAATTCTTTATTAATTGATAAAAATAATTATTAATATTTACACCTAATCGAACATTAACTTCCCTCCAAAAATCAAAAATAATCAATAAAAAACATATGAACATCCGTCATGCGCAAAGTGAATTGTGTACTGCTTCCGGTAAACATTTTATTCATGTGTTCTCGAGATGAAATCATGTATTTTCCTTGTTTCGAGTAAGTACACATTATTTTCATCATGGGATCAATGCGAAAGGGGCCCCAGGGCCAGCTTTAAGCAAAACGATCCGCGCGAACGTCACACGTAATAATCCACCCGGCTGTCAATAATTTTACCGGTCTCGTCTATCTGCCGAGCGTCGTTTTGTCATCCGAAACGGTCGATTTTATGTTTTTACACTCGGTTTTAAACCTGTTATCAACCCCCTTAAAACCCCACTTAAAGGTAAATCTTTAATAAAACCAACAAAATTCATCCTTAATCTGACGTTTTTGTCATTTGTTTTTCCATTTACAACGAATTTCGTGGGTTTGTAATGGCGGACGTTTATTAGCTTTTATATAGAAAAACTTTTAAATCATTTAACAAATTTACCGCAAAAACTGTACATTTTTTCATTAAAAACATTTACATCATTAATTGGACGTTTGTATTTTTGTATTTTATTGCAGATTAATGATGCGCGGAACGCGTGGTTACTTTTAGTATTGTATTAGGTGTAGTTAAGTGAAGGTTTCTTTGGTGTTGAGGACAATGGGGATTCAAGATTTGCAAGCTTTCTTGGAGAGTGCCTCTCTTGAAGGGGGTGCTGTATCCGTTGATCTGTTGAAGATTGCTCGGAATGTCACACAGAGACAACAACCTCAACACCCTGCCAGAAAAATTAGACCCATTGGAAACAAATTAAAGTTAATTGTTGATGCTGAAAATTGCTTGGATAGGCTGTATGGTGGTTATTTTTCAGGTAATACAAATAATCTCGTTATTTTAAAGTTGTTAAATGAATTTACATAAATTTAGATTGGGCATGTGGTGGGCAATGGAACCGTATGGTACAATTTCTTTCATTATTGATGCAGGCCATTGAAAGAGGTAACATAGAATTGGCTGTTGTTTTTAATGGAACTTTGGAAAAACAAAGGATGAATGAATGGATTACTGAACAAGCAAATATAAGACAAAAAGTTGGAATGGTAAGTTATACACTGCTTTAATTAGTGTCCATACACATTCAATTTTATATCTTTTACCAAAAAATGCAGCAAGATTTACAAGGTGATGAAAAACTTGTTAGGATTCTAGTGTCATAGAAGAAATGAAAATTACAGTTTCCTGTAAATTATGGGGCAGTAGGTAAAATCTAAAAAGTTAACAATTAAATAACAAGATAACTTCTGGTATTTAAAAACAAATATGTTTATTACACCAACTGATTGCATTGTTTTGGATTGGAAACATGTTTTTTTTTTAATTTTTAGTTATAGTACTGTAATTTACAGGAAACTGTAAATTTAATTCCTTGGATGACACTAAAAAAAAACCTATTTTTAGATTTATTCTAAAACAATAAGAAATCGAACCCTATATTTTTGTAATCAGAAAAAAATAACGAATTTAATAAGCGAATAATCAGGTTATTTCCATTTAAAAAAACGAAAATTGTCATAATATCTTAAAATCTAGAACCGTAAAAATTTTAGACTACATCATCAAATTCTCTGTTAAAAACTGTCTGTATAATGTCTAAGTTATAATACTCCACCTATAATAATAACCAAGATAATTGCACTTGATGGTTTTACAATATTTTCAATTTTGGCCTCTAGGGGAAAAACAAAAGATGTTGGCGCTTTAAGGTTTTCGACATTGGAATTTATTTAAAAAAAAAGATTGAGACATGTAAGCTACTTTTTTTCTAACTCTTATAGTTTCTGAGATAGCCTATTCAAACATCAAATTTGAACCACTCTGTATAAATAAAAAATTTTTAACACTTTAAGCACTGAAGAGGCAAATAATTTGATCTATTTTGTAAGAAGTTCTGCAGATAATATTACTGAACTCAATGAAGGATTCCCCCACTCTATAGTGATAATTTCCCCCCAACTCAGTTACAAACACTGTTTGTGTTTTGAACACATATTTAAGTGTTAGCCAACACAGCAACAACAGCTTATAAATAATTTTGTAATCTTATTAATAAGAGAGAAGAATTCTAATGATGTTTTTGGTAGATCTTTTTCAATAATTGATTGCAGAAGGAATGGAAAACATCGAATTACTTTTCTGAATGACCTTGTTTCATGTACACACACGTCATGTAATCATTACACATCAAATAATTAATAACATTAACACAGTGATTTGATAAATTCCGATTTCACTTATCTGTTATTCTTGTTTTTAACTCCTTTCAATTTGTCAAGGAGTGTTATCTAGGACATGTCTATGTTGGTTTGAGATCTAGGGATTTTGGAGGGGTGAATAATTGACGGGGGACAATCATAAAATTTTTAGCGCTTTTCTAATAAATTATTTTTTAAAATATGTAATGTTCTTTATTCATTATACCATCTATAAACACCATATTTCCTACACCAGCAAATATTTCACTATTCATTTCACACATATTTTCTTTATAGGTTTCATTCCGTTTTCGCCAATCTTTAATGTATGATTTAATTCAAATTTCAGACGTTTTATGTGTTTTTTTTTTCATATGAAAGCTTTCTGGCTAAGTATACAGCCATTATATATATGTTTATGAAACATATTTCGAATAGTTGGTGCACTTACTTCTCTTTGGGATACAGAATTTACTCCAATGGCTATATTTGACGCTCTTCTTTTAGGAGTTTCACGCAATTTATTTTACCCAGATTATTATTTCAAATAGAAAATCTCAAATTAAAATCAAAATATACAAATTAATGAATTGTTAATGATATTCCTTGAGAAATTGAAAATGAGGAAGATGAAAATTGAAACACAACATAGATAGAAAATGGCAAGCCAATGAAGAAAAGGCAATGAGTTAACAGATGTCATGTTAAATAAGAAAACTGAACTTGTGAAAGAAACATAGAAAATCAGAGAGTGGCTTAGATATTTGGGAGAAAGGTACTCAAAACGTTTTGTGGAACTACAATTTTTATAAATCACACAAAGTTATAAATGAGAAATATATATATTCAAGAGACTATAATAATACTCAATGTAATCTGAGGTTGACAGAAATTTACTTTTAAAACGTTCTGGAAGACTTCTGGGAGTGAGAGAGAAGCTCACATACATATAAATGTCAGAAAAGTCTGGTGGCATGGTATTTTTTGTTGAACAAAATAGAACGAAAGCACATAGAGACACGAATATTGACATACATTTTATTCAAACATTAACAAACAACAATGTACAATCAAAGTTCGTATGTTTAGGGAACGCATCCACCATGACGGGGAGATCGTCCCATGTCTTCTGAGGATTGTTCCGCTCTTTAGACTGTGGAGATTCTTGTGGGGCGCCGACGTTTATTCTTTGAGCTCCGCCAGTGAGAAATGTTTCAGAAGATCGCGACATCTGAAGGCATTTTGAGATACCATATGAAAGCAGTGACAAATTAATAAAAAGTACTACTTTTACCTTTTATTGATTATTTTTCTTTTTGAGAGAACTGTTTTACAAGGTTTGTTTGATACGCATCAGTATCACTAGACGCAACACTTCACAATATTATTGTTATTTCATTTGCATAATATACTGTCATTATCACAAGTAGCAAATTCAAAAATTATGCTCTCCTTTACCTTTAGAGTGGTATAGTGAGAAAAACGATTCTTTCCCACCCGATTTCCCCTCATTGTGCCTGTAGGCTCATAAACATCAAATAATAAATAAAAAATTCATCATCATGCAGCCCTTTGCGTCCATATTATTTGATGTGGGTCTCTCCTATTCGGTTCTGATCTGTGCTGTCTGAATCCAATTGTTCAAAAGAGTGACCTCTTTTGATGTCGTCGTCCAGCATGGTGGCAATCTTCCTCTACTCCGTCTATCCGCTCGCTGTCTCCATACGAGCAACCATTTTTTCCACTGCTCATGGTTTATTCGCACGATATGACCCACTCAGTTCCATTTGAGTTTTGTCATAATGTTGCTTGCATCATTTGCGCCAGTTCTTCTTCGTAGGTCTTCGTTTTGTATGTGGTCCCTCAGGGTTACAGCCAGCATCGACCTCTCCACCTTTCTTCGCGCTACTTTCAGTTTTCTGGTAGTGGCAACTGTTAATGTCAATGTTTCAGAGCCGAATGTAATAACAGCAGCACGCATTTATTGAACGCCTTTCTTTTCAAATGTATGGGAATATCAGCTCATGCGAGATTGAGCCTTTTGTCTTTAGTTCGCTTGTTTGATTATCTCTCGATACGCTAACTTCATGGTCATAATATACATAGCTGTCAACCATCAATATCACAAATGTTGATGTTAGAAATGGAAACAAGATTTGTCCTCGAAGCGCAAATGTGTGGTTATAATTCTTTTGAAGAATTTATGAAGATCACTCTAGTCCAGCAATGCAACCCTTCTTATGGAGTAGGAGTAGATAATTAATGCCTGGTTGGAAGTGCCTGCATCAGAAGTTTATACCCCTATGACGTCACGCACTAATGTTATAAGTATAGGGAAAGTGACCAATTTAAATCTGGGGGAAAAAAATAACTAGATTTAGGTTGGAATTATGCCATTTATTGGAAGTCATGCTATTATAGAGGCAGAAATTGAAAAGATTTGGTATTTTTTGCTTTCCGCAGGACTATTTCTATCACCTCTATAGTGATATCAGGTATTTCGTGTGATCCTTGGTTGACAATACCCTTCATATGTGAGAAAATCTAGTTGGTAATTCTCGTCAACCTCATGCCAACTTTTATTTAACATCTGATAGAATTCCTCTACAATGTTAAGTATTTCCTTTCTGTTCATTGTAAGGTTTTTGTTGGTCTCTAATTCACATATTTCTTTCTTTCTATTCGTAAGTTTTATCCATAAACTTTCATTCTTCTAATAAGGAAATTGAATTAAAAAAGTTGAAGTAAAAGATGAAAGTGTTCTCCCAAGTAATTTTTATGAAGGAATTGTATAAATTCCAGAACAATACTCGCCGTAAGTGCAAAACCTTTAATCATATTTTAGATGCCATTAAAATATGGTATAATGAATTCGTCAAGTCTGTGAGCTTTTTTAAATGGATTTAATAAGAGCCGGAATTTTTGCTCTAAGTATACAACAATGTAAATTTTCTGTTATGAATGTAAATTTGTAATAGTACACTTAGAATTTCTGAAAAACATCCACTTTTATCTTCAGTTATGTCGCCGATATAGTTTCGCAACATTGCATAAGTGTTGCTATACTCAATCAGCATTTGCACGATTTTATCATAAAAAAAATGCAGAGAATGCTTCCAGAGTTCCTTTTTTATAAGTAACCAAATTACGAATACTCACAGAAATTTGGCGGTTTCTTACACTCATGCATATCATTAATTATGGAATTGATAACAATATTTTTGCAAGCATGTACGCATCTAGGGAATTAATGCAGGTCAGGTGGAAGTTTTATTGTAAAGGGATACTTATTGTGTGCAGAATTTGCGCTTTTTTGGGTATTTTATTTATTAATACATTTCAAATACGTTTTATACAGAAATAAATATCTCTTTAAATCGTTTTATAAAGCACATTTTTCTTTAAAAGTTTTAAAATTGAGTGTGTACAGAAACTTAAGTTTTAATCAAAAGCCTTAAACGTCTAATAATTTTATATTACTCGATGAATCACCCATTATTAATAATTAATATTCATCATTACTTGCAATAGGTTTTAAAACACATTAATACAAAAGCAACTCCTCCACCAAAAATATGGTGGACAGCACCTACTTGTTTAAGGACTGCCTTAAGAATGGCTCTACGTCATTTAGGAACGACTGTGGTAAGTCAAAATTCCTTTTTGCCAAATCATTTTTTTAAAGTATGTATCATTACTTTATTAAATATTTCCTAATATTGCATCATGTTTTGTTTAAAATTTTGCAAATCATGATTTTAATTACAACTATTAAAAAATAATAACATGTGTTGTATCATATTTTTTAATTAATGATTAGATGTGTACGATGGATGATCATCATCAAGAAGTTATAGCTTACTGCCGGGAATACGGCTTCCATGGCTTATTGGCCAACGACGCCGAATATGCTACATTTGACCCCCCACGTTATTTCTCCTCCGAACACTTAAAATTAACGTATAAAGTGAGTTTTTAACATTCACAAATAATTTCTATTTTAACTAATAAATCATTATTTTCTTAATTTGCAAATAATAAGGGATCTCTAGAGACCAAAGAGTACATGGTAAGTGAGTTGACGAAAACATTGTTGTTATCTCAAGAACAAGTCTGCGTTGTTGCTTCGCTATTGGGTAATTTTATGTTACCTGAAAGTGAACTACAAGATATTTATAAGAAAGTTTTGGCGATGGCGTCCAATAAAGATGTAAAGGTTGGTGTTTTTTTGATTTTTTTAAAAGCTTTTTTGTAAGATTTATTTTATTTAGTTAAATGGTGAAGGTGGAGTGAAGGCGATTGCTGAATATGTAAGAAGTTTACCTCCTCCTTCTAATATGGATGCGCTCGTATCACAGATTTTTGGCAACACAAATGAGACGCGGGCTGAAATTTTCAGAACATCTGTTCAGTATTATTTAAATGGGACGGCTAATGGATTTTTGAAGTATTGTCCATTACAAGGTAATAGAATAAAATTTGAAAATGTTGTGTTTTTCTTCCTACAAGTCCCATAATTGAAGTTTATTTCTTTTATGGTGTGGATGGAAGTAAATTAACTTATTTAGGTGGTTAATTATTAAAAAAAAATTTTATTTTCATAAATGTATTTTTTTAAATAATCACACACAGTTTTTTCATTCAATTTTTGACTTTAAATCTTATCTAATTGAATAATTATTATAATTAATAGCGTTTATAAAGCAGCTCTAAAAACAATTTCTCCTTATTTAGCTCCTAAAAAGGAAAATAAAAAACCAGTAACAAATAATAATGTAAATAATACAGTTGTGAATAATGGTAATGCTAAACCCGAAGAAAACGACTTCGACACGTCTGGTTTCGCGTCTGAGACAACAGAACAAGAGGTAAGAATTTATTAATTTTGAATGTTTTTGTGGTGGTTTGTTATAAATAAATACTCCTTCAAATCGTCATCGTTATTTGCTTTACTTCTTGAAATAACGAATCAAAGTGTGAAGGTACATTAATTTACTAACAATTTTAGAAGTATATTTTAATAATTAATTTTAAACTATTGTTAGTAACACAACTAATTATTGTAAATACTTTCTTTATTAAAAAAATCTTATACGTTATTCATATTTTCTTAGCAAGAAAGTCTACAAAATTATAAACTGGCAACTGCAAATGTAGTGATAGCAGCGGATTTCGCAAGTTTAAACGATGATAGCTCGGCGAAAACGTCCCCACATAATGGTAAAACAACGAATATAAAGAAATGATTGAATTACGAGTTATTATTTCACTTTAGATGAATCTCCCCCAACTTCTGATACATCAAGATTTAATGGTCACTCGAACAGTTCCTATGGTTCAAATAATAGCGCCTCAGCATCTAATAATGCGAGTTGTAGCAGTAATTCAGGGACCAGAGTCAATCTTCAAGTCAGTTCTAGTAGCTCGAATGCGAGTAGCGTCCCACAGTCACCTAAGCATTCAATACCGAGTAGTCAAAATAGTTCAACTAACATAATTTCACCAAACGTTTCTACTGACGTTCTTCGTACGGCTTCGTTAAGACATCAAAAGGGATTAATGGCCCCATGGATTTTGCATCTATTAAGTACTAAAGAAGTACGTTTACAGTGCCTGATGGAAGATGAAAACAAACGGGAATTTCCGCCCATTCATGAAATTTACCAATTATTACGTCAACGGGTTTACGCTGTGTTATTTAATTTGCACCACCACAGATATGTTCACATGAAAAAGAAGGAAGCTGGTGAAATTGGTGAAAGTTCTCCAGCTCCAGATATAATCGTACATGAATGGATTTATAGTAGATCGAATCCATATCAATACTCTGAAGAAATTAAAGCAGAACCTTTACCTTGGGCTGTACCAACTTTACAAAGATTGTGGTTTGGTCCATCACTTGACGACAAACGATGTCGAATGCGAGCTTTATTATCGTGCCTAAACTCGGATACACCTTTAATTTTAAACACAGCCTACGTTCCACAACAACTTTTAGTAATGGCTTGCGTCCTACGATACATTATGTCGTTAGAACGGCCAATTATGCGAAAAAACGAACTGGATGTGTTCTTATGTCAAGCCTATAACCCGGATTTAATGAACGTTCAATATCTACAAGAGCTAACTTTAAACGTTGTAACTAGTCGAGGCGTTCAGTTGGCAGCTATCTTTATGCAAGGCGTTGAAATGGCTTTATTGGCGAACGACGCTTGTGGAGCTCCATTACCATGGTTGATGTGTTGCCCTTGGCTTTATTTCGATGGGAAATTGTTTCATCATACTCTTGCTAGATCCGCGCAGGTTAAGAGTTTACTCGAATTGTGTGAGAATCATATTGAAAGGGTTGTTAAAGTGGAACGATTGAGAAAAGCAATTCTTGAAGGATTGGATGTTAAATTTGCTAAACCACCTTTACCACATTTTACAGGTAAATTTAATTCTCAGTTTCATTTATTATATTTCTTATTATTTTCTGTTATCAGAATAACATACAATAACATCTGACTGGGAAACTTTCTTTTTTGAAGAGCTCATTGTTCAATGATGAGGAGATATTAATGTAATATTGTGTAGATGAAAGTTTCTTGATAATTTTAGTTCATCATTATGATATTTAGGCTAAAAGAAGCATGTACTTGATTATGTGCAGGTTATATTTAATAATAGCAAAACATACATTGACAAAACATGATTACTGTCAACATCTTCAAAAGGAAGTTGCTCTGTGGCATTCTCTATTATTACAAAGTGTTTTAAATTGATTATGGATAGTGTTCATAGATTTACATTACAGAAAAGTTGAAATGTATTCAAAGCATCATATTGCTAGAGAAACAATTAATTAAAAAAGTATATGGCTAAAGAGCTCATTGTTCAATGATGAGGAAATATTAATGTAATGTTGTGTAGATGAAAGTTTATTGATAATCTTAGTTCATCATTAAGATATTTAGGCTAAAAGAAGCATGTACTTGATTATCTGCAGGTTATATTCAATAATAGCAGAAAATACATTAGCAAAACATGATTACTCTCAACATCTTTAAAAGGAAGTTTCTCTGTGGCATTCTATATTGTTAAGTGATTTAAATTGATTATGGATAGTGTTCATACATTACATTACAGAAAGGTTGAAATGTATTCAAAGCATCATATTGCTAGAGAATCAATTAATTAAAAAAGTATATGACTGGAAATTCAAAATTCTTAACAGAACTGTTTAATGTTGATTTAGGTTTAATGCGCCAAGGTATGCCACCACCAAATTGTTTACCTGCAATGCCTTTACCATCAACAAGAGGAGCGGCAGCTTTAAGACAACGTCCAATGCCCGCACGAGGTGGTCAATTACAAGTGGCTGGTGTCGTGGTGGGTTCTTGGGGTCCAAACTACAGTTATCAAAATAACGTAAGGCAGCAGCCGCAACACGTTATTGGGGGATATCAACAACAAGGACGCGGTCGTGGGCTTTCCACCCAATTCAACGTGCAGCAGCAGCAACAGCAACAATATTCGAGAGCACGCGGTGGAGGCGGTGGACAAAGAAAACCGGGTCCGCCGACTTACAACGTGAATCGAAAGAATAACGTAAGTTTTGTGCTTTTGGGCGCTTTTTTTTTGCGTTTGCTATTCTTTATTTTTTTACTATCTATCGATCTATCTTGAGAATATGTGGTGTTGCGTAGCCGGCAAAGAAGAAATCGAACAACAACAGGCAGAGGCAGGGGGGCGGCAGCGCGTCACGAGGTCGAGGAATGACTGTTAAAACCGAGAATGGGTTAGTTCATAATAATTTTTCTTTTCTTTTTATTTGGTTGGGAAATTTTATTATTAAAATAAGATTTTGTTGTCTTATAATACCTATTGTTCTTCAGGTGTTGTTATGTTGTTTATCGAATTAATTTACATCCTTCCCTTCCTTTTGATAAAATCTACGAAACTATATTTTTTGTAGGTTTTTTAAAGTGGAGGGTAGATTGAATATAGAAAACTGGGTGCGGAGTGAAAATATTTTTATTTTTTCGGTCCTCAATCTGTTTTCTTACATTTATTTATTCATAATTTGAATGCAATTTACAGTAACAGGTTTAAATGTTGTCAAATTTTAATATACCATACTTTATTCTTTTCGTTATTTTATATTTCCATTTCTTATTTTCGTAATTTTTACTGACAGGTAGAAAAAGAACTAAACAAGTAAAAAAGTTGAGCATGTCTATGCTTGTAATTGGCACCATAGTATTATAGGAGTTGGCAACCAAAGGCTACCACCTAGAATTAAAATAGTAAATAATATTTTTATATTATATAAATATGTCAGGTGACTCCTAAGATGACGTGTATAATGATTGATATTGTAATATCATGATTTTGATGGCATTTAAATAAAGCACTTGTTATTTCGCTTGTTGCTTGATGAAAATGAAAGGTTTCATATTAATCAACTCAAAAATATAAATTAATTATTAGGGGATGTTCTAATTTAATAATACGTGATTTAATTATACAAATTTCTTTTAGGCGAGTTGAACTAAAATAATATATTTAAAAACCTCTCTGTTCTTCCAATTAGTCTTGGTCCACCATTATAGCAAAAGTGTTAGGAAGTTCTGTACGACATACTCTAATTTTATTGTTAGTGATAGTTAAGCAATCAAGTCAGTAATAGTCTAATTTTCAAAATATCAGGAATTTTCGTGTATTTTATTAGGCTGGATTTCTTTACCAGTTTTTAGTTTTAAATAATACGTTTATTGCAGGTGCAAAAAGTTCAAAAGTTGTTGAAAAAGTTATTCGAAAATTACATTTACAAACATTTTCGAACACCCCCCACCATTTTATTTTTAGAGATAGGGCAAAAAGTATTTTAACAAAAAAACTATAATTTACCTAAACTTTAAAATGTTAATACAGCGAAATTCCGAAAAAACGACATTTTGCGCAAAAGCGTTTGCGTCTTTTAGCGGCCATCTTAGAAACCTGCAAATAATTTCTAGGATTTTCTCTTGGCCACTTTGGCTATTAAATTTTTTACCGCAAGTCTACAAGGAGTAGTTTCCAAGATAAAATATATTTATTTGGCCACCCTGTACATAATTCGGACGAAAAGTAAGTTCATTCTTTATATTGGTTGCTAAATATGTACATATGCTCTAAGCTTCATTTTAAGTGGCATTCAATCTTTTTCCTTTAAGCTCGTTTATAGATGAAAATGTATTTCAGTTGAAAAAAAATTTACTTTATTGCATATAATTCTGAGAATTACCGTTACTGTTCATGAATTTTAAAAATATATTACTTTCAGTACAGTTAATATTCGACAAACTAAATTTTTAGTAACTTTACTGGGTTGATTATATCTACAAACTGGCTTAATTTCTTTTAGGGTGCTTTTATTTATTTACACGAAAAAGTTTAAATACCTTTTGTGGCAACCTTTACATAGTGGAAAAAATTAAAAATGATTTTAAGAAAAGAAAATATATAGCAACAACAATTTTTTACAACCGAATATAGTTTTAAATAATTACTTACCTTGATAGAATTTGTTAAGATGGGCGCACAAAACACATTAAATCACTGTTAAGCAACACCTTTTTGTATTCAAGTATACGGGATTCCCCTGTATTTCACGAACGAATTTATGTCTTGTTCACGTTTTTGTTCCAATAAATAACTATTCTTAAGAAACAAATATATTAAGTAAGTCGAAATTTAATCTTTTAATTACTTTCGTGAATGTTAAAAAAACACGAACGTCACGCAACACTTATTAGTTAAGTGTTGCGTCCACGAAACCTCCCACAATTTAAGAAACGCTGGTATAAGCCGTGTTGGGACTGTTGGGTTGAATCAGCATTCTTTGGCGTCTAATCTTTTAACTTATCGGTATGAAGAGAATATGAATGGATCAACAATATATTATCATAATTTACGCAGCACAAACAAACCATTGAAAATTAATTTATACTATTTTAAACTTCTTTATTTTTTATTTACTATGTATAAAATAATATATAATTTTGTATTACACATGTGGATCTCCTGCTACTAACATAGTTATAGTTAAAGAACACATGTGGCAAGCCTTAAAAGAAATATTTATTTTTCCCGCTCTTTATTAAAGGTTGCTGACTTCTGGTAGAATATTAGATTATTCAAATAAAAATAAATCCCATTTTGGTATTGTTATTCATTAAATAAACATGTTTTCAAAGCTGGTCGTTTGGTGCAGCATTAAATCGCAATTGTAACACTGCATATTGTTAGATTACTGCCAAAATTTTAATTATTAAAGTCAAGTTATATTTTAGCAATAACTGCATTCACATTTCATATCACATTTATAATAGCAATGTAGGTGAATGCTTTTTATGACGTCTGAATAACTCGTAATATCAATTCAAATTATAAACAGTCTAAACTACTTGACAATTTAAAATAAATTTAATAATTAACTTGGGTGTTAGACAAGCGTCTAAAGGTGATCATCATGAATGTGAGTTCAATGCAAATGGTGCTAGCTGAGTTCTATGTAAACTACTTAAAATCGTTAAAAAGAAAGAGTTAGCAACATTTCCATGTATACATCAACATCAGCTATTTTAGTTAAGAATTATTTTTTATATCAAAATACTTTTTCTTTTGTAATATATTTCTCTATCAGATATTCTTATTTCAGTGATATCTTGGCTGAGGAGATTTTAAAAGAAGAACCGACAACGAATGATGAGACTGCATTTGAGGACATTAAAAGTCCGGAACATCATGGTCAAGGTGATGGCCCAGCAGCTGTTGAGACCACTTCCCATTAAAAATAAATTATTTACTTGGGTTGGGTTATAACAGTGCTGTGTTGTGCAATGATGCATTTGTTTATAACGTGTTCTCTCTGGACCTTTAAAGTTTCTCTTTTTAATTTCAACATTAGTGCTACACGCCTTGAGGAGTTGTATTAAGAGAGGCCTCTTCACATCCCCACACATTTTTCCCTTTTTATTCTTCCAACCCATTAAGTATTTATTTTGGTAGTATACTTTCCATATACTTTACACTAAAGTAGAGTACATATATACACATTTAAACATAGACAAAAATACCACTAAAAACATACACACATGTTTACATAATATTAAAGAAAGGAAACGTTTCTATATTATGATTATTAATGTAAAAGGAATATTATTTTTGGTTCCTTTTAAACATAATTTTTCACATTTAATTTACAATGACACAAAAAACATGAAGAGGAAATTACCTTTAATTAAACAAAAGTGATTGAGAGATCGTTTTCTCAATAAACAAAAAATACTAAAAGTGACCAAATGATGATGGAATGTGAACTGTTTAAAATGATCCATAACGACGCTCCAAAGAAGAAGACGACTGCAAATAGGTGTGTAGTTTTTGGTGTAGGCGGGGCCAGTGCGAGTTGGAAAAGCTAAAAACTTAATTTTAAAATGCGGTCGGTCTAAAAGGAAATGAGGAGACTTCGTCGTTTTGAACTACTAAAAAAGAGTATAAAAAATTGAAATCCCGCCGACTGATGATTGATTGTTTGAGAGCAAAATGTATATTTTTCTATATTTGTTACATCTGTTAATTAATAATTATATAATACGGAACGGGAGGAGATATACAAGATGCTGTGATCGTATTTATGGTAATTTATAAAAAAATAAAATAAAGCGTTGATCTGTTTTATTCCGGCCTGGACGGAGCGATAGCTTCATTATGCACTGTTCTATCTAAAGAATTTAAATAATCTATCTATCGTTTCCGTTTTTTAGATCACTTGTAGTATACAATATAGTTTATGGTAGATGTTTGTAGAATATGGTTTTAATGTTGGTGAATTTATTTTAACGAAATGATTTAATCAACATTTCAAAATCACGCCTTAATTGTTAGTTATAATCTACCGTTTCTTTTGTATGGATTTATAACAGGTATTTAACAAATGGACCATATTGTCTTTTATAATGTATATAAGCCTATATATTTATATTCAATAACGTTTTTTCTTTTTCGCGTTTAAGAAATCGCTCTGTTTATCGGCCGTGTAAAGATGATGGTTCTGATGAAGTGTCTGAAAGTAAGATTTTGCTAATAATATTAATAAGAGTGCTGGATCCGTTAAAAAAATCTAATCAGAAAAATATATCCTTATCTCGATGAGAAAAATAAAACTAAAAACAAGAAAAATTATACGAAATCAAATTAACGAAAAATTCGTTATAAAAATGTGTTTGTAAAAACCATGCATTGGAAGTAATGCAAATACCCAAAAACAAATTGTAATAATAATATGGAAAAAAAAGATACAAATCAGAGGTTCTTGTAAACTAAAAAAAATGCCCTGCTTTGTTAAAACGTATCATTGCGATTCTCTAAGTAAAAAAACGAAAAGTTACCAAAATGGAAATTAACTCTTGACTTCTCTATAATAAACCGTTCGCTGAACGCAATTTATTGTAAAAGAAAATATAAAAAGCTGTCTTGTCACAGTTTGTTTTGATTTTTTGAAACAAAACAAAGTCGTATGTATAACGCAAAAAAAAAGTTGAAAGCGTAAATAAAGCTTTTGTTTTCTTGATGATGATCGTGGTCATCAGTAATTTTTAACAAAAAAAAAGATGAAAAATAGCATATTATATAAATACACTCACGTAGCGTGGTTATAAAAGCGTTTTTTCTAATTAGCTCATACACACTTATTGCAAAAGAAACTTGGATGATTATGGTAATTATAATGATTATCCGTAACAATTTTTTTATATCCCTATTTCATAGTTTATTTTGATTTTTTTGTATATGTATGTAGTATTTTTAGTTTCCATTGAATTGCTTTTTTTCTGTAGAATCAAAGTTTTGTTATTTTTTTCTCTTTTCTAGTAATTTTTGGGAGTAAATTATATTATCCATTTTTTTTTTAGAAATCATAAAAAATACTTATACAAATCTCAAAGAAATAAAAAACGTTGTAGTTGTTGCTCCGTTTATTATAACACTTTCTTTTTTGTTTGTTTGTTCTTTTTTGAGCTAAGCGGTTTTATTTTGTTGTATTATTTGAAAGAAACTAACGTATATCTATGCTTAATATTTAGATACTTTTCAAAAGAAAAACAAATTGAGAAACTTATTGTAGCTTGAACCTTTTACTTTTTCGAGGAAAATATGAAGGAATTAAAAAATAAAATCCGAAACGTATTTGTTAAACATAGTAAACTATATGTAATATTGTATTTATGAGCCTTTGTGGGAATAAATGACAGGGCATCCGAGTTATTTCAAAAGATAAAAAAAATCATAAAAAAATAAAATCTTTAGGATAGCTTTTTGGTGATTTTTGGACAACTTGGGACAATACATTGCTGGTCACATTTTTTTGAGTTCATCAATTTTATTTTGTATTCTAAAATTTTACATTTAAAAAGAGATTAAAGCAAGAACCGCTTTCTACTAAACGGTAGAAATTTTTGCACCATCCACCGAGTGTCTTTTGTAGATCATTTCGATCGTGATTTTCAAAAGTCAATTATTGTCTTGACGTTTCCAGCTGAAATCACTAGTTTCCAAACGAGATAAAAGATGAAAAAAAAAATTAAAAATTAACGCCTTCACTTCTAATATATTCATACAGTTAAATCGATTAAAAACTAAGCAAAAAATAACAATGAAACGTAACCGTTCAACAGTTTTTATGATATTCTATGTATATGTGGGCATCCATTCGAATATAATTTTCAATTTATTGTATCCTTGTATCGATTGATATATGGTTGAGCAGGCACTCAAAATGTTTCCTGTCAGTGCTGTTGAAAGAATTGTTTGACATAAAGTTTTGAACCATGGATTCTTTCTTTTTATTTAACCTTTTTCAATTTCCTTACACTTTTAAAATATCGTTTAATCTAGTTTTTATGGATGTATCATATTATACAGGATGCCCATCATGTATGGAATATAGTATATTTATCTTGGTAGTATCGACTTTATAAAAAAACATTTTATACAAAAGTTGTTTAATATTTTATTTGTCATAATAAAACAGCATACAATTGGCAACTATTTGACTTGAAGCTTTTAAATGGCAATGTATCCTTTCGTTGCTCATTTGTTTTCTGAAATAAAAACAATTGGATGCTGTCTTATGGCAAATAAAATATTAAACAACTTTTGTATAAAATGTTTTTTTTATGAAGTTGATACCTACCAAGATATATGCTATATTCCATACATAATGGGTACCCTGTATAAATATAAGTGTGTAACATGTTTGTTGTTACTTGAGAGTAAAATTTGTCTGGCTTTAGGTCGAACATGCAAGAAATGTGAAAAATAGATGTAATGCAATGGCGTGTAAGACTAGAGTGAACGATGCAGAAGTTCAATCTAAAGAAGGAGAAGATTACATTATAGTACAAAAACGACTAAAAATAAACTACTACAAAAGACAAAATAATAGAAAAAGATTATGAGGAAGACATAATAAAAGCCATAAAAACTCGCGATTCAAAAGACACAGACTCGTGGTATGTGTAAATGTATCATAAATAATTAATATTTTAAAATAAATTGGATGCAAATTGTAACATCATCTTACTTTAAAGTATATATATTATATATTTTATTCTCATTATTTATATACATTAAATAAAAATATAAGTAAATGTATTGCATCTTTTAGGAGAATTTCAACAGAAGAGATGTACTGGAAAAAAAATTAAAAAATTGGTTGAAGATAAAATCGTTAAGCCTATGAAAGAATTAATTGTCAGTGCAAATCAGCAAAATAGGAATAGTAATAAATCAGCAGTCAGATAAAGTATGGGGATGGGCTGGAGCAATGGAGCGACTTTAAGATTTTGGAAGAGTTTTGTAGGGAGATTAAGTCAAAGTCTTAATTGAAGGAGAGTATGGACAACAAGGAAGAAGAGAATATTATACTACAGTAGGGTATTTAACAGAGGAAATGCAAAAAAAGAGGAGAGAAGAGTTAACACTGTGGAAGGGGTTGGAGAGTAGAGATAGAGATGTGGAAAAGCACGAACAGCGTGCTCTGGTGGAAAAAGGGTATAAAATAATAACTACAAGTTTATAATAACGGAAGAAATTCCGGGGTATTTGACGGAGGAGGGTAGAGGGAAGGAAAAAAGTATGATTGCGTAATTTAGGTATGAAAATAATAATAATGTTTATTGCCTCAAAAACAAATTTACATGAATATATACGTTCATAACAAATATAGACATCAAGACAAACGGATCAATTTATCGCAATAAGCGATATCTTTAAAGAGACCCATCTGGTAACAGTGTATATATAATTATAAATAAATAATTATGGCTACCCAAAAAGTAATATTAAATGATGTGCTAATAAAACTGAGCGAATGAGCATATTTGAATTACGTAACAAATCGACAGTCAGTTACTACAAGGAAGGAAGTAGACACAAAAAGGTGCAGCAAAAGATAGATGAAAGGCAGACTAGAGAAGAAAACAAACACGTATAGGTCAAGAAGAAGATTGTTAAAGAGATAGCAGATGGTGCCACAAGGCATTTTTAAAACTTCGGCAAATCGTTCCACAACGTAATCGACTGTAAAAGATCTGTGGTAGATTTCAGTACTATGGACTGGAAACCTGAGGGTAGAATCCGACATTGATCGAGTGGGCAAGTCATGTGATGCTAAAAAGTGAAAGGCATCAGACAAGTAAGCAGGAGTGCGGGTATGGACAATTTTGTATAACAAAGTAAGCATACGAAATGATCTACGACTCTGGCAAGTCATCATCTGCAGGTTCTTACGATATGGAGTAATGTGTTGAAACTTTCCTAAATCAAAAATGTACCGTATACAATTGTTCTGATGTCTTTCTAATTTATCCCGAAGGACTACAGACAGATCGGGATACGCAGCATCAGCATAATCAATGTGTGAGAAAATGAAGGAATAGCAAAGATTACGCAGCGAAGTTTTTTAAAGTATGGAAACAGAAGTAAACCTTAATACAAAAAAATCAAGAGAGGACGAATAAATATTGGATGGGGGATGAGGAGAGGATGTGTAGATTGTGTGGGGACGATTGGAAGACATTTGATCATATGTTGAGGAAGGGAGGTGTGGAGTGGGAGCGCGTACTAGATGGAGGGAAAGAGGGGTGAGAGTGGATGGCGGAGGTGATAAAGCAGAGGAGATGGGAACATTAGTATGAAATTGTATATTATGTATTGTTGCTATTATATTTCAAAAATTGTATACAGAAAGTTCAGAAATCCGACGCCATCAGGCATAAGGATCAGGAGAAGAAGAAGTACACAGAAAGTAGAAGAAAATGATGGTTGTGTCTGGTCTCAACCTTTAAACAAATTTTTCGATTGAAGGCATTTTTCATTACCAACCTTAAGAGAACTATCAGCAAAGATTTCATGGATGAAAAGTCCTTACAATGCCTTGAAATCCTTGTAATTAGGGATAATAATCCTACTTATAAGAAATCTCTCAAAGAGGAATTGGACTTTTCAAATATTTTAACAAATACATAGTAAATTTCTTGGATATTATGCGAGAAAAATAATGAAAATCAAAATTAGGTATATTAAATGGAAACAATATTTAGATGAGACGATCAAACAGAAAGGTGAAAGATGTTAGCAAAAACGAAAATGTAACATTAACGCGCATTGAAGCTAAAGTCCTGAACTAACCAAAGTAACGGTCATCTACAACATAAGTGGTTTTTATATAAATTTTTATTAAAATATAAATGTCAAAGTGGTAGCCAAGTGAAGAAAAAGTGATGGTTGGAGATCTGTGAAATATTGATCTGAACAAAAGAATGGGGTCAACACAATCTTTATTTTATATTATTATTATAAGATGAATATACTTTTACATATACATACGTTCCATTACAGCCTCAACCTTCCATGACATGGTTTCCACAAATCCTTGTATGGTGGCTGCTGGTGTTTTCTTCCATTCGACTTGGACGGTTGTTGCATTCCTTAGCTCGGCAATCCAATTCATCCCAGAGGTTCTCGATGGGATTCAGGTCTGGGTTCTGGACAGGCTAGTCCATTTGGGTAACCTCATTGACATCCATAGCGATTATTACAACCAAGCAGATGAGGTTGTAGATGGTATTCATCGAAACAATATTGCCCTTGTCCTTTAGTACTATAATCTGAGGTGGGTTTTGGCCTCTGACGTTAGGCCTCTGTCCTCTCCCCCACGCCTTAAATCGCGCATATTCTGTTTTACACACTTGTCCATATATTTTGCGAAGCAACTTTCTCTCGAACACCCTCAATACGTCTTTACAGTGCATGAAAATAAATTTGAGCGAAATAATTTTAAGTGTGCATAATAGCATCTATTAATCATGAGTTCCATCTGTTTCGTGCCTGCTTCCATCATTCTGAACACTTCATTCATTTCCTCCCTCCTACGACTCATAATCAGTATACCATTAGCATATCCAAGTAAAGTCCCTCCTGTGTCAAGCTTGCCAATCAACGAGTGCAGTGCCAGGTTGAATATTAGTGCCGACGGCGTTTTCTTCTTTTCTTTTTGCCTCACTTCCGATTTTATTTTGAACAATTCGGATTTGGTATCCTATATCAGTACTTTTGCTGCCGAGTTGTCCATTGTAGCCATCACCATTCTCACAAGTTTGCAGGATATTCCCATCAGTTGCATCTTCCTCCCAAGTTTATTCCTGTCAATGCTGTCAATGGCATTTCTGAAATCAATGATGCTCACAGTGTGTGAGTGTACGTCTATGCTATACTCACAGCATTTCTTTATTGTGTCTGAAGTCATGGTGGTTCTGCAAGTTTTGTTGCATTTGCAATTATCACATGCAGATTTGTCTCCTTTCTTATGCATGCAATCCTTTCTTCATCCCAGCAGACGGTTATTAGTTAATGGAGTCTTCTTACTGTTGCCACTCCTTTAATGTATAGGAGCTCAGTACCGATTTTATCTTCGTCTAGGGACTTGTTTTTTATTCTTGCTACAGCTTGCTGCTCTTCTTCCACCCTTCTTGGGGCTTCCATCATAGTGTGCAGTATATTATATACTTAAATTTATTTCGTGAGTAACATTACAAGGAATTCGTACTATTCCTATTATGAACTGTTGAAATCTGGGAAAACCGTTTTGAATAAAATCGACGAGCATAATTCAAATGAAGCATTCCTTGAGTTAATGCTTAGTTCAATAGGATGTGGAAGTGTTACGGTCACTACGAAGCAAATTCTACACAATGTGGTAACATAGGAGGAAATTATATGACATTGGTAAATCAACAGGCTGCTAGTTTAGAATGAATACAGTAGAATGTGATGGTAACGAATATGTAGAGAAAAAAGCGGTGATAGTAAAAAATAATTCTTATTTATTAGAATTGTTATTAAATAAGTTACGTATTAAGCTAATTTTAATAAATAATGAATCTAATGATCTTAATAAGCAAATATGTTATATCTGAACATTTCAAACTAAATTTGCCGAGCAAATTCAAAATATTTGAAATTTTAAATTTTACTTTCAAATCAAAACATTTTGCAAATCACCACTAGATGTCACCATTAAAAACTACTCATTTCGTAGAAATTTCTATTCTGTAACCATGTCGGATATGACGTTTGTCTATAGCATAGCAGACGGTATAAATTTAAAGCTGTCAAAATCGAACGTCAACAACACACACAACACAAATAAAAGTTAACAGTCGTCGAGTGCGTACGCGCTGTGTAATAATGTGGAAATCGCACAATAAAGTGGACGTGGTCAGTCAAAAAGACGATTGCTTTCAGGATTTAATCGAAGAGTGTAAGGGTTTACCACCCGGTTCGAAATTGTCGTATTCGTTAAGGAGTCGCTTGGAAAAGTTTTCCCTTGCAGTTCGAAAGGAAATAGTGAATAGGGTCAAGATAGGAAATGCACCCCTATTCATTGCCTGCAAGAAAGGCCAATTAGAAATCGTCGAGTATTTGGTAAATTCGTGTGGAGCGGATATTGAACAAGGAGGGTGTTATGAAGTACCTGATGATAGGTAAGAATGGGGAAGGAATTTATTTATTTTTTGTGGATCTAATAGTGAGTCAAAAAAGTTTATTAAAAATATTGTTTGTTGACCTTTAGTTTAAATAGTGCTAATAAATATTTATGTACTTATGTTATTGTAAACTGATTCAATTGTATGGTAAACAATTTGAGATAAAAAATATTGCCTGGTTTTTATGATAAAATTATTTTGACTGGTTATTATACTTCATGATAATATATTGAATGTGTAGTGCAATGTTTATTTATTATAATTAAATCAATTATTATTTTTATTAATGTGAGATGTGTTATACAGGGTCGCTTATATGTATAGAAACGGTCGGTTATCTCCTAAAGTAAGATAGCTAGCGAAAAATGTTAAGATACAAAAGTTTTAGTGTTTTTTTTTAATCTGTTGCAATAAAGACAAATTAAGTATACAGGTCAGTCAAAAAGTTATGACGAAACAATTACGTTTCCTTTAATGGAACACCCCCATGTATATTATTCCATGTTTTGGTTCATCTCGAAATTCTAAACAAAATTCATGTAGCATGTTGTAAACCTAAACTTCATCTATTGCAATAAAGACAAATTAAGTATATAGGGTCAGTCAAAATTATTTTTATGTTTCCATAACTATATTAATACTTCTATTATTTTAACAATTCTAACTAATATAATTTATATTTCTAATAACTACATTACTATCACTAAGGTAATCATTATTTAATTAAATAAAATAATTCAACACCCCCTCTTAATGATTACCTATTATTTTATTAAACCTAAATTTTTACAATTGCATTATAGACTGGTTCTGTTTGATGATTTTGTTAACAAATCTGCTAGTTGATTTTTGCTATTTATATGTTCTATATTAATTAATCCTTCTTTTAGATAATTTGATTATATTTTAAATCAATGTGTTTGACTCTTCTATTATTTTCCGGATTTTTTATTAAATGTACACAACCCTGATTGTCTTCGAATAGTTTAATATATTCATGTTTGACGTTTAGGTCTATTAAAATTTTTTTGTTCATAAACATTCCTGTAGTGCCGAACATAATGCAACTAATTCCACTTGGGTGCTAGAGAAAGCTACACAATTTTGTCAAAATTTTAATTAAATAACCACTAATTGAATTTCTGTCATGATAATCTCCACCCCAGTCCGAATCAACATAGCAAACAAATGGCAAAGAATTATTATCTCTTTTGCAAACCAATTCTAAATCTATTGTAGCAAATACTCATTTTGTATTTAAAATTTCTCCATTTTTTGGCATTTGAATTTTATTCCATGTATTATTTTTATTAATTGCATCTAATTCTGTCTCTGTATTGGTTTTTCCCAAAAAGATTTGTCATCTCTGCCTTCTAAATTTGTAGCATTTTCCGGTACCCTGTCTAAAAAATTGATTGTATTAAATTACATATACATTTCATAAACATCGTATTTCCGTGGTAGTTTTATTATTCTCTTCTTCTTCTCTTCGCCAATTTCCCTATTTTCCTTTTGTTTAATATTTCTTTTTCCTTCTAGGTTGCTATCTAATACTTCGTCATCTTGAAATTCTTTATTTTCTTCCTGTATTTGTATTGGTTTTGACTTACATTCATAATAAAATTCTTTTTTATTAAAAATAACAGATCTTGAAACTATTACTTTTTCTAAACTCCATAATCTAGGTATATCCAGTAGTTGTGTATCCTATCATTATACATTTTTCAGTTACTCCGAAAATTCTTAAATTTTCAACATTTGGTCTTCTTTTATACCATAATTCTGCTGATGTCACATTATTTGTATTTGATTCTACAGCACTCCTGTTATATAAGTATGCAGCAACTCGTATAGCTTCATTCCAAAAACTTTTTGGCATTTTTGCATCTTCAACCATTATTCTTGCCTTTTCGATTAATGTTCTATTGAATGTTTCCGATTTTCCATTTTGTTCGGGTGTATATGGTACAGTATAATCGGTTAAAGTTCCATTATTTCTACAAAAAGATCTAATTTCCTTTGAAATATATTTTCTGCCATTATCACATCTTATAGTAGCTATTTTGAGATTAAATTTTGCCTGAGCCATATTTACATATTCTTTAAAACAAAATTTGAATAATCATCAATAAATGTAATAAAGTATTTTCCATCATCATGTGATAAAGGAGTTATTGGTCCTGCAATATCTGTATGTACGATTTCTAATAACCGTTTTGCTTTTGATCTTTTTCCAAACTTCATTCTATTTAATTTACTTCTAACACAAGACGAGCCTCGCAAAATTCAAAATTAATCGTTTTTGAATTTTTAATTCCATTTACTAAATTATTTTTGATAAATTTTTCTAAATTTGCGTGACATAAATGACCGTATCTTTTGTGCCATAATTTTGATTATGTGGTTTCTTTTTCAACATTGATGGATTCATTGTTTTTAATTTGAAATGAAATGTATAGATTATTTAAATACCTACTAAATCTTCTCTGCTATATAGTTTAACCATACTATTACTAAATACAATTTTTATATTTGCAGCATCTAATCTCTTAACTGATAAATTGTTTCTTCGAGCCATTGGAACATAAAATACATTCTTAGCTGTACAACCAATGTTTTTACCTTTGATTTTAGTAAATACCTTAATTTTACCTACACCTATTACTTTCATGTATTGGTGTTTTTCAGCAACAGCAATTTGGAATGGGTTATTTAGTATTAATAAATCTTCAAAAAGCTGCTTATCATTGACAATATGATCAGTGCAACCGGAATCAATATAAAAATTAATATTTTTTTTATTTAATTCTTAATTCATGCTTTCTTCCTCTTCATTACTGCTTTGATGATCTTCCTTTTATGCCTGATGACTGCGTCTATTTCCAACATGTTGTGGAAACTTGCCTTGTCTTGATATCCACGGTTACCATAATGGTATCCTCTGGTTACTCTTCCATACTTTCCCCATGCTCCTTTTCTCTCAAATCCTGTTCTAAAGTTTCCATTATTATATCTTCCTCTGTTGCCTCTAAAGTAACCACGACTTTGACCTTGAAGTTCACTTTGATCGCTTGTATGGCAATCTCTTTGAAAATGTCCTGGTTTGTTACAAAGATAACATACACCTTGTCCATTGGAAATAAATGTGGCATGGTTTAAATCATTGGTATTTGAATTATTTGTAATTATTTGCCTCGTAGCTTTTCTTTTTTCAATTTCAGTTCTCAATTTTGATTTAGCCATTTCGTAATTTATTTCTTTTCCGGGAATATTTTCTAATCCAGTTATTACTGTTTTGAAAGATTTAGGCATACCCAATAATAAGTTACACACAATGTCGTTTTCATTTATCTCTGCTCCAGTATTTTTCAACCTTCTCCCAACTTCATATTTATCTGCTTCCTTTTTAACATTAATTTTCCTGGCATTCCTTTTTTTTTTTTTTTCATATCTTTCTTCCAAACTTTTCCACATACTATATGCTGTATCCTTTTCTCTTATCAAATCAATTTGTGAATCACCCTAACATTGTACTATTAGGGATTTACACTTATTATCCATTTTTTAGCTTCTATCATTTCTTTCTTCTGTGTTTCTCCATAATCCTCCGTTTTAAATTCTTTTTTCACGCTTTTATCAACGTCTTTTTCTGTTAGTAGCATTTGCATGCGAAATTTCCAGGTATGATAATTATTAGCATTTAGGCTCTCCATATTAAATGTAGTGGAGTCCATAACCATATGGTTTATGATATACTACATGAATTTTGTTTAGAATTTCGAGATGAACTGAAATATGGAATAATATACAGGTGTTCTATTAAAGAAAACGTAACCTTGTTTCGTTATAACTTTTTGATTAACCCTGTATACTTAATTTATCTTTATTGTAATAGATTTAAAAAAAACATTAAAACTTTTATATCTTCCCTTAGGAGATAACCGACCGTTTCCACACATATCAGCGACCCTGTATACAGCTTATATATTATAGCTTTATCCATAGATCAGTACACTCAGTAACACCTTTATGGTGTGCAGCAGTATCCGGTAAATTGCCTGTTGTTCAATTTCTTGTGGATCATGGTGCCAATTTAAACGCGGTTTCCGATAGTGGTTCTACACCTGTAAGATCAGCTTGTTTTATGACCCACCTTGAAATCGTACAGTATCTAGTTGAAAAAGGAGCGGATATAAATCGTCCGAATTATAACGGTGGAACTTGTTTGATTAATTCGGTTCAAAGCGCCCAATTGTGTAGCTTTCTACTAAAACATGGAGCGGACGTGAACGCTCGTGACATTCAAAATAAAACCGCCTTACACTACGCCATACAAGAACACAGAATAGAAACTACCGCTTTATTATTAGAGCATGGGGCTAATTACAACGTAAAATCGAAATACGGTGATGATGCACTACAGACCGCCTGTTTAAAAGGTGCCGTACCAATTTTTGATTATTTAATTTCACATATTTGGTATTCGAATGAACGATTGGCGAATGCGCACGAATTATTGGGTTCTACGTTTTTGGATGAACACAACGATTTGTATTCGGCGATTAAACATTGGAAAATTGCTCAAACTATTAGAGAAACACCGCAGGGTAAGTAAGTTTGAAGAAAATTATAAGAAAAAGTTGATTAAAATAAGTATTTTTGTTGTTTAAATTTAGGAATTATTCCTAAATTACCAATTATGCAGCCTAGAGAGGCTTTTAGGTATCAACGCGAATTCTCAACCATGGAGGAATTGGAGAATTTAATGGCAGATTTAGATTCAATTAGAATACAAAGTTTATTAATCGCCGAACGAATTTTGGGACCAAATCATAAAGATAACGTGTTTAGGTAGATATTATTCTAAAAGGTTGTTAATTGGGAGTAATTTGATTTAAATAAAATCGTAGGTTGATGTTTAGGGGTGCTTCTTATGCGGATATGATGTGTTATCAACGTTGTATCGACCTTTGGAGACGAGCTCTCGAAGTAAGAGTTGAAAAAGACTCGATTCTTTATTCAGACACTTGTTTTACTGCTCAAGCCTTGGTGAGATTCATGGTCGATTATAATGAAAAACACATACCAAGCGATGATACAGAAAGTACATATATACAAAGATTTGAAGATTCTGTTGCTACTTATAGGATTTTAACTAATGAAATAGGAGGTTTGTTAAGATATGTTCAAAATAAAATTAATGTCGTGTTTTAAATTGCATCTAAATTAATAACTTGCAACTACAAATTCTTACATGTGTCTACAATAATTCTAGTTTGTACATAATAATTGAAATTGTATTAGCCACAATTATTAGATATTATAAGAATCCCAAGTAATGATGTAGGTACCTCAGAGGTCATGTAATTTTACTAAATTACTTAATTGAAGTTTTTTCAATCATAAATGTCTCTGTAAAAACAAATTACCGCAACAAATCAATATTGATTAACCACTTAAGCATCTCGAACGAGATGTATTCCTTTGTATTCCTTCATTCTTCATTCCATACCTGGAATATTGACTGCGGAGGAGTATATAAACTTTTGAAAATGAATTTAAAGCAAACTGCAGAAAAATTGGGATGTTTGCGAGATTTTATCTTTGAATAGGATAATCCGAAGGATATCGCGCGAGGTATTAAACTTTGGATTATGTACAACTGTTCAAAGTACATGTAAATAATACCACAAAGTCCAGATTTCAATTCAATCGAGAATTTATGGTCATTACTCAAAAAGAAATTGAACATTACGATGTTAGAAACGTAATCGATTTAAAAAAAAGCTTTGAAGACAGAATGGGCTAAAAGTGCTATAGATATCAAGGCGTTTAAGTGCTGTTCTTAATCAAAAAGGCTATCCAACAAAGTATTAATATTATTTTAATGCATTCTAGAATATACAGACATGGAAGCGTCATACACCAAGCTGTCTAAAAGTTTCTTTGCAATTGTCGCGATATCCCAGACCACTAATTGTTCTTATTGTTCTTCTTTGTATCCCAAAAATTCGCTTAGCCATATTAGAGTGGTCTCAGGCTATTAGTCCATAAGTGTTGTGACAAGTATAGTGTTCGCAGCGCATGAGTGGAGACAGTGACAGATAGTTGTCTAAGCAAAAAAGCAGCAAAACTCAGTCTACCGGCTAGCTTAACCTATGCTCAGCCTATGTAACGCCCGAGTTCAAATATAAACCCAGAAACTTGCAATCAGGAACAGATTCATAGACAATCAGCATATCTGCTTTTGCTTTTATAAGTGAAATAGATCATCAAAAATATTTAAAATTTTTACTACCTTTCTTGAATACTTTTTTTGCATACTGTAGACATTTGTCAATATCCATGAAAATTCTCTATAAATCTTTCTATACAAGGTATGTTATATGATATGGTAAATATTTTAAGGGGTTAAGCAGAGATGGATCCGATTCTCAACAAGAACGAGATACATATGCTTAAAATTGATATGATTTTGTAATGAGAGAGTATCATTGCTGTGTCCATGTCTAGACCGACGGATTTTACCTAAGTGCAGATAGGAATACACTATTAGAGAAGTGTCATTTTACAGTCGGTAGAATAGAGTGCAACTAGTGGTACACGGAAGTTGTCGAGATGTGTCGGTGTGGAATACATAGTAGATATTAATGGAAGAGGTCCGGACGGGAAAAATATTTTTTTCATTGGTCTAAATTCATAATCACTTCTAAGAGCGGCAAAGGGCAGAGAACGATTTGTCAAAGTTGTAGCCAACCCTCTATGGACACATAGCTAATCTTGATTTAAGGTTCATCGTAATAATTAACATAAAAAGACCTCAAGAACGATGTTTTTAGAAGAAAAAATGTTGTATTAGTTATACTGGTGCAACTAATTTGGCGAAAACATGTCAGTTCCTCACAACGTCAAGAAAGTTAGTGAAGAAGTCTTCGTTTTTCATGTCTGTGCACGGAATTCCTCTAACCTGTACTGCTCTTCACTCCTCCGAAATTTCTCTTACCTGTCGGATGAACTTAACGTAGTTCTTAAGCTTTTATTTAATTCAAGATCCCCAAATTAATTTTAGTAAGTTGACTCTTTAACGTTTTAAAGCATTGTAAAAAAGTATTTTTGGTCTTTAAATACATCCGTCTTCTATCTAGATTTTGTATTTCTTATGTTTATGAAAAGTCCATGTAACATCTCTCATCATCTCATTGTTGGTGCTGATGAGTACGATGTCATCTGCAAAGTGAAGAAGGTTTAGGCGTTGACCGTCGTTGCTGAAACTCTTTGCTTCCCTATCTAGTCCTTTGAAAGCTTTCTTGAGGGTAAGGGTAAATAATTTTGGAGAGATTGTATCTCTCTCCCTCACTCCACTTTTGGTATTTATTTTGTTTGTTGAGAACTTTTGTAATTTTAATGGCTGTAAAAATTGCCCAAAGTTCTATCGAGTTGAACGAATTTTGTTGTAGTCTACAAATGCTAGATATAGTGGGATGTTGTATTCTCTGCACTACTTTATTAATGTATGCACTATCTGAATGTGCTTCACTGTGCTGAACTCCTTGCAACAACCTGCGTGTTCCCAATTCTGGTATTCGGTCTAGTTTATTCATTTTGCGATTTACCTCTCGATATTTTATGTACGACTCTTATTGATCCTCAAAAATATTTGCAATTAATGTAGATAATTACAATAAAAAAACGTATTAACTAATAACAGATTCAAAAAATCGAAAATTAATATAGACCAGAATAAAAAGAATTAATTTCTACTTTTGAAAGTGTCTATTGACTTTACATTGATTTATTCTTCACAAAGAATTATTCACTCTACAAACTTTTTGCAAAACTTTCTCTCTATATAATTAAGAACGAATTTTTTGGGTATCAAATATCAAAAGTTACGTTAAGCGCGATTTAGAAAATTTATTAGTTATTATGTATTATAGATAAAAGAGCGTAATAAGTTTAATAATAATTTATGTTATTGTTATTTGTGTGAAATGCGATATCAGTCAAAACTAGAATTCTCTGGTAAAACTGGTTTTAAGTGTTTAATAACAAAAATTAATTTTATTTTGAACATTGACATTGAAAATAGGTATATTGAATTATACGATATAAACAACAATATTTTTAACTTTATAGATATGAGACAACTTTTAAATGTTAGACCACAGTATCAAAGACAACTCGATAACTTCGATAAAATTTTAAAATGCATCACCCATTTGATTTATTTAATGCTACAAACGGCCAAAACGCAAGAACAATGCCAATTGGTGGTTGATTTGGTTACTAAATTGATACAAATTAATCCGAGATGTGCCACAACAGATGAAACTCTTTTACATTTATGCGTTTCGAAATTAAACACGATTAGGTCTGGGTATTTTAGCGATGAACAACCAGTTGTAAGTTTTTTTTGATTCATGAAACTATAAAAATAATTAATAAAAAAATATTTTAGATAATTTTTCCTGAGAAACAAGTTATACAATTTTTATTAAACCTTGGTGCTAATCCAAACGCAACGAACGATTCGAAATCAACACCGTTACACGTAGCCACGATGCCTCATAACGTAAATAATTGGTTAGTCCCGTTACTTTTGGAGTACGGGGCCCATATTGATTTGCCAAACGTAGCGGGAACATGCCCCGTGGATCGCGTTAACGTTGAACCATTCAATTTGGACATAAGGATATTGAATTTTATTTCGCTCAAATGTTTATGCGTTAAAACGATGACCAAATATAAGATTCCTTATCGATATCAACTACCGAAAACGTTGGAATTGTTTGTTCACGCACACAACAGTTCTAGATGTTAACAAAGTTCATTTTGATGGAGAAGGAGATGATATGAATGTGATATACATAAAAGTCTGCGAATACTCTTTGTGTTGTCAGTATTTGGTTGGAATTTTTATTATGTTTTTTTTTTGGGTGAGTGAAGTATTACATATCATTAAAAAAATAATAATATTAAATAAAAGTAGATGTTTCAAGGATTTAAATGGAATTGAAATTCATTTGAAATTGTTTTAAACTTAGTTATTATTTAGAATTTTATCTATTTATCAATTAAAAATTTTCATGCTAAAGTCATGATAAATTTATTAATTGGTTTTCAAATAATTTATGTTTTAATGTAAATATAGAGATTATTTATATTAAGACGTAATTTTACAAGAACAAAACAATGAATTAAGCAAATGGAATAAAAAATTGAACAATAAATTCATTAAATTGTAACAAATAAGGAATTGTTTAAAATTTACACGAATAACTTTTGTAATAAGTTTATTTCTATTCAAAGTTATTTACATAGGGGTAATATTTTAATACAATTCACAAAGTAAAACAGCAAAAAAGTGATCCTTATCGTCTCGTTTTCTTTGTTATCGTTTTATATGTGTATATATTTGTAAATAGTCGTATAATATAATAATCGTCCAATTTATTTTACCAAAATATGTGTGATATGCCCGCGGTGCATTTGCAATATTATTTATGGAACAACTAACACATTATTTTATTTATTCCCCCCGTTTCTTAACACGACAAATTGTAATAATAAAAAGCAATTTTGTTTTTCATTATTAATTTCAATAATTTAAAATAAATTATTAATGTAACTCGTTTATTATCACTATTATATTTGTTTATAAAGTCAAAACGAATAAATATGTTATAAGAAAAATAATAATAATGTTATAATTTTGTAAAAATTGTCCACATTATTCCACAAAATTGTATCACATTCCTCATCCCTCAATACTTAGAATAGAAGCCTCAATACTGCTATTAGATTTTCATTCTCATTTATATGATCATCTTCAAAACTCTTATTCACTGCACTTGCAAAATAAGCCCAAATAGCAATCTTAAAGTAAGATTTTTTTTTGACACTTACTATTTTATTTCTGCCCAAGTTGATTTGGACCATAACAGGAAAATGATCGCTACTAAAGGTATCCTTTCGTGTTTGGCTTTTAATTTTGTCTACTATATCAATAGAGCATAAAACAATGTCTAAAACGTTTACCTTTACTGGCGAGATATTGAGTATTGTAGAGTTTCCATAAATAAATTAGATTCTTGTATGACCTGTAGTTCTAAACCTCTCCTATTTATTCTACCCATTTCCACATTTGGCAGCCACGCGTTGAAGTCTCCCAATATAATTACATTTTTATTATCACTACCTTCCATTAATGTTATCCAGGCCATAACTTCAAAATCCACATCCGGTGGAGCATATCCAGTCAAAAATATGTCTGGAATTAAAAATTTGAGAAAATGAAGTCTAGGAGTAGCTAGACTATATTTCTTAATGAAACTCCACCAAAACCATCCTCTCGGAAAATTTGAAAAGCTAAGTAACCAGGCGTGTAAATTAAAAACTTTCTTCAACCAATAGAACTATATCCCGTTGATTATTCATTAAAAAGTTAAACAAATCAGCTTTGTTTTTAATAGTTGTCAATAGTACAATTCCACAAAAAAACTAAATGTTTTAGGTCTTTCTTCATTCGTTCGAGTCTTACACATCTGATGTAGGGTGTCTTGCTCGGTATTTTTGGAGAATTTTTCTTTCAGTATTTTATGCCACTCGGAGATTGATTTTATTTCCGTTCTTGAATATAGATCCTCATTGTTTATGTTGTGGAGTGGATTGTTCGGGTGTCTAATTTTTGTCAGAATTTGTAAACATTTACTTTCTGCTTTCCTGATTACTTCCTTTGTTGGGAAGTAATCAGGACTGTTTAAACGAACTGTTTTACCTTCAGGTCGTAAATCAGACTCAGGTAATCGGTGCTACCCTCGTCCGCTCTGCTACGCCGATGATAACTCGCTTCCCACGTGTACTCACCAATAAATTCGACACGGAAAGAGAAATAAACTTTTTCTGTGAATTAAAGTCATCCGAGTGCGGTTATTATAAACATTTCGAAAAAATTTTATTAGAAAGATCGCTTCAGAATAATGTATCCTACAACCATATAATGCTCTGATGCGAAAGATACGGGACACTCTGTATATTATAGCAGTAGACGTTCTACAGGGTAGGTGAGATTGGGGATCCTTGAGGTAGTCCTTGGAGAGGGGAGAAAGGGAAGGATGTAGCATTATTAATTTTGATGCTCAGTATCCTGTCGCGAAGGTATTCATCTATAATTTTCAGGTAGGGTGTAGGTATTCCTAATCAGTGTTGTTAAATACCCGGGTATTTATTTTCAAGGGTAAATATCCTGGATATATACCCGGGGGTATTTACCCAAGATGGGTATTTTGAGGTATTTATAAATTTAATTTAAATTGAGTTGATGGCAGTTTTGCAAGCACTTCAAGAATGCAGAGTCGCAACAATGACGGTAAAATTGCATGAAAGTATTGAAGAGAGTAAAAGTAGTAAAGTACTGATTGTGAGTAAAACAAGGTGGGACACTGTTGAACTCAAATTGTTCATCACAGTCCTCAGAGTGCATTTAAACAACTGGATTGGACCCAAAAAGGCATAAACATTGATTGCAAATGCTTAAATAATTTGCGCTACGCGGACAATATAGTTCTTATATCGGATAGCCTTGGAGAGATTAAACTAATGATGAACGACTTAAAGGAGGTGTGTGCAAGAGTCGTGCTAAATATCAACAAGGAGAAATCAATCAAATAATGAGATTGAGAGGGTTCACAGCTATGTATATCTTGGCTATGAGGTTCGTGTATCGAGAGATAATCAAACAAGCGAACTAAACAGAAGGATCTTAGAGACATCTTCAAGAGAAAAGGCCAAGAAAGGCTTTCAATCAATGCGTGTTTCCGGTTATGACATAAGGCTCCGAAACTTTAACATTAACGGTAACCACTGCCAAGAGGGTCCAAGTTGCGCAAAGATAGATGGAGAGGTCGATCCTGGGTCTAACTCTGAGGGACTACATACGAAATGAAGACCTATGAAGAAGAACTGGCGTAAATGATGTGGTCAACATTGTGGCAAAGCTTAAGTGGAACTGGACGGATCATGTCGTGCGAATGAAGAATGAGCAGTGGACAAAACGGTTGCTTGAGAGTGCAGACCGCTAGCGAACAGACGAAGTAGACGTCAACAGAATGACTAACAATGGGATTCAAACAGCACAGAATAGGGAAGGTCTATGTCCAACAATGGACGCAGAGGGCTGCTTGGTGATAATGATCATAATAACTTGATCTAATCTAAATTACGACAGATTCGTCTAATGATAATACGTCTTTGATTGTTGACAATTCCTCGTCTTCAACGTCCTCATCGTCTTCCTCTTCAATTTTATTGGAATCGATATATTTTTACTGGTATCACTTTTATACCCACTGTTTGGGTATTTACCCTGGGCCGGGGTAAATACCCGGATAAATACCCATTTTAGAAATACCTACCCGCCGGGTAGGTTTACCCAGCGCCCATCACTGTTCCTAATTGTATTTAAGGCCCTGGTGCCAGACTGTGTCGAAGGCTTTATTTATGTGAAGAAATAAGATCGCGGTTTTTCGGTGATGTAGGTTATTTGTGAGAATAATGAGTGGATGAATTGTTGATTGTTTCTGTTTGAAGCCGAATTGGTATATAGGGATTTTGAATTTGATGAGGTGAAGAATTCTGGAGTTAAGGATACTTTCGTAGATTTTTCCAATTATAGACAGTAGGGTGATAGGGCGGTAGCTTTGTGGAAGAGAATGGTTTGTTCCAAGTTTGGAGATTGTTATAATTGTAGCTTTTTTCCATGTTCATGGGAATATAAGGTTTCGCATGCAAAAATTATTAAGGGTTAAGTTATGTACTTCTAGGTTTAGTTATCTCAGTAGTTTTTTCGTTATTAAATCCAATCCGGGGAATGAACTTTTGCCTTTTGATAGGTGTTCATCATATTCTTCTTGAGTTATTTCTGGTGTTTCATCATGCGCGTGAGTTGGAGTATTTACAAATCTTGTGTACCATTCGTTAATATATTCTTCGTGATGATTGTCGTAATCGTGATTTGGTTTGGGGGTGAATGCACTTTGAAAGTGTTGTGCAAGTATATCGCATTTCTGTTGATCTGTTCTATATTCTATATTGTTGTACGTTATTGTCGGAATGTCGCCGCTCTTCTTGTATTTTGTAACTTTTTTGATTTTCTGCCAATATGTTCTGCCGCGATCCGTTTCTATTTCTTTGCATGCAACCAATGATCCAGTTGGTATTTTTGGATTAATTTTTGAATTTTTGTCTCTTGTTGTGAAATATTTCGAGTATGTAGTTGGGGAGTGTATATTTATATGGAGAGTACCTTATTTTCGGTGAGTGGCGTATTATAACTTGTGTAAGGGAGTTGTGAAAATCTTGTATGAAGTTCTCCTTCATTTGTGTTGTTCTGGATTTGTTTATAAAGGTTGTCATGTCTTCATTTACTTTTTATACGTTGGTTCTGGTTAGGTTATATTTTGACCTTTCGGTCTAGGTTGGTGGGGTTTGATTTGTGCAGATTTTGTGTCATTGTTTGCCGACATCAGGAATGTAGGGTCTGTATGTTTTTTTTTGAAATAAGAGTTGTCTAAGAACGATTGCCATTGTTTGCGTTTAGATCGGTTAAGGTTGAAATCGCCTATTATTACGACGTATTTGTATTGTGTTGCTTTAGAGAAAATGTTCTTTTCAAAAGGCTGATGTGGGTGGATGTACAGGTGTCCCAATTTCGATGTCCGCATAGGCTATCTCCAAAACTAAAAGAGATAGAAAAAAAGTAGCTTACATGTCATGATCTCGTTTTTCGAGAAAATGCTAATGCCGAAAACTCCGAACAGCTATCATCTTTTGTTTTCGCCCTATCGGCAAAACTGCAAATTTTGCTAAAACGACAATCGCGAATATCTCACTTATTATCCAAGATAGAGTATTATAAATAAAACATTATATGGACAACTTTTTACGAAGAATTCAGTGGCGTAGGTAGAATTTTTTTCCCATCTTTTATTTTCGAGATTGTAGACGTAACTTTATTTTTTTAAATGGAAACCATAGTTGGCTATGACCTAAAATAATTTGTTATTTTCTTCTGATAACAAATATATATAGTGTGTGGGGTATATTTCTTATAGTTATTGTATAATTAACAAAAATTCATTTTGTTCTATCTAAAACCAATGTATGTATTTAAAAGTTAATGTTGCTATGGTGATAACCATACATACTATGATGAAACATAATGTATGAAATAATTGCCAAAGATTGGATTTAAAAATTCGATAATCTGGCATTATGTGCTGGTACGATGTTAAGTGTCAAAGTATAACAAAACTGAATAAAACTTCAAATTGAATTTCGAAAATTATGAAAAATATAACATGATGGAATGCTATGTGTTATCAGATAAGAATGCCACGTTAGCCGCGGAATTATATTTCACAAGGTATCCGGAAAGAAGACAACCGCATGTAAAAACCTTCAGCCGATTAGCAGAAAATTTAATAGATTTTTGGTCCTTCCCCAAACCACGTGCAAAAACATACCAAAATAACCTGCAAGAGGATGAAGTCAATGTGTTGGCTTTACTTGCGATAAATCCTTCAACATCTTGCAGAGAAATTGAACAAGACGTCTGACCCAACAGCCGCTGCTCCCGAATATGAAAGAAAAATAAGTATAAACAATACAAAGCGGGGCTTACTCATTATTTACATGCCGAAGATGTCAATCTAACAATAAGATTAGAATTTTGTAGATGATATTTAGAAAAATTAAATTATCTGCTGTTTGTTCAAAATGTCATCTGGACCGATGAAGTCTCTGAGTGTTCAAAGAAGATTGGGGTTCAATGTATGGTGTGCGCTTTTAGATAATAGATATTTGGCATATAGTATCTACCATAAAAACTTAAAGTCAGGTAAATACCTCAATATATTAAGGCAGCACATTGAGCCTTTGGTCGACAATTTGTCATTAAATATGTCTCAAATGATATATTTTCAATATGACGGAGCACCAGCACATAATGTCAGAGTTGTTAGTGAATTTTTAAATACTACTACTAACTTTGGCAATAATTGGAAACAATGTTTTCCATCATGGTATGGTTATCACCATAGCAACATTAACATTTAAATACATACATTGGTTTTAGATAGAACAAAATGAATTTTTGTTAATTATTCAATAACTATAAGAAATATACCCCACAAACTATATAACAAATTATTTTAGGTCATAGCCAACTATGGTTTCCATTTAAAAAAATAAAGTTACGTCTAAAATCTCGAAAATAAAAGATGGGAAAAAAATTCTACTTACGCCACTGAATTCTTCGTAAAAAGTTGCCCATATAATGTTTACCCATATAATGTTTTATTTATAATACTCCATCTTTGGTAATAAGTCAGATATTCGCGATTGTCGTTTTCGCAAAATTTTCAGTTTTTGCCGATAGGGCGAAAACAAAAGACGATAGCCGTTTGGAGTTTTCGGCATTAACATTTTCTCGAAAAACGAGATCATGACATGTAAGCTACTTTTTTTCTATCTCTTTTAGTCACAAGAAATCGATGTGGATTTGTTGTTTATCGAAATTGATGGTGAAGTGGAGACGTTCATTGAGAGGTTTGTAAATCGATAGCGGGTTTGCTTTACCTAGAGGTATTGTTGGTTTTAGCAATATGAGGGACCCGCCTCTTGTCTTATTGGTTATGTAACCTTGTTTTTGAATTGCTTGCCAGTCTCTGTATTTAATATGTTGTTCTGCCTTTATTTTAGTTTCTACAAATAGCATCATATCATTTTTTTGTATATAGTTGTAAATTAGGTGTTATGGTTAGGTGTTGATTTCCTCTCCGTTCGTCTCAGTTTCTGATAGTTGCTATATGTACCCAGATTCTCTTGGTTCTGTCTCTAATATTTTCATCGTATTTTGAATATCGCGGATTGATTCGGCAGTGAGGACGGCATTTGAATTAGTGTCTTCCATCTCTGGAGATGTTAAGGTGATGTTCTCTCTGAGGGAATTGTTGCTGGTGCTGCGTCATTATCTAGGCGATCCAGCAAGCACGGTTGTCAGATATATTGACAAAGGTATCTATCTGGAATTGGTCCGCGAAACGAGCTCTTAGTTTTTGTATTAGTTCATTTCTGTTCTGATTTTCTGGTTTAATCAATTCGTATATGTATGTGTCAATTACGTAGTCATGGATTGACATCGATTTATGAATTCTTGAAGTTTTGACTACTTTTTCATTGATTTCCTCAGTTTTTTTGTTAGCGGATTTTATTTTAATTGTGGGCAGCCCTTTGATGATGAAGCGTGGACTTCACCTGTTATGATTCTTATTTTCTAGAATATTTTTATTATTATGTTTTCTTATTCATCTAGAATATTTAGTTCCACATCGCATATGATTACGGAAAAAGAGTTGGATTTGTTATTTAGTGTATTTTTTGTTGTTGGTCTTGGTTTACTTTCTATAAAATCGTCGATTTTATATACTGTGTTTTTGTTTTCTTTTGATTTAATTAGAAAACCTTGTTTGGTTTCGCTAATTATATCATTATGGACTATATTATTTGTAATTGAATTTCGCTCCAGTGGAGAGAGAATTGATGTCTTGTTAAAGTTTTTGATTTTGGAGTAATTTCAAAAATCGTGGTGAATTCTTGAAAAATCTTTGTTTAGTTGTTTCATTTTGTCATTAAGTGAGTATTTTGTTTGTACTTTCTGTGTGTTATTTTTTGCTAAAGTAATAAATCGGTTCATTTCTATTCATACAAACATCTAAACCATGACCTTCCCCACATGCAGGATAACATTTTTTTGACTTGCATAATCTAGCCGTATGACTATATCTACAACAATTTAGACATTAATAAACATAAAGATGTTTTTTTTGTACTTATATTGGTTATTTTATATTTCAATGATGCAGCGTTACATGTTTCGACTAATAAGTCATCTTCAGAAGCTTTGTCACAAAATCAAAGTGATGAATATTTTTTTCTCAAAAAGATTTAAGGTAGTTTGTACTGTTTTTATATGTTAGCACATCTTTTATATGTTAAAAGCTCAATACGAATCTTTACCGTCTCGTCAAAAATGATATTTTACATAAACAAATCAACTTGTGTAAAACCTGCCTCTATAACTTTTTTAAGTTTAACAACCACCTCATCCTCCATAACAAAGTTTTCAAAATATAAACGAAAAATTGATGTATTAACTCAATTACTATTATTATCCTCAAATACTATTTTATTACCCAAATCTCCCTCATCCCACGACATTGCATCTTCAGATGGTGTAGCGATTTTAAAGAAAGAAAAAATAGTTGTAGTACTTTAGAATTTTACTGGACACAGAAAAAGAGTTTTGAAGTATACAAAACAAGTAAAACGCCTTTAATCGCTCCGAAAAGATCGTATACCGCTAGTGCCTAGTGACTATTCACACCGTACAACGAAGCCGGATGATTATCAATAGTTATCCAACTTTCTAGTTGTCTGAAACCACTTTTTTGCAATTCGGTACAAGAAAGCAATTGCAAGAAAGCTTCTTGCATAATACAGAAACCACTTTCCCTTCTAAACATTTTGCAAAGTCTCTAGTTGATGGTTTAATCTCTTGATGAAAATGTCGTTTAGTTACGAGCCCCTCGATGAGCATTCTTTGAAAGATTTGGACGAATGGTTTGGCAAAAAAAATTGTTTGTACGAGTTTAATCCGGGCAAATTCGTTATAAGCGGTGAATTCGCCGAAATGGTGCCGAGAATTTCACAAGCGGAAGTGCGAAAAGATGATGTTTGGTTAATTAGTTACCCAAGATCGGGTAAAAAGATTAATTTATTTTTAATTAAATCAATTTAACAAGATTTTTAAGGTTCAACTTGGTGCCAAGAAATCGTTTGGTTAATCGGAAATAACTTTGATTTTGAAAGGGCGAGAAATACAGTTCAACATTTAAGAACACCAATGATTGAGTAATTTACTAAATATGATGAAATTAATTTATTATTATTTATTTTTGATTCTTTTTAAGAATGGATCTTTATTATTGGTTTAAAAACGATTTTATTGAAGAATATGGAAGTGATTCAATTAATTATGTGGATAATTTACCATCACCAAGATTTTTAAAAACTCATTTAACGGGACATTTTTTACCAAAACAATTCGATCAAGTTAATCCCAAGGTATTTTTTAAAATACTCAAAATATTCACATTAATTTTTTATTTTAAGGTAATTTACATTGCAAGAAACCCAAAAGATATTTACTGCTCGTATTACACCCACCTAAAAATGTTTCACGCTTTAAAAGCTCCATTTGAAGATTACGCAAAATATTACATAGCAGGAAAAGCACCGATGGGGTGTCCAATAGCACATCAATTATCATTTTGGAATAAACGATTCGACCCAAACGTTCTTTTTCTTTGGTACGAAGACATAAAAGCGGATACTAAAACCACTATAAAAAAGATTGCAAATTTCTTAGAAAAACCGATAACAGAAGAAAATTTAGAACGACTTCACGATTACGTTTCTTTAGAAAAGATGAAATCAAATCCTGGGGTTAATTTAGAAAAATTAATTGAACAATGTTACGGAGATGATGTATCTGATAGATTTTTTATCGGAAAAGGGCAAATTGGGTCGTGGAAAACGAAGATGTCCGAAAAGATGAGTGAAGAGTTCGATGATTGGATTGAAAAAAAAACTAAAAATACAGATTTAAGATATTAAAAAAAATTCTTTTTTGTTTTTATTTATTTTGTTTTAGTTAAACCATAAATGAAAATCATCCCAACGACATGTCATCATAAGTAGACGAAGAATCCGAATCGTCATTAACAGATCTACCACTTTGTTTCCTTTTTTCAATATGTTTCTTTGTAGTTCTTTCGTCCGATTCCTTTTCAAAACAAACCTTCCTCTCAGTTTGAGCTTCTTTTTCACATAAACACGCATCACTACACTTATCGGGATTTCTTGCGTCACATTGAACTTGAACTGAAACTATTTCAGGTTGGTTTTGACACTCTTTATCACAATCACGATTATTATCTTTTGATTTTATTTTCAAAATTTTCCTTTTTGATGTTTTAGAATGAAGAGCTTCCGGATTTTTAACTTGTTTCTCCGATTCTTTTGAGTTTAACTCATTTATAGGATGAAATTGATTTGACTTGTTATATAAATCGTTGGTATCCGTTTGCCCGTCAAAATGAAACCTTAATTTAAACGGGTTTCTTTTTAATGTTTCGTGAAGGAGCATCGTTTCTAAAGCGTGTTTTTGGAGCTCGTTTAACGCTATTTGTTGTTGTAGTGTTAAATTCATTGGAGGTGGAGGTATTGGATTTGAAAATTCATGTGGGTGAAATTGGTTTTGATATAAATTTTGAGGTGGTTGATTTAATACTTGATATTGATTTGGATTTGTTTGCATAAAATGTTGAGTTGGTCCGTTATAGTCAATTCCTAATTGTTGAAATTTTGTTGATGTCGATTGGTCTTGATTTGGGAAAGTATAACTGACTCCATATGGAAAGCTTTGTTTATTAGGCGTTAAAACTTGTTGGTTGAATTGTTGCCGGTTTGAGTCAAGATTGCCTCTTAAGTGTTGAAAAGGTTGACCTGTTATTGCGGTGGTTGTTGTGTCGAATGTTCTTCGTTGTTGGCCATAAGTTACCATAAGATGATTTTGTCCAAATTGGCCTGGAGCTAAATTTTTTTGTTAGTTATTTGATAAATTTTAATCGTTAATTGTTACTGAATTTTTACCTGATTGAAAAGAGAATTCGTCGTAGATTTTAGTTGAATCCGATTGAAATGGTCGGTTGGTCATTACTTTTGAGCATGTTCATTGAAATTTTGAGACGACATAGTTTTGTCAAAAAATTATTTGTCATTGATGATATATGACAGAAGTTTGACCACGTTATGGTCAGTCAGAGTAGCGACGATTCAATTTTGTAATGTATTTTTTGTTATTACGTGTTACTAGCGTGACGACAAGCCGTACTTAGTATTGAATTGAATACAAGGTATCAAAAACATTTGATATTAATGGTGTTAATTAAATACAATGTGTCAAAGTAATCAAATATTAATGGTAGCAGGAAAGCAACAAGGCAAGATATAAATGTGATTGTTGCCCTACACACATCTAAATGATAATCAATTTCTTCCCACACACGGTTAAGGACGTTTGTTAGTTTTTCAACATGGATATGGAAGCGTCAGGTATGTACTTTAATCTGCAACTACTTGTTTGTAGTTTAGATATGATACACATTATATAACATTTATTATTTGCTTCAAGAAATTTTGAAATGTCAACTTTAACTAGAGTTATACAAAAAGTTTCAAAAAGTACACTAACTCTTTTTTACTAGTTCAAAAAAATATCTTTTAAATAACATCAAAAAATAAAATAGAAGTCCCCTTGTTTCCCCCTTCGTTAAATAGAGGGTATTTTTCAGGTTGTGGCGACCCCGCTTTAATGAAAATAAAGATTAAGAGAAGAGAACTGTTTATAGTGTTAAAAAATAAACAGCTTTTTAAGTTATCGTCATTAAAGTGTAATTATTACAGTATATATTGGACAAGTTTAGTGAACTTTCTGAAAATACAAAACAAATAAAACTTGTGGTCGAAGTTGTAATTACATTTACGAGCGTTTTAACAACAAGAATATGAAATGGCTTAATGAAGACATGAAACGTCCAGACATACCACCATCACAGCTTGCAGCAACAGCACCAAAGAGGCGAGGCAGGCCATGAAAATTATTCGAAGAGAGCTCTCAACGCAGTAAGCAACGACATGTTGAAACAATTGTGTCAAATTTCTGTTCAGAAACACTGTGCTTGGCTGCAGAATCAACCTTGGTGACATCAGGCAAAAGAACTGCAGCCCAGGTTGTGAATTTTTTTGTTTGGCAACCTGTATATACAGGTGTCTTTTTTCTGCTAAAATTAAATTCAAAGTGGATGTATTGCACATCAGTAGATTCAGAAAAACAATTTCTATCTAATGACGTGAAGAAAAATATATGGAGCAATTTGAAAAACAAAAGTTAATAATCGCTTAAAATTGAGGATGGCCTTGAAAAAAATTTATTTGTAGCATGAACCATATTATTCATCAAACCATTTCATTTGGTGCCTCGGTCATGAAAATCGGAATATAAATGACAGCGTTACAGCTTGGGGCGTTTTTTGTGTGACACCCTGTATATGAAGATTTATCAAGGGATGAATTACTGGAAAGATGTTTAGGTGGCCACACGCAAAACGCAAATGAAGGCTTTAGTTCCACAATTTGGCGATTAAAAGTCATCGAATTGGCATCGTACTTAGCTGCAGGCTTATTCAATGATGATCATGAACGACGCAGGAATTGTACTAGGCACTCAAAGTTTCAATTACGCCGAACAAATAGATAACCAGCGCGTGAGTCGACAGAATCGACGTAGTTCAAAGCAAGCTCAAAAAGCACTGCTGCAGGCGCAGTAAGGAAGAAGAAGGACTAATATACGGTGCTGAAATCGCGGATTAATCGGTGATTACTTTATATTATTGTAAACTTTTCTAAATTTCTAGTTTTCGAGATTTTTTTTTCAAACGCGTGTTTCTCAAAATGACTTTTTTCACATTTGCGGGAACTCTAACTCAAAAAGTAATGAACCAATCGTTATGAAAATTGATAGTATGATTCTTCATGAAATTACGAAAAAAAGTTCCAAAAAAAGTGACGCACTTGATTTTAGACCTAATTTTAATATCTTATATTTTTTAAACCAGTGGGCCGATTTTTATTATTTTTTTATTTCTTGGTAGCCAATTCCTTTGTCTTTCAAAAAAAATTAAAAAGGTGGAAATTTTTTCAATGACCTGGATGGTAGTGGAAAAACTGGAACCATGTTTTTTTCCTAATTTTTGACTCACCCTGTGTATTAATCAAGTAATGGTATAAAAAGTGCTTACACCCTATATGAAAGACGTTTCTTTTATGAGCATTTTGTTTTTTTATTCATTAATTTATCTCTAAAATTGTCCGAATTGAAGCTTTTTTGTTGAAACCTTGCATATTGCTAACTTTCTGAATTTATGGGAAAACAGTTTTTTAGTGAAATAAACTGATACGATTTTTTAAAAAAGTTTTATTAAACACTAAATTATAAACTGGGATAACTGCTTAATACCGTGTATTGCCTCCCCTAGCAACTCTAAGAGTTTCTAATCTAAGCGGCATACTGGAAATCAGGTTTCTTATCGTTTCCATTGGTATACGATCCCATTCTTCCACTAACGCATCTGCTATTTCTGCGAGGCATTCCTGAGGCCTCTCGCGAGAACGTACAAAAAAAAATCTCTATCCCATAACGTGAAGAAAAACATATCGACCAATTTGAAAATCAAATGTCGATAATCGCTTGAAATCGAAGATGGCATTGGAAAAAGTTTATTTGTAGCATGAATCATAGCATTCATCAAACCATTTCATTTGATACCTCGTTCATAAAAATCAGAAGTTAAATGACAGAGTTACAGCTTACGGCGTTCTTGTGCGACAACCTGTATATACAGGTGTCTTTTTTCTGCTAAAATTACATTCAAAGTGGATGTATTGCACATCAGTGGATTCAGAAAAACAATTTCTATCTAATGACGTGAAGAAAAATATATGGAGCAATTTGAAAAACAAACGTTAATAATCGCTTAAAATTGAGGATGGCCTTGAAAAAAATTTATTTGTAGCATGAACCATAGTATTCATCAAACCATTTCATTTGATAACCCGCTCATGAAAATCGGAATGTAAATGACAGAGTTACAGCTGTATAACGATGCGACTTGGAACAAAAGAAAGAGGGGCTGATATTTATCCCTCATATCATGTGATAGCAGAGACAAAGAGAAAGTGTTATCCAACATATATTATGATAACTGAGAACGAGGTTGTGGTACCAGTGATAGATCTTCTTATACATACTATGCAACGTGTAGCACAAGTGCAGGCTGATGTAATACTTCAAAACATTTCAGAGGACTATGATACTATCGAAGTTTATTTATTATAAATGGGGCTTAATTCTTTAATTCCTAATTCTTTGGAAGGTTCTCGCTCCATCCGTTTCTAGGTCTTCCAATGCTTTTTCGTCCTCATGGTGATTTGTCTCGTGTTATTTTCACAATTCGTGCTTCTGTCATTCGATTTATTCAACTATTCGGTAGAATAGTTGGGAAAACATTGATGGACCTCTATCCAGAAAGAAGTGAGAACATCAGACAGGCAGGGGTATTGAACAGAACGAAGACTTGGAATGAGCACATCGACCGAATGACCTATTTTTATAGGTCATAAATAACTAAATTCAGTGTGTATGATGCACAATGAAAAAAGTTTACCTTAAGGAGCTTCATTTTAATTTTTTGTTGTATCAAAATCTAAAATTTACGAATTTGCCCATGTCCAATTGAAAATTAGGATTATAACGCTAATCGTTTCGGCATCACTCTTTTCGAATAGTTGAGACTCTAAGAATTCTTTCGTCTTTTTCGTTGTGACGTGTTGGCAACCAAAACAGAAAAATCGACACATTCCTTAACCTCATCAACAACTTACTTCCTTAAGGTGCAGTGTCAATCTCGCAACTGAAACGGTTATAGTGTATACAAACGCATGACTGTTATAGTATATTTGGAGCGGCCTTATTGAATGTTAATTCAATTCAGAATTTGATTTTTGACATATCATCATGGAGGCAGCGGTGTCTTCGTAGTGCAGAAATTGAAGGAGATAAGGAACAGTAGCGAGAGGAAGTTAAGAAAACCAATTTTTTTAAGAACGTAATTTTATTTAAAAACAAAAAAAGCTAAAAATAGCTATTTTCTACACTCTAATATATACATGTCTCCTAATCATCCCTACACAATCTTCTCCTTATCCTCCACCCTATATTTGACGTTCTTGTTTTTCCACATCTCTATCTCTACTCCTCGCTTTCTTTTACTGTGTTGACACTTCCCTCCTCCTTTGTATTTCCTCTATTAAGTACCCTACTCTGATATAACATTCCCTTCTTTCTTGTTGTTTATACTCCACCACCCCAGTCTTAACCTCCCTCCAACACTCTCCCAAAATATTAAAGTCGCTTCTCTGCTCCAGCCCGTCCTCGTACCTTATCGGCCTTCTACCTACTTCCATCCTCATCTTCTCCAGCTCATCTCTCACTTTATATCCCTGAGTCTTCCTTCTACCCACATATTTTCGCTCCATACTTTATCACACTCCTCGTCAATCCATGAAACATTAATTTCCGTCTACACAAACCTTTTCCAAATATTAGTTCCTCTCGAAAGGTAAATCCCAGGTACATAAATTCCCTTACCTCCTCCCCTTTCCATTCCACTTTCAATCTCCTGTCCTTGCAGAATATGATAATCTCCAAATCCTTCCCCTCAAAGTATGTCTTCATCGATCTCATCATCACTTTTAACTCTTTATGTTGCCACCACCATCACCAGATCAATCGAATTTGGAAACAACGATAGGCTGATTGTTTTCCTTCAACCCATCGTTACCCGGTCTACAAGATACCAACTCACATCTTCAGTTTAATAGTAGAACAATACAAATACAACGTATTACAACCTATGACTGAAAAGAGATGAATCCATTGCATTCTTATCATATTGCTGTGAAACAATTTACAGTTAGCATGGAAGTTACCTTCTTATGACAAAAAATAGAGGTAAGCTGAAGAAATCTTTATGTCTAACGAATATGATGCAACTAGCAGATTGGACGATCGCGATGGACTTGAGATATAACATTTCCAATTTCTTAACATATTTAAAAATTAAAAACTTTAGGTATTTAATATCATTCAAATCGATGAGCTGTCGTGCTTTTCCCTTATAAGTTTGTTCCTAGTTAATATTTATAATAATTTAACCATTACATTTTCTGAACAACTCGGCTTATAAGCACGCGTCTAACTCGTGCAATCATGGGTTGCGCAATCAGGAGATTGCGCATAGGCCAAGGAGATAAAGGTTGGGTACTTTCTGTAATCATTCAAATTTGAAGGAACTCTAACTTTAGAAAGGTTATGTCCTCTTTTGCCTTCATGCATTTGTAATTAGGGGAACTCGGGGCAGAATGGGGTACCAACTTAAAAATATGTTTTAAACTACAAAAGGATTATTTAAAACATATGCAAAATTTTCTATGAATACATTGTAATGTAATAATCACAAAAATACAACAATATTGTAAGAAAATAAAAGAATTACTTTTTTTTCAAAAACAGAACATTCTGTCATTTACCCCGTTCTGCCCCGGGCATGGGGCAGAACGGGGTGGTAAGGACAAATAATTAAAACATAAAACTAGTAAAAATGCATAAAAAATAATTTTGATTTTGAAGTTTTAAGTGACTCTAAAGCATTAACTACAGTTTTCATGGATTTCAGTTAAGTCTATTCACAAAATGCACACACTAGAACAGCCTCATCATCTTCGCTATCTATTGCCGCACAGGAATTGTGTGCCCATTTTTTGCACATGGAACAAGCGGCTCAACCTTCAATTGACTTTGAGTACAATTTACCGCAATATAAACATTCACAGTCAGAACAACTTTCAGAAGCACTTTCGTTAGTTTTGGTTTCTCTCTTCAGCTTCTTCTTTTTTCCATTTTTATTTTTTCCGTTTATTTTATTATTGTTCTCTTTCTTAAATAATCTTTTCCTTGCTCTTTCTTCTTTGGCAAAATTCTTTTCCTCTTTTTCCTGAATAGCAGCTTCTAACTCCTTTTTGTATGGGGAATCTGTTAAGACCGCGGTCTTTCCCCTCTTCCGATTCGTCCTTTTCGGGCCTTCTTTAACTTTTGGGATAGGCATTAGAACAGTAGGNCTTACACCATTGTTTCCTATTATAATTCTGTTCCTCCTGAATTCCAGCACCTTGGTGGTATCTCCTTCAAGAAGAAAATCAAAGGGCTCTTTCTGACCTGTAATAAATGACTAGGTCGCGTAGTTGTTTTTTTTTTTCTCCGAGACTCCATACACACTATGTTATGATTGCTGGTTTTTCGTAATGCTTGCACTGTAATAGTTGATTCGTGGCCCTTTCGTTTCTTTTCTTTTTCTTTTTTAAGTTAATTAATTTTACCATTAGTTAGTAGTTAGTTAGTTTAGTTAGTTGATAGATTTTTTTTTATGGGGTGCCGGAAGAACAGATCAGTGTTCTTCACTGTTCTGAGGTATCTCCATTTGGAGCAAATTTTTTTTCTTTTTTCTTGTTGTTTGTTTGTTTTTTTTAATATGTATACAAATTTTCTTTTGTTATATTATGGATATACTTATATTATATTATGCGTCAATAAATAAATAAATAAACTTTAGAAAGGTTATGTCCTCTTTTGCCTTCATGCATTTGTAATTATAGCCAAAGTGGAAGATTCAGAAATGATCAAGACTTAAAGAAGTAACCGAGTTTTGATAATCAAATTTGCATTTGATTATCATAACTCTGCAATATTTGTTTAAGGGGGGAAACCACATTAGGAGGCTCATTTTCATTGATTTTTAGGATTTTTTTTTGGGTGGGAAGAATTAATTAGAATTTAATTAAATTTTGATACTATTTTGTTTATATTTCGAACAACTTTTGTGAATGTTTTGAATAATTTTATCAAAAAATAACAAAGTTATGTCCGCTGGACGTCGTACTTAGAGTTCTCCAATTGCGGGACGTGTAGCCGTTTCAATTTTCATCTGATATCAAAAAGCTTTTTATTTTAGATTAATAACTTATTTTCTAAGAATATGAACCTCAATGCAGGTAAATGTAACGAAAATTAAAAATTTTGCAGGTATTGGAAAAATTTACTTAAAATTTCACTTTTTTTTTTACTAATTATGTAAAAAAAAAACTCTTAAAATCATGATATNTAATATAAGAAGAACCGGGAAGTCTTTTGATGCCTTAGAAAATTCTACAAATCTTCGAAACCATACAAGAAATAACTCAGCAGTCATCCATCCAGTGTTATGCACCTCTGCCCACCCTCCTGGTGGTAATTCCAATTCAAATTCTTTCTGCCTTTTCTTTCGAGGAAAAATGAGCGGGCATGTAAGCTCCGTCTGCCGACATACAAATAAAGCAGGTTACAGTTTCGCCCCTTTCTGAGGACGTTAACGATCCGACTTGCCGTTTCCCTTTGGAAGCTATAATTTTTGAATGGTTTTTAGGATTCACTGAAACACCCGGTTGTTCGAATTATCGTCCCATTAGCATTCTCCCGATACTGTCCAAAATATTTGAGCGCGTAATCTACAAACAAATAATGGCACACGTGGAATCGTATGATGTGCTTTTCGAGAATCAGTTCGGCTTTCGACCTGGTAGGAGCACCGGGGATGCGATTGTTNGTAATTTCATAAAGAATCATACTATCAATTTTCATAATGATTGGTTCATTACTTTTTGAGTTAGAGTTCTCGCAAATGTGAAAAAAGTCATTTTGAGAAAAACGCGTTTGAAAAAAAAATCTCAAAAACTAGAAATTTAGGAAAGTTAACAATAATATAAAGTAAAGTAGTCACCGATTAATCCGCGATTCCAGCACCATACATTAGTCCTTCTTCTTCCTCATAGGCTTCACTTTGCGCCTGCAGCAGTGCTTTTCGAGCTTTCCGACCTTCCTTCTACGTCGATTCACGCGCTAGTTATCTATTTGTTCAGCGTAGTTGAAGCTTTGCGTACCTACTATAATTCCTGCTTCGTTCATGATCATCAGAAGGGATGAATTTCCTTCATTGAATAAGCCCGCGGCTAAGTACGATGCCAATTCGATGACTTTTAGTCCGGTGATGCAAATGTTTAGTAACTAATCGCCAAATTGTGAAATTAAAGCTTGCATTTGCGTTTTGCGTGTGGCCACCTAAACATCTTTCCAGTAATTTATCCCTTAATAAATCCTCATATATATGCAGAATTTCCTGCTGTATGTCGGGATGCAATGGAGTAGGATGCGGTGTAAGCTCCATACCAAGAACTTTTCGTTTCTGCCATACGCACCAGCTGTCTTTTCCCTGTGGGCAACACTCGTGTCGAGGATTTTCATCAGTGGATGAAAATCCAAAAAATGTGATAGTATGTCGCCATCGTATAATCGCTGTTTTCATATTTTCTACACTATCGATGTATATGTCTTCGAATCACTAGTCCATAGTAAGTGCTGAGCTTTTTCGCTAATGCCGTCACACGTGAGTCACGTGATTCATATCGTTCCCTTTCTCACGTAGTGGCGTATCTGACATGTACACAATTTTACAGGAGATGCAAAAAACTAAAACTCTATAACCATAACTTATTAAAACACAAGTAATAATAAAGATGAGGTTATTAAATTTGGACAACAGGATTTAGAAGGTTGCTATTAAAGATGTCTATGTCAAATGGGAAATATAACCCATAATTTATTCTTTTTTTGTTAAAAATATGCAGTTACGTCAGTACGTGACTTTGCACCAGATTCATTATATCAGATACGCCATAGACTATTTCCCTTTATGAAAATAAATTACACAATTTATACGAGGTTTTATTGTGAACTAATTCGGAATATGCAAAAATATTTATCTATAATAATAATTAATTATAATTAAAGATTAAAAAATGTTCATTAGATACGGAATTAAAGTTTATTCTAAACAGAAACAAGAATTAATGAAAAACGAACTCAAAAACTCAATTATTTTTTTCATGAGGTAAATTAAAAATAAATTGTTGACATTCTGGAATGCGAACAACTGGATGGTTTCCTCTACATAACGAAACAAGATCATCAAATTTCTTTCTTGAAATATTTATTGGGTGTTTATTCAAAGCAGCGACAGGGAAATCCAAAGGGTTCTTGAGTANAGGTTACAGTTTCGCCCCTTTCTGAGGATGTTAACGACCCGACTTGCCGTTTCCCTTTGGAAGCTATAATTTTTGAATGGTTTTTAGGGTTCACTGAAACACCCGTTTCATCGCAATTAAATATTTTAGAAGCCGTTAGTTTGTGCTTGTCGATTAAATTCGTTAGCAACGAAAAAAACTTATCCACAGCTACTTTATTAAAGCCCATTGCTCTTGCACCAGATGTTTCTTCAGGTTTGCGAACAGATAAAGTAGGATGTCTGTTAAAGAATCCACTAACATAATCTTGGCCTGCCATTCCATTTGGAAATTTATTACCAATGCCATTTCTGACGGCCAGTTGATAAGCTAAGTGACGCAACTCTTTAACTGTTAGACCAAATAACCTAGCCTCCATACTTTTTAAGTAATTAACGATCTCAAGTTCCTGCTCTTCCGTAAATATGTTTTTAAATTTTCCAGCCGTTTTATCAATCTTGTAGTCAGAATTTTCTTTTCTTTTTTTAACATATCTTTCCAGTGTGGACTGGGGAACATGAAATTGGTTTGAAGCCTTCAAATACCCCGATTGGCCAGTAATAACCGCCTCAACAGCATTGTTCGTTGCCTCTGCAGACCATGATTGCCTATTTGTTTTTCTCTTATATACTCGAACCATCTGAACTGGGAATAAATAGTATATTAAGTATCCAGAACGGTAAATTGCTTACCGTTCGTGATGGTTACAACATTTTTTGCACGATCGACATGAATATAAATAAAAATTGATTTACTAAAATATATTGACATTTGTGGGGCAGAATGGGGTACTTCCCCATACACTATAAAAGCAAAAAATCACACAACGAGAACTTCACGAACAAACGCTCGAGAAAACTAGACTAACATGGGTGCGGTACTTGAATTGACAGGTTGGGCTAGTTTTACTTATTGTCGCTCACTAGTAACACCTCCTTTATTCCGAAAAACGTCAAACTTCATTGCGCCCCGGGTTCCCCTATAGCCGAAGTGGAAGATTCAGAAATGATCAAGACTTAAAGAAGTAACTGAGTTATGATAATCAAATTTGCATTTGATTATCACAACTCTGCAATATTTGTTTAATAGGATTTACTCAATTTATTAATTTTTAGTAAATCTTAAGTAAACTGAAAGGCAAGTCGTCTCCTCATATTGGTGAAAAAAATACAATTGGAAATTATTTTTTAATAATTTAAATCTTACTTTTAAATAACCTTACATTTTCTAACATAAAAATTACAATTTCAAAATTCTAAATGACAAAAAGTATTAATCAATCCAAAATTAAAACTCTGTCTACTCCCCTTGTCTCGTCATCACTTTAATTAAACAATCTTAATAATTGTTTAACAAGTAACAACGCGACTATAACGTTTAAATTAGGTAAAATCCTCGTTGTATCACTACCGCGATTAAAACTATCGACAACGTGAATTTTCCATCCCATATTCGCTTGAGTAAACGAATTATAATAAACGACATCCGGCCAAGTTGTATTCGGTGTTATTTCTAAAATTGCAGCATCCCCATCTTCACAAGAATAAGTTAACGATCGATTAAACTTTTTAAATGTTGCGAAATCGTCGTCTAGTCTTCTATCTTGATTATCGCGATGTTTTGCTAAACAAAGTGGTCCAGCTGTGGTTGGTCGAGGTCTTCCTCGTCTTGTATACTCAACCCCAGCTAAAACTCGAATTTTTGATTGAGCAACATCGGTTAATTTATCGTAACCACCGTGTGCTTCGTTCGTAATGATTAAAGGATGGTAAAATTCGGCGCTATGGGGGTTATTACCACCTCTCACTTTAAATTGGTAAGTTAATCCTCTTCTTAACCAAAGCTCAGGTGCTAATAAACCGTTTATGTACCAAGCTAAAGTTGTTGAAGGTTGCCCCGTGGTCGCTTGATAACCTTTTTTACCACCAGATGGGCCAACGTACGCGTTAAAAACTCGGATGGTGCGGTCGTAAATTTCGCCTTTTTCCCAAATGTCTTCGATGGTTTGGTCGGTTTTTGTAAATGAGAAACAATTCGAGGATGCGTCTTTTGCGTTTAGATCAACTTTTATGTTTGCTTTTGAGTAGGCGTCGTGGAAACTTGGTTCTTTCTTTGAATCTAATCGGCCCATCGCCCAAACTATGTATACTTCACGGTCTAGAGGGAATTCTTTATCACCATGATCAGCTAAAAACAAATTATTAATTATATTTTAATGATTAAAAAGACACTGATTTACATGAACTTAAAAATCTTCTATATGTTATTACATTAATCCCGTCTTTTCTCGAAGCTGTAAAAAGTTGCGAGTTATCTTGACCTCCAACCAAGTCATCTTTACAGACACCTTTGTTTTGTCCTAATACTTTAACACACTAAAAAAATAATTAGGATTTTTGTAATCAATAATTACGCAATTCTTACTGGTGATAAAGCTGTAATGTTATAATCAATAGCATAACCATTATGTTGATCAACATAAGCAACTGTAACATCTGAACCCAACATTTGACTTCGTTCATCAGATCCAGATAACCCAAATGAAAGATATTCGTCTTCACGAACTTGTCCGGCCAACTCTATCGTGATTTGTGGGCCAAAAATTTCCCAGGATAATTGGAAGTTTTTATGTAATTGTAAACAATGTGGTAAATTGCTTTTGTGAGGCTAAAAATAATTTTTAAACAAAAAAGTTTGTGATAAAAATTAATCCTTACGATAACTTTAACTAAAGATGGTGGAACGTTTAATCCTTCAGGAATAATTATTGATCCTAAATTAGTGTTCGTTTCTAAATCAAAAATACTAAACCAATCGATGTTAAATATTGTTAAATCACCAGGAAGCTCTAATATAATTGATTGGCCATTATACGCTCTTAACGCATCAACACTAAATTTTAATAACAATAAAAAAAACTTATTTTATGTCTTTTAATTAATTAAAACTTACTATCCGTATTCATCAGGAACTAATTGTCCTTTGCTATTAGGTTGCGGTCCCACACCAACCCAAAAGTGAGCTTTTTTCGCTAATCCATCGTATTTAAACTTGGGCAGTCTTAAAGTTTTCGCGTCGATAACCTCGATGGGGTCGGAATCCACCGAGTTACCTTTTCCGTCTAATTTCGGAATTTTTTGTACTTTAGGTGGCTCAAATTCTTCAGGAATGTAAATATCACCGAACGTATTTTGGTTCCAAATGTCAAAAATAGCCAACCATTTAATGTCTGTTATCACTTTAGTATCAGGTAGTCTTAATGTAAAATCTTTATTGAAGTAACGTTCAAGAATGTTTGTTCTGAAATAAAAAATTTATGAAAAAAATTTGAAGTTAATTTATTGATTATTTACTTTCCGTGTTCGTCAGGAACAATAAATCCTTGAATTCCTGGTCTATTAGATGATCCAGCATAGAAAAAGGTATCTTGGCCATTTCCATCATAATTAAATTTTGTAAATAAAAGCCTATATTCGTCTACAGCGTAAACATCGCCAGAAACTTGATGATGATAAGAGTTGATTTTTCCTATGTATTTTCCTTTATATGGTCCTTCATCATCTTGACAATTTACTGAAAAGAAAATTTTAAATGCTAACTTAAATTTCTCGTTTAATAAATCAATTATGTACCATTATGGGACATGAAAAAAATAATTAGTAAGGTTTTGAAACAGTTGTAAATAATTTTATCTACGACTGTTTGGATAAGTCATTATTACCGCACTGGTTTCATTACGTAACGCATTTTTAGCCCAATCAGAACCGACTTAATTTATTGAAACGAGCAACAATACAAAAGAAAAAGTGCTACGTATTTAAAGAGAAACAATACTATTTATTATAAAAATTGTTATGTTTTTACATTTCGAAACACTTATACCAGATGAATAAATATGTTGTTGAAACTGACATTAATGCAAAATTGTTAACAATCATTTCAAAATATTTTTATAAATGTCAAAATAGACCTTTTTAAAGAAATTGATTTTTAAGTAATTTTGAGCAGTCGTAGATAAAATGTTGTATACCACACGTGGGCTAGAGCATAATTACAGTACTCGTGTGCAATTCTCCACACTCCTACAGTAATTATGTTTCTAGCCCACTTGTAATATAAATAACCATTACGTACAAGAGTGCATATTTTCATTCTTTGAGATATGCAGTGTTTTTTATTTCAGTAATACCCTGTAATAGTCTTTTATTATTAATTCATTTGCATCATATTGTCATAACCTCACATATGCTGAATAACACCTAAAACTAGAAATAACATTACACTATCGCTAGACCTAGAACTAGAAACATTCAGGTTTAGGCATACGTCTCTCAAGATGGCTAAACCCAAACGTTTCTAGTTCTGTCTTCCTAGTTATCACAACATCCAGGAAAAGTAACAGTTTAGCAGCTTCTGTTTCCATGGTAAATTTGATCATGGAGCGTAGCCAGTTCAGGTGGTCTAGGAACTTTTAGAGATCCTCTTTTCCATGCTGCCAGATCACTAATAAATAACATCAACTTAACGAAACCATAGCTTTGGTTTTTACGGACTCTTCCTTAACGCTTCTTCTTCAAACATCTCCATGCAGAAATTGGCGATTAACTTTATCACCGGTGATCGCATAGTTGCTCCTTTGCTAATGCAAATTCTGTTAATGAGTTTCTGGTGAAGACCATCCATGGCATCTTTGACTGATACTCTGGTAACCATTTACCACAGGATTCGAGGATACCAGGATATCGTGTGGATCTAACTTCCCAGTATATCTTGCTTGCAGAAAATGCGTAGAATTTCTGACAGATGATATTATTTTATTTGTAAAATTTGTAAATCTTGGCAAGGAGTTTCGCCAGCTGGTACGTTGGAGAATTTATGGTATAACCCTGACAACGTCTGGGTTATGGATTTTAGGTAATCCATAAATTCTTGGTGATACTGGGTGTGCCGACAACTGGACGCCAGAGAATTTTCCAAACCTTTTAAAAAAAATCGCTCCGACCATCTAGGCAGGGCACCCTTTAGGTCCAGGCAAAGGGTTCACCGGAGATGTTACTGGACGCATCTGTGACGAATATCTGGACGGCAGAAAGCATCTGGGCAGCAGATCCTTTTGGTCCAGACAAGGACTCCCTGAAAACTTTCACCGGGGATGTTACTAGACTCGGGGATAAAAGAAACAAGGAGAGATCAGTTACCGTCTTACCGTTGGCGCTGTATTTTTTATCGGCAACCCTTTTCGAAACCCGCCTGCACTTTTGTTATTATTGTTTTTCTCATTGTACATAAAATTTTGTGGTTGAAGACATTTGGTTATTCTAAAAACATCCTCTCGCTATCATCAAAGCATTAGCCCCGCACTGGGACTTGTACAAACAAACTTCTTTGTTATTCTGCTGGAATTTCTGATTTTATCTTCTAGTTTTTGATGTATCGTTATCACCACGATAGTGAGCTGGACTGCCATACGTTTCAGTATTAAAGTTAATTCTGCAGAATTATCAGCACTAGGATATCTAGTGATACTATGGCATAGGCGGCGCAGATTGCACAACTATGTAGTAAGTGGGAAAAAAGTGTTTATTTACTTCTTCAACATCAGCGAGATATTCAACATGAAACAGAATCAGTTTGTTTCTGTTTTAATAGAAGTTGTTCGAGAGACTTGTATTTTTGGAATGAGTTTATATCTCCTGTGTCAAATTTCGTAAAAACTACAAACATAGGTCAAATGTCCAAGAAGAGCCTTCACTATATTAGCCAGATCTCCGGCAACTATAACGGCAATATCTTCTTATTCGAGATCTGTCGATTTCTTTATTCTGGAGTTGTTACCTTTGAACTATTTCCTGAGATATCGCATGCCTGTTAACTTTTTTTGGGGGTCTTGAACCAGGGGGTTATTTACAAGTATGATTATATGAGTCAGTTGTTGCTCATAGTTCCCACGTGGTTATGAAATTGTTTCGTCCGCTGTCTTCCCTATCCTATGTCTGGAACGTTGCATTGATCTCTAAAACTTGTTTTTCACTATTGATCTCAATTGTCTTCATTTGAGCTACTCGCAACATGCTTGGTTTTGTTTGTTTCTACTCTTACTTCTATTACGTATGTTATTATCGGTCTTATATGGTGGCAATTTGTTTTTAGACTATAATGGATACTATACTTCTGGTTCTACGTACTGTTCTTTCGTTATTGGAATCTGTCAATAGCTATTTTCGAAATCTAAAACTGAGAATGAGAAAGCTTGTAACTTTGCTCGGATATTGTAGCATTTGTAACACCTTTCTCTCTCTCTCTAGACATGAAACCCAACATAGTTTTAATCAATTTTAAAGAAATATTTGATTAGTTTACATCTTTTTACGTTTGCGCGGTCTACCGCCTACGTCGCTCTGATCGGGTTCACAGATGAGCTCATTTGGAGGCATTCACGCAACATATTTATACAACATAATTGCACAGTATAACAAATATTGATACAACAATATCCAATTATCGAATAAATGTCTTCTTCCTCCACTCCTGCTTAAAGCCTGCTCTTTGTAAAGGATGGTCATCCTAGAGTGCGACTGTGATTCTGCGAAGTATCTTCATTTTTGTTGATTCCAATATCCGTTTTGTTTTAGACGTGTCAGGTCTAGTCTCGTCGGTCTTATATATTCTCGATTTTGTGTAGATATAATATGTAGATGTTTGTTCCTGCATAAAGTGTCGTTTAAGCAGCCTGCGATTTTACTGGCTTTCCTGACTGGTTGGGATACTTCCTCTTCAATATTACCGTAACTTGATAGTTCAACTCCCAAGTACCTAAATGTCATGACCTACTCTATTATGTTCAGGTTCACTTCCAGCTTACATCGAAGTGGCTTTTCGCTGTTGTCACGGATTTAGTTATTTGACCAGTATGCTTGTAGGTTTCTGTGTAGATTATTCTTGTTTTTCGCAAAGACGACCGTGTCATCAGCATAACAGAGGATCAGAGAGTAATAAATGTGCGATGCAAAAAATGGCCAATTGTTGGAAATTAGTCAACATTACAAGTTTAACTATAATTTATGCACTCTGAAAAAGATGTTTTGGAAGTCTGTCAAAGAGACTTACTTTTCATCATTTTCCATCCCTTTATTTAATAGGTTAACAAAGCTGACATTTGCGTCCGCCGTACATCTACCCCTTCTAAAACCAAATTGATTTACATGTAAGTTGTTATGGTCGACAAAATCCATATTTCTATCATCGATAAAATCGAAAAAATTGGAAGAATACTAATTGGGCGATAATTAGCATAATCATGATGATCCCCTTTTTTGTGAACTGGCACCACGAACGCAAACTTCAGCGCATCACAAAAAATACCAGAAGTACTCTTTTGTCAGAACTTTGACAGGTCCTTCGTATCGCGGAGATAACGATGGTTTCAAACCTTTATTTTAATGAAAACGAAATTTGATTTGTTCAAGTCTTTATGAATAAAAGGTTTTTGAATAGAATGAAAAGACGTATTCACAGGCTTTAATTTGGAAAAAGTGTCTCTCAAACTGGAGATTGGCTATTTTGAAGGCTTTGACATGTGTGGCCAAAAGAATCTTGTTTTGATTGCATGAATGGTGGAACGTATTCCGGGATGAGATAAGCTACGAATTTTGTCAAATATTGTTTGTCTGAACTGTTGCGGAATATAAATTCTTGGAGATGATGAAGAGGTTTCACACCACAGAAATTTTGAAGGATTGTTGGAAAATTACTTATTCAGTAAGTTTGACAATTCTGTGTCAGCTAGTTGAGCGTTGCTAAGGGTTAGAAAATCTGGATAAGATGAATGTAGAGATTCGATCTTTGTTCTGAATAGAGTATCTGCAACATTTGAATTTCCTCTGATGTACAGTAATACCCCGTAGTTACGCGATAGGTGGGACTGACAGTAGCCGCGTAAATCGAAAATCGTGTAAGTCGAAATTCGATGAATACATATTATAAAATCAAGGATTAATAAACATTAATTTTGTTAAAAAAATGTATGTACGGGGTGGTTCTAATTCGATGTCCGAATGGGCTATCTCGGAAACTGTAAGAGTTAGAAAAAAAGCAGCTAACATGACTAGATCTTTTTTTTAAATAAATTCCAATGTCGAAAACCTAAAAGCGCTATCGTTAAAAAAACCGCGTAAGTACGGGGACGCGTAAGACGGGGTCGCGTAAGTCGAGGTTTTACTGTATTTGATATCTGAAGTAAATTGTGCAATATAACTTAGATATCGGGTTTGACGAGGAGTTTTGTCTGTGGACGAAAAAATGGATGTGACAATGGGTTTGTGATCTGTATATACCGTAAATTGATTTCTATGTAAGGAATGTTTGAAAAATTTGATAGCAGAGTAGATCGCTAATAGTTCTCTATCAAAAGTTGAATATTTGGTTTGGCATGAAGTAAATTTTTTGGAAAAGAATGCTAATGGTTGAGATTTTCCATTGATGGTTTGTGTTAAAACAGCTCCCATACTTGTGTTAGATGCATCTATTGACAATGATAGGGTGGCATGTGAAAAGGGATGTCCTAGAAAGATAGATTTTGATAGAAGATCATTGGCTGAAGAAAAAAGTTGTCGTGTTGCAGTGTCCAAGAAGTTGATGAAATTGTTTTTTGTTTTTGATAGTGAAATGATTTTGAAAGTGTGTATAAGGGATCAAGAATGTTTGAAATGTTAGGTAAGAATCTATGGTAGAAGTTTAACATTCCCAAAAATCTTTGTAACTCTTTTAGAGTCGTTGGCTTTGGAAAATGTGTTATGGCTGTGATTCTTGATTGCGATGGTCGAATGCCATGTCGAAAGACTGAAAGGGGTTGATATAGCTGTCTTTGGTATCTCCTCTTCATCCACGGGTGTCTGATAATACGCTCTGACCAAGTCGATTTTAGAAAAGATTTTGCATCTGTGCAAATGAATGTTGAAATATGAGGTAGCGGATAGCGATCTGGCACAGTAACATTGTTCAATTGGCGGTAATCTCCACATGGTTTCCAGTCATCAGAATCTTTTTTTGGTACCATACGAAGAGGCGATGCCGTAGATGAAGATGGTCAACAGATGCCCATAGCGACCATTTGTTGGAATTATTTTTTAGCGATTGATAGCTTACGCATATCCAAACGTCGGGGACGACAAAACGGAAGATGTGAATTAGTAATAATTTTGTGTTTAGTGTTATGTGTAACGGGAGATGAGAAATTAGGCGATGTAGTTAATTTTGGAAATGATTTTCCAGCTTACATCGAAGTGGCTTTTTCGCTGTTGTCATGCATTTAGTTTTTTGAGCAGCAATAGTCATGTTGAATTATTTTGCTATGTTGTTAAATGCTTGTAGGCTACAGAACAATCAGTAGACTGTTCTCGTTTTTCGTAAAGAGGACAGAACAGAGAATCAGAGAGTAATAAATGTGCGAAGCAAAAATGGCCAATTGTTGGAAATGATACAACATTAGAAATCAATCAAAATGACGCAACACTCTAGTTATCAAGTCGTATACAGCGTTTGATGAAGGTAGTAGATGAAAGTTGCATTTAAATTGTCAAAACGAACCACCTTCATGGCATACCACAAAGATCCCTTTATTTAAGCTTTGATCTTTTCTCTCAGTGTACCTTGTTCTCAATTCTAAATCAATTTGACAGGAAGATATTAACTAGGTGATTAACAAATTCTTACAAAACATGTTCTTATTTATTTTATAATGTTAAGAATAATAGAAGACCAGGTATAAAAAAAATGTAAATTAATTATTGTATTAATTAACGGAAAAAGAATTTAAATAAAAATAACTGTATCTTAAAAACGAATGTTGTTAGTACAAAAAATGTAACAGTAAAAAATAAAATTGATGAGATCGTTAACACTTTCATTCTTGAAGCGTGAATAATCGGATAATTTCGTAATAAAATTCAACAATTACAGTAACAATTTAAATTTAATAAGAAAACTTTTGGATTTGCTGTGTATATAGTACAAAAGGTTGATATTTCGAATATAGGAGTGGTTAACCTTGGCAAATCGTTTCATAAAGTTTTCTACAAGTTTAAATTTCTTTGTACTTTTATGAAAAAATAAAAAAAAATAATTAAGTAAAAAACAGCAGAATAAATAGTTTCTATTTCCTCTTCATTAATTTAAAGTTATTAAAAGTAACATTTTTTAACTTACCATGAAAAATTAATAAAAATATTAAAAGACTTTTTAAAATCCACCAAAAACACATTTTAAAAACAGTTTATCAAAGCATTTTCTTCAAAAAACTTGAATTCTTTGACTTCCACACACATATTTAAAAGGAGTTTTGGTCACAGTTCTACTTCTCTGTGACTGGACTTGAGTCACTTCTTCATGGAACTGGACAGTTACGTGGTTTCGTTGCTTTCTCCAAGACATTGGCCTGAGCGGTATACAAAAGTACAGCGGCGATCAAAAGAAAATTAACTCGCATTTTTATACCATACAATTAATTTTTATTAATTTTCTTGATTCCACCAAAACAATTACTAATCTTAAACTAAATTTTACGATTTTTCAATCAAAATTTAAAAAAATACCACTTCCCACATTAGTTAGTTTGATCAATATCATAAATGATGAAAATAGAGTTAAAAGATCGTCCGATAACGCTAACTAAAGACTTAAATACGATTCTTTTATCCTGGGAAAATATCCTAGATGAAAATTGCTGTGAAAACTTGGAGTTTCTATTGTACATTCAAGAAGAGGGAAAATGGAAAGCTTTGTACAGGTAGTTCCTAGATTCTTGGGAGATTTTCTCACATTTTAAGCCATTTTTTTTTGTCTTATTCAATTCTTATTTTAAGAGGGCCTAAAATTACTTACAAAGTCAAAAATTTAACACCACAAACCGTTTATAAGTTTCAATTAAAATTATTTCAAGATGAAATTGAAATTGGAGATGTTATTTTTAAATCAGCCACAGAATTCGAACCGTATCGGGTTCATCATATTACGAGGGCTATTTCACAAGGAAAAACTTCGTTATTAAGAAAAATAGTTAATCAGCGGTATCAACGAATTAATATTAACATGAATTATTAATAATAATATTTTATTTTAGTCCAATTCTTTTAGAAACTCCAAACAAGCAAGGAAAAACACCCTTAGTTTTTGTAATTGAACGAAACGACTTATCAACAACGACTTTTTTAATAACATTAGGAGCAAATATCAATTCTCCTTTATTAGGAAATTTAAGAACGCCGTTAATGATCGCTTTATTTCGAGGATATTTACAAATAGCTTCGTTATTAATCGATAAAGGTGCCGATGTTAACCAAACTGATTGTAACGGGTTAACACCGTTTCATTACGCCGTTGATTCTGGTTTATTAATTTCTGTAAAATTCGCCGTTGAACAAAAACTTAATATTAATGCTAAAGATAATCAAGGATGGACGCCGTTATTAAGAGCTGGTATAATGATTTAATTAACATTTTCTTTTAATTTTTATTAAATTAAAAAATTAATTTTAGTAATTTTGGAAAGTGATGATAAAATTGTCAAATTCTTAATTAAAAATGGAGCCGATACCAATATTCGTGATAAAAACGGGTTTGGATTTAGCGAACATTGTAAAATGACGAAAAGGTATCGCTGGTGTAAAATTAATTTGGAAGATATTAAAATGAATTTTCATTTAGAAGAGGGCGTTAATTAATTATTGTAATTAATAAACATTTTACTTTTCACCTCATTGGCATAATCAATTAGTGGTTGAGTTCATCGAATCCCATAATTAGTTCCTTATGGTACTTCATTGGGTTGTTTCTAGTTCAGCAGAAGATACATTCCACAGACCATATTTGCGTTAGTTCTTTATATTCATAATTCGTTTGAAATAATCCTGTTTGGATGTGTATTGTATAGAAGGTGCTACATAATAAACTATAACATGTGAACGATTTCTAAGGATTTATTACATAATTAAGCCGAGGTCGCTTGCGGCCGAGGCGCTACATCGATCCTATATCGATGCAAAGCTACACAATTTTGAAGAATATACATATTTATTAAGCCGAATCCTCTTGCGACTAATTATAGCCGAATATCGACACTAATCTATACGATTTCTAAGGATTTTTGTCGTAATTTAAGCGAGATCGCTTGCGACCGAGGTGCTACATCCATAACATATTGATACAAAACTACACGATTTCTAAGGATTGACTTCTTAATTAAGCCGAGGTCGCTTGCGGACGGGGCGCTACATCGATCCTCTATCAATGTAAAACTACTACAATTTTGAAGAATCCATACCATATCCACACTTATCTACATGATTTCTAAGAATTTTTATTGTAATTTACCCAAGGTCGCTTGCGAACGAGGCGTTACATCCATACCATATCAACACTAATCTACACGATTTTTAAGGATTTATCTTCTAATTAAGGTGGCACCTTTGACAATAAAAAAAAGTTTTTTTTTTCGTTTAAAGTAAATTTTAGATTGTCTAGAATGAGAATCATTGACAGAAAAAGTTTGCTGAACGTTTTTCTGTCTGAAAACTTCATTTTTGTAACGCACCTACTAATCGAAATTTCCAAGCTACTTGTAAAACTCTTTCTGTTTCATTTTTGCTCGATTATATATTATTATATTTAGGTATTTTGATCTTATTGTTAAAAAAGTTAAAATGCATAAACAGTAATGAAAGTTACTAAGTCTATGGCACCAAAAATGATTCATGGTGGCAAGAAAGTGGTTGGCATTGCGTCCGATATTCCATTCGTCTTACAAGCATTATTGAAATAATGCAAGTACTAGAATTAACATTTGGAAGATCGTGCTTTGAGTTTTGCCATGAAGTGGGGTCATGTCCTCCATGACCGATGAGGTTAAAGAAGGTCGTAGAAGCTTATTGTCAGACAGATTAGATGCAGAAGAAGAAAATAACCTTCAGGGAGGACAAATTACGCTGCAGAATCGCTGCTTAGAGATTTCGAAAGAAAATATATAATTTTTCATATTGGTCAACTTTCTACGTCTTTTTCTGAAAAATACAATTTGTGCTCATGATAACTCCCACATTTTACAACGGATTTTCAAATTTTTTTTTAAGGTTGTATCATCTTACTCTAAGAAAGTACGTAGCCGTTTTTCGATGTATCTAAAGTTGTCTGTTTTACAACCATTTTTATGTATGTATTTTATTAATAAATATGTTGTAAAATCGCCACCATTTGGTTGGTTAAAAATCAAACGTAGTTCCCTAGTATTTGAGATTAAAAAAGTAGTCTTACTCGAAATTTGATTATTCGATTTCCGGTTTAGGAGCAATCTTATACACCAATTGACCCTGCACGATTTGCAAGCCTAACATTGTAGACATCTAGCAGGTGCAATTTTAATAACTGTTAATAAATAAAACACATTTTTAGAATAGCTGCTTATTCAAACCCCACAACTCGTTTTCAGAAAACTTTTGTACTCCTTGCAAAAACAATTTTAAAGTTATCTTTATTTTTGGTTCTTCAAGGTGGTACCCTCTTAAGCCGAGGTGGCTTGTAGTAAAGACGCTATATTGATCCCATATCAGTGTAAAGCTACACAATTTCCAAGAATATATACCATAATTACCATGGGCCATTCTAGATGTACGTGAATGGGTCACTCCAATTTATTTTTGAAATCTGTTAACGACTACACTATACTTTTTATCATGTGGTTCACCAAAACTAGACATACAATATTGTGAAGCAGGATTGCTATGCGTACAATACTGCTGTAAGGAGACGGTATGCTGATGTGCATAATCAAGACGTCAATTTCATTCATTCCTCTGATATGGTGAAGATTGTTTTAATTTAATACCAAGAGGTATACCGTATACAGTGCATTCGTCCTCACACACATCTTTGTCTTTATACTGAGCATCTTATAGAGTGTAATGAATGTTCATTTTATTCCTATCATCTTGTAATTCCGAGGACTTGTTTTCGTACTGGTATGATTAGTTTCTTAATTGATGCTCTATATGCGACTCTCTTCTACTTTATTCTCATGTATAAGAAATTATTATTTTATAATATCTTACTGTATAAATCTGCTCGTTCCCAGATAGCGAAATCGTTCTCCCTTATGTATTTTTGCGTAACGAGGCATTTATACTGTATATATATGTTCCAACGTTTCCCATTCCTCCCTGCATAGCCTACACCACCTCTCCTCATCGGCCATCCAATATCTGTTAGCTCTCTCCTCGTTTCCACAACGGAAATGAAGCTCTTTCCTGGACACACCTTGCCTTGGGTTTACCTGAAAGAACATTCAACCAAGAACTGTCTAGCTGGTGGTTGAAAATGGTTTTGATATTATGACAAACGTTTTTAAAGAGATGGTATGGCTTTTTGTAAACAACTTTCTGAGGAGAAGAACCAATTTCATCCCCAAGTCTCATAGAGTTCCTTTTTTACAATGATTCCGAAAAGTAGCATATCTTATCAGCAATCGTTCACCTACAAAATCAAATATTATTACTTATGTCTTTCTTTCTTATGTCCTTTCATGACGTATAAATAAACAACTACCGATTTAATAAAATGTTAGTAAGGCAGCAAGCAAAAGGCACTAGTAATAACTGATAATGGTCGGCCAATGATGGTTCGCTGTGTAGACATGGCGCTAGCTACAACGCATAATGGCAACCTTTGATATGTATAGTCCTATCTCTCCAAAAGCCATCTTTTACTATCATCATCTACAACTTAATATTATGTCAATCAACTATGACAATAGTAAAGGTGAGGTATATTAATTAATTTATTATTTTATTTGTTAAATAGGACTTATGTTCTTGCCAGTTATTTTAATATTTATACATAGGTTGTAGAAGAACTGAGCTATTGAATTTAACAATAGATGATTCATCATTTCAAATTCGTCCTACATTATATTATATGAAAAGTATTATGCATTGCGTCCTAAATCTACGACTTGTAGCGTAATCGTAGATTTTTATTAAATATGTTAATGCAAAATGTGTGAGTCAAGTTATAGCGATTAACAAAACCAGAACTATTCCAAGGGCATCATAATTGGATATCATCACAAATTGCATCACTAGAAAGCTACTGGTCATTGTTTTCACCGATTGTCAACTACTACACTAGCGGATTCGGGAGCTGATTTTGTTAGTATTAAAAGACATGGGAGCTGGCGATCTACGACGAAACAAATCTGGCATCTATAGTTGTTTCTGGCAGGAACTTGACAGAGACTTTATTTACAAGTAAATTTAAAAATATGTTTCTTAAAATTTTCTGGAGTATTGGTGTCTTGCAAGCGTCCAACAAAAATCTGCCAACATAGGAGCTCTCCATTTGCCCTGGAATCGTTTTTCCATGCTGGAAATAGTTTTCCATGCGGCTCCTAGGTTTTCGGGAAAGAAGTCTAGATGCTTGGTATGTCGAAAGTAGTTCTTCTATCAGATCTTTACAGTTACTTGCTTTGTGTTTTTTTTGCCAAAAAATTTTGCTCAACATTTTTAAATCTTTTCCAAGTAATTTCTCTAACAAACTCAACTTTTCTTCGAATATGTTGCTTTTGAACAATTCTCTGATGACTGATTCTCCGACGAAAATTCCTTTCTTTATTTGTGCGCCAATAACTTTGGGAAACTTTTCTTTCAAGTACATAAAACCTGACCGATTGTAATACATGGCTTTAACAATATTTTTTATAAAACCTAGTTTTATATGTAAAGGTGATAAAAGTACTGTAGTGTGCTCAATCACGCTTTGACCAGTCTTTTTTGCAGTAGTAAATGTTTCGATCTCTGCTGTACCATTTACATAAAAAGCAATGATTTTAAAGTTACCACTTATCTAGCACCAATTTCATGTTTTTGTAAGTTTTTTTTCATACTAGAAGCACGCTAGCTAGCTGTGCTATCGAAACAGACGGAAATCTATTTCCATTATGCAACTGTATAGCTTTTAAACTGATTTTTGACGAATCTATAAATAAACGCAAATCTTATGGTTCAAATTTAATATCTATCAAGTTCATAACCGAAATGTGACATGTGAACAGTATTTTTTTGAATCATCGTCACGACTACGAAAACGCCTTAGTTCCTGGATTAAGCAAATTCCATTCTTTCTATATAGATCCTAATAGTTATCAGTGTAAAGCTACACAATTTCCAAGAATATATATCATAATTACCATGGGCCATTCTAGATGTACGTGAATGGGTCACTCCAATTTATTTTTGAAATCTGTTCACGACTACACTATACTTTTTATCATGTGGTTCACCAAAACTAGACATACAATATTGTGAAGCAGGATTGCTATGCGTACAATACTGCTGTAAGGAGACGGTATGCTGATGTGCATAATCAAGACGTCAATTTCATTCATTCCTCTGATATGGTGAAGATTGTTTTAATTTAATACCAAGAGGTATA